AAAACACTGACTATTCCATACAACTTGTGTATCAGGAAGTTGCATTTGTTCCCTTCAGCAGTTAAAAAAACCCTGCTTGTTTCCAAATGTTAAAATGCTGAGACTAGATTTTCTGCAGGACTTCTACTTAGTGACCAGATTATTAGCTTTAATTGTTGATTTTTACTTTTTTAACAATTGTTGCTTCAGTCATGTAATTGGAGCATCTCACCACAGTCTGCTCTGTTGAGGGGATCACTGCAAAAGAGAGTCAAACAGTTTGTTCCCCTCAGCTGCAGTCCATACTCAGGCCCTGGATCTGTAGGGATTAGCAAGGAAGTAGGGAGAGAGTGGTGGCTTTTCCATTGGGAATTCCAATCAGATTTTTCCAAATTCAGAACCTGTTCCACTGGGCAGATCCAGTTGCTTTCCAGCAGCTGGCTATACCAATGTAAAGTAGGTGAAAGCACTCATGGCAGCAAAAGCACTTCTGTACCCTAATATCTAAGCACTTCAGAATAGGTAACATACTTAAATGAGGCAGGAAAGTACAATTATCCCCATTGTAAGAGAAGTGACGTGGGCCCATCAATGGCCAGAGTTAAACTGTGGCTAGTCAAGCTTTCTTAAAGTAAAATAAAGTACCAAGCACATGCTATAGAACCTAAAAGTGATTTAGTATTTCCCTCCAAAATAGGAACTTATGCCTAGCAGAATCAAAGTGAAACCCATCATGCAGTTTGGTAATCCATAAAACACTGCTATGTTGCAATTTGTTCTGAGTATATTCCTTAATGGGAATATTGCATGTCCCCTGACTATGTGATTTGTCCCACAGATTCTTAAAAGAGAAGGAAGGCTGAGTCTTTTCATACCTGTGTCCTATTCAGAGAAGTTTCTTTCCCATACCTCTGCATCCAGCCAGTGCGATAAATAAACCCCAGCATACACATCACCTTAATCCATCCTGCATACCTTCTCCATCTGCTGTCATCTGCCTCTTCCTCACAGTTGCATTGGTTTGTTCAGAGGAAAAGCTGAGAAATGTCTAAACAATATTACCTCGGCGCCGTGACGGGTCATGAACTGTTCATTACTAAGCAGGGACAAGATCTCAGGATTGCAATCCATGGAAAAAAATACACTTAATGTTCTGCAAGGGCCAAAACCCCCAAGTCCAGTAAAGTGTCAGCTATTTGGAAAGACAGGGGTAAAAAAGACCATCATCATATAAACCCACGGTGTCCCTACCCTGGATAGGATTTTGAGCAGTCCTTGTTCTTTCTGCTATAAGAAAACAAGATGAATTAATGTCTTGATAAAAGTTATGGAGACAGCTTCCAGCAACGATTGACTGGGACATATTCCAGGAACTGCTTTAGGAGAACCATTTGAGCATGCAGGGATAAGATTGTGAAGGCTAAAGCTAGACCAGAGTTAAAACAAGTGAGGGATGTGAAGGACAATAAGAGGATCTATAGGTACCTCAGAAGCAAAAGGAGGGCTAAGGAAATTGTGGCATTGCTGCTAAATGAGGCAGAGCATTAGTGGCACAGGACATAGAAAAGAATGCCTACTGGTATGGTGTGGTCTTGGAGCTCCCAGATTCCTACGGGTAGTAGCAAAGCCTGAGGGAGAAAGAAGATGTTTTCAGAAGAGGAGGAGGAATCTATGGATACTTGGATAAACTGCACATATGTAAGCTCACAGCATCAGATGGAAAGCAACAAAGCACACTGAGAGCTGGCCAATGTCATTGTGAGGCCATTCTGCCATCTTGAATGATCATGGCATTTTTGAGAGATCCCTAAGGGACAGAGGCCCCTGGGGTATGGAGATCATGGAAGGTATGGCTGAGCAGCTTCACCTGAAACTATGGAAGATTATTTCCAGGCTCAGTAAGAGCAAGAATGTGACTGGAAACAGCCAGCATGGATATACCAAAAACAAGTAATGCCTGACCAGCAATGAGATGGCTGTGTAAGTAAAAGGGGACCAGATGATGTTGTTTACTTGGATTTATACTGTGACATGCTTCCAATAGCATCCACAGAGTCAAGCAGGAGATAAGGACTGGACATGTGGCATCTGCAACAGAGAAAAGGAAAAGCAGCAAGACAGTGCATATTCCAGATCCAGTTTTCTCAATATTATTATTTCTGAGGTAACAGAAAAGCTCATGGCACAATAAACTGTGGCCTGAATCTGAAATTTTAATACATGAAAGTTGGCAGTTTTTGCTACTGTGTGGGAGTGAGCCTCCAGATGCAGAAGGGCTGTGCTCATTCCAGTGATTATTTTTAGATGATTACCAATGTCCATCTGAGCACAACAATGTACCCTGCTTTCAGATCACACTGAAGTACAAGAATACTTCATTCAGTCCTAATATTTCAATTATACATCTGTCCACCATGTTCCCTCTGAGTATTAGGACTCTGCACTGATGCATAATGATGTTAAGTCCACTGGTCTTACCAGCTATTAGCCTGCAACATACATATTAGGACTTCCATAATTGTGCTAAAAACTGTTATACATTCGTGTGTTCTTAAACTCATTTCCTGGCCCAGACCTTGGCTTCAGTATCATGTTTTTAAGAATTTATGTTTATGGTTTTAACAGCTTATTCTAACATTTGAGAACTTCTCATATTTCTAGTTTACATTTTTAAAAACAAAACAAAAAAACATACTTTCTGCCATAATAAAACCACCTCTGTTTAATTCCCCTTACTAGGGGATAATGTAAAAAACACACAGATCGGTTTTCCTTTTTTTCTTTCTACTTACTCCTTCTCCCCTTCAATGCTTGCAGATCCACATAATTAAAATTTAAAAATTCAATATCCAAAAAAAGTCATATTTTGCATGCGTTTGCCAATTTTGAAATTATTTGATCAACCTGCTTTCAGCACTGACCTGCCAAAATGCAACTTTTACTTATGTTTTTAAAATCCCACAAAAAGAGTACTTGCAACACATAGGCCTGGTTATAGGTAGGGGAGGGAAAGGAATTACCCAGGAGGCAATGGAAAAACTATTCATAGGAGCAGAGGAGCGAGCCAGGCCTCAGGCAGGGTTGATCAGAGGATCACAGGGTTTCTTGCCCAGCCTACAGGCTGCATCCCTGAGCCTCACTCCCGACCCTTCCCAGCCCGTTAGTCAGCTCTGCCCTTTGTGCACCCCAGGGTGTTGGGTGTGAGTATTGCCAGGCTTGGTGATCTAAATTTACACTGCCGCAGGCTGGGACAGCAGGGCTGCTCCCACGTTAAGGAAACTTCCCAGCTTTTGGTCTCTCCATCCTCTCCTTGCTTGCATGCCAAGGGGCTGGACAGGGCAGGATTGGCCAGGCCTGGCACTGGCTGTCCTCTCATGCTTAGGCCAGCATATGGCTCCAGCATGGGCTCCCCTCCAGAGGTCACTGACCGTTCCCCTTCCAGCACTCCCTCCTGACAGCCAGCCCTGGCTGCCTGCCCAGATTAAACCCGATAAACGCCGGGCGGGCTGCCATGGGGCCGGCCAGTCAGGCCAGAATCTGTGGTGGGGCTCAGTGGGGACCTGCCGAAGGCGTGGAGTTGGTGGCAGCCACTCTCCTTGTACGCAGCCACGATGGCCCCTTGCTATGCTGGCAATCCCTGGGCTGTGCCCCAGCCTCCATGGCTACACGCGCAGCTGGGCGCGTGTGTATGTGTGTGTGTATGTGTGTGTGTGTACGTGTGTGTGTGTACATGTGTGTGTATGTGCGTGTGCATGCAAGGGTCTGTACCTATGTGAGTGCATCCATGTGTGCCCACATGACTGTCGTGTTTCAGCATGCATGCACATATATGTGCATGGGTGTGACATGTGCATGTGCATTCACTTATGCAAAAGCACCTGTGTGTGCTCGTGGGCATGTGCAACCCTGCATACATGCCTCCTACATGTGTGTCTTCACGTGCATGTCCCAGGGTACATGTGCCTGCATGTCGGTGCGTATGTACATATGTGTACCTGTCAATCCACACGTGTGTAATGCATGTGTCTACGTGTGATATGTGCGTTTGTATATGTAAATGTCTGTATGTGCATGGTTATGTACATGTTTATGCGCGTGTATGTCTGTATATGTAGGTGCATAAATATGTGTGTGTATGTATGACTGTGTGCAGGCACGCATATGTATATTTGTGTGTATGTGGGTGTGTATGTATATGTGTGTATATGTGCACATATATGTGTACGTCTGTATATGTGGGGGGGGGGTGTGTGCGTATGTTTGCATGTGTAGGCATGTGTGTGGATACGCCTGTGTGCGTGTATGTATACGTGTGTGTGTATATATGTGTCTGTATACATGTGTATGTGCCTGTACACGTGTGCGCGCTGCCGACCAGCCGCGCACCCCCACAGACCTCGCCCGCCCGCGACTCTCCCCCCACGGGTGTTGCGACTGCGCACGAACGGTCCAGCACCCCACCCCGCCTCGCGCGCCGGACTGACCGCCGCTTTACTGACGGGGAGGAGCCCCGCCCCCTCCCCACCACCTCCCCCCACCTTGCCCTCTTCCAACATGGCGGCCTTCGCCTCGCATGCGTGAGTGCGCAGGCGCTGCCCCGCCTCGCCCTTTCCGCCGGGCGCCGCCGCAAGCGCACAGGGCCGGAAGGCGCCGGTCTGGCCGCTCTCTATGGTTCCCCGCGGTGGGTAGCGCGCCGCTGCCTCGCCTCGCCCCCGCCCGCGCTGCACGCCGGGACACGGCCGGTCCTCCCTGCCTCCCTCCCGCCCCCCCGCGCGCCCCGAGCCTGCGCCGCGCCGACATCCGCGTTGTCCCAAGATGGAGGCGCGGGGCTCGCGCTGAGCGCGGCCCGGCCCGGCAGAGCGGCAGGAGCAGCAGTAGGAACAGGAGGAGGAGACGCGCCCGCCCGGCCCGGCCGCCTCTCCCTCTCCGCCCCGCCAGGCCGCGGCTCCGGCGGCACCGGCAGCAGCGGCGGCGGCGCCTCCTCCTCGCCCGCGGCCCGACCCCGAGCGCGGCGCGGCCCCCGCATGAGCCCGGGCGGCGGCGGCGGCGGGAGCGCCCCGGAGCAGCAGCCGCGGCGCCCAGGTCCGTGTGGGTACCGCGCAGGGTGGGAGCGGGGATGGCGCCTAGCTCACGCCGACCCTGGAGGGGAGGGAGTCGCGGGAGAGGCGGCCTTGCCCGCTCTCCGCCGCCGGGGTGGGTAGGGCGGACGGGAGGCGGCGACCCCGGCGTCCTCTCCCGCTCCCCGGGAGGCACATGGATGTGGAGCCGCCCCGGCGCTCCCCAGCAGCGGGAAGGCCGGCCGGGCGGGTGGCTCCGGGCTTCCCCCGCCCCCCCGGGAAACCGGGTTCGCCGGGCGACCTTGGGTGAACCCGCCTGCCCTGCCTCCGCTGCCCGGCCCGGGGCTGCTCCGCGGGACTGCCCTGGGCACAGGCCGGCTCGTTACCATCGGCGCGGCCGCTGCGGTAACGGGAAGTGCTGCGAGGGTCTCTGACCAGTGTGCAGGGCCTGCTTCACAAAGTGGCTCCGTTCACTTGCTCGTGTTACCTCCTTCGCAGCCTGAGGAGTTGGGTCTGCTCACCTGTGCGCAGGCAGCCTTGATGATGCATGTGATCGGTCGCTCCTGATTGCGGGTCTTTCTGGGTTTCAGTTTTTAAGCAGTGTTTCTCTTAAAGGATGTTATGGTTCACTGTTGATTTGTAAATCAGATGTCTAAGACGATGTGTTGTGGTCGTTCAGAAGTTACTACTGCTTTGGAAACAAAACATGTTCCACGACTCTCGTTTAAGTGGCAAGAAACTGTAATCTGTAGACTTGCAGTTATTCCTTTTTTTGTTTTCCCTCCAATTAATGAAAATACTTGTTTGTATTTCCTTCTGTGTAATGTGGCTGATGTTCTAAGTCTGAGACAAACCACGTGTCTTACACATCACTTCAGGGATGCTCCCTCTGTCTGTATTGAAACTTACCTGCCTCAGTAAGAGTCTGCAGACCTCAAGCTCTGTGAGAACTTGGCTTCTCAGATTGGTTCTGTCGAGCATCTTGCATGTCTAGCAAAAAGTTGCTCAGTGGAAAATTGTACCCAATTTTCACTTTGATTTCCTAACAAAGTAAGACCTACGTGATTGTATTGTCAGTTTATCTTTTTTTTTTTTTTCTGACTGGTTTGAAAGGGAGAGGTCTAAAAGATAAGATTAAGTTCCTAATTCATGCAAATAGCATCCACTTAGAGAGAGATTCCCTGCTAAGGGAGAAGCTACACTCTTAGAGGTTGTACTGTTTTGTTAAACATCTATGACTGGTGGGGGAGAATAATGCAGGTGGTGAGAGGTAGCTCTTGATAAGAATGAAAACTGCTGGGAAACAGGCTTTACAGTTTTCACAAACTGCTTGGTTTGGATGGTGGCACTGAATACTCTGTGCCCTTTTGTCATGGAAACAGTTTAAGGTACTTTTGAGAAATTGGAAAACATGGTAAAACTCAGCTTAATGACTCTGTTGAATTGAAAATATTAAATGTGCATTGCTAAACTGCTGTGGATATGTGAAGAAAACTGTCACTTATATTTGTCTTTTAAAACAGATGTAGTTTGCAGTGCTTATGACTTGTCTTCCTTATAGTAATATTCTGTCAACTCAATACAGAAAAACATTCAAAGAAGACCAGTTGACTGCTTACAAAGCTGAAAAATACCTTTAATTGAAATTATTTCTGTGCAATATTACAGATGCTTCATCAGTTTTACAAATACCTTCCATTCTGCTGTAAATGTTTGCTGTTTAATGTAGCATCTTTCCTAATGGAATTAACAAGTTAATTTTGTTTATCAGAGTTCTTTGCTATTTCTCTTCACTGGAGTGTCCTGAGTATATCCTAGGAATTTAGAAACAAACCCACCAATTTGGCAATATCAGTGGTTGATTTGTTTGGGTTCGTTTTGGGATATGGTTCTGTGACCGTGTAGAAAAAGCCAGGCTTGAAAAAGCAGAGACTTTTTCACAGGAGTGTGCTTCAACACCTGGATTTCTCAGTCCAAGTCCTCCTCAGAACTCTGAAGTTGTGTGGGTTTGATCCTTTTTTTTTCAATACCAAACAAAACTTAGTCTTTTTTTTTAATTGCTGCTGTTGCTTAAAAACATGCAAACAATGATTCTTTTGTGAATGGATTTGAAATTGGGTGTATATGTTAAATACATATAGGGATGTTCTCAGCTTGTTAGAGCACCTTGAGATTGTCCCTATTCTAATTGACTCGAGAAAATAAAACAGGTTCCTTTTCATATAATTTAACTTCTCTTTCAAAAATATGAAATGACATATGTAGCCCAGTATCAAATCATTATGTTTCATTATGATTATGTCCCTTGTTGACATTTTCTTCACTAGTTCTCTGAATTCACAGGTTCTATTAACCAAATAAATAGTAGGGGTAGAAATATCTTTCAGCTGAGTTTTAAGTAATAAACATGCTTAATTGTGAACATAAGTATATAACATTTTAATAAACAATAATTAGTGTAGTACATGATATGACACTTATGATGAAATTAATTTAGTGATTACCATTTGTAAATATGCATCATCTTAATTTTTGCTATGCAGGAAAGAATTTTCTTCCACCCTCTGCTACTTTTAGTTTCAGTTTACTTAGTGATTGTCCAGAGAGAATTCATCTTTTTTAAGCACAGGAAATGTCTTTCTCCCTCCCCACACTGATGTATTCATACACCTGAAGATAAAAGCCGCTAATTTTTAAAAATAGAACACGCAATTGAGGGAAAAGGGGACAGAATTCATGAAGTATGTAGGCATATATCTCATTTCCAGCATCAGTCTTCATTTCTGGTACTGTGGGCCAGGTCTTCACTCTAATTAATGAATTTATATTGATTTTTAAACAAAGGAAGCCTGTTTTACAATTTTTCTGAATTATCCTGTATATTTAAGGTAGTTTTATAGTTCCATAGAGAAGCAGTGTTGAAAAGTTTCCTGTCATTAATCAAATTCTGATTTGTACATGGAAGGAGAGGGTTAATACATTTGTTACCAGGGTCTGTAACAAAAAAATCTAGAGTATGTTGTTTACTTAAAAAAAAAATTACTCCTTCCCCCCTCCCAGAAATGTGTTGTAAGCATTGCTAAATAGCTGGTTCCCAGAGACAACAGCAATGAGCAAATCTCTTGTTTGAAGTTAATTTTGTCACCTTAGATACTTTGACCTCAGCGTTCACTGCATTAACTTCTGGTATTTGCAGGCAGTGCCTGACAGCCTCATAAGGTTGTGTCGTCCATGAATAAAAGTTTGGGAAAAAGCTGGTTCATATGAATACTAATGTGTCTAACATATCTGGTTGGTTAGCAGAAGGCCAGCAAATACAATCTAGAGGTAACATTTTGTAACGAAGCCACACTTCAGTAACTGCACCAGCTGGTGACACGTTTCTTCAGAAAATAACCTCATAGGAGAAACATGAAAAAGAAAATGAAACAATGTTGAGATCCAGGTTTGGCAATATAACACGTGACTAAATAGCACTTTAAATTGCTATTTTTGAATAGTTCCACCTTACTGTGGCTAGGAGTGACAGAACTTATGGACAAAATAACTTACTGGGTGCAAAATTATATTATAAATTAAATATTACCATGGTGTTCTGTCTCAGAAAATATTCTTATGAATGAATCTCTTAAAGGAAGCATTAACTACTTCTTACTTACCTTAATAGGTTGAGCCTGCTTCCCTGTATTATGCAAACTGATGAATGGAGGAAGGGGGTGGAAGTCAGTCTTTACCAATATTCTTTCCATGATCATCCTGCATGGCTCTTTGCCCATGTTTTACAGAGTGGTGAAGAATTAGGAGAAGCTGCAGTTGTTCAGCTGAGTGGAACTAAATGGGTGGCTTCCCTCTGGACCCTCACTTCACTGTTTTAGGTAAGAGGGGTGATTTGCTTCTTTTGAAGCAACTTGCATTTTCTTAGAGCAGAGGTGTATGTGTTTTAACAGAAACTTCTGGTTAGCAAAGCAGGGGTTTGAACTTTTTTTTTTCAATCTGGTGGCTTGAAAGGGGTGTTCATAGCATGTAGCTGTCCCAGTACTTTTCATTGAAAAGTGTTGCTGTTTGCATCCATTCAAATAACTTTTAAAACATTCTTCATATACTAACATGATTTCATTTTGAGGATCGTGCTTATCTTATGTAGTATGTCAAAAGTGGGGCTGTCACTGGGGGTGGATCACAGCAGTGATGATTTAGGACAAACTTGAACTGATGTACCAGTTGACTGCTTAATATGGAGTGTACTACTTTTGTTTTCCATAGACTTGGAATAGTTTGGGTTGGAAGGGACCTTTAAATGTCATCTAGTCCAACCTCCCTGCAATAAGCAGGGACATTTTCAGCTAGGTCAGGCTGCTCAGAGCCCCGTCCAGCTTGTACGTTTCCAGGGATGGGGCATCTCCCACCTCTCTGGGCAACCTGTTCCAGTGTTTTACCACTCTCATTGTAAAAATTCCCTTTCTTATATCTAGTCCTCATCTACCATCTTTTAGTTAAAAATCATTACCTTGTCCTGTCATAGCAGGCCCTTTTAAAATGTTTGTCCTTATCTTTCCTATAAACTCCCCATAAGTACTGAATGGCTGCAGTCAGGTTTCTCCAGATCCTTCTCTCCAGGATGAACAACGCCAGCTCTCTCAGCCTTTCCTCACAGGAGAGGTACTCCAACCCTGTGATCATTTTTGTGGCCCTCCTGTGGACTTGCTCCAACAGATCCATGTCTTTCCTGTGCTGAGAACTCCAGAACTGGATGCAGTACTCCAGGTGGGGTCTCAGAAGAGTGAAGTAGAGAGGCAGACTCGCCTCCTTCAACCTACTGGTCCTGCTGCTTCTGATGCAACCCAGGATACATTCTGGTCCGCAAACCATCAGTATCTCCAAGTCCTTCTCTGCAAAGCTGTCAATTCTCTCATCCCTCAGCCTGTATTGACACCAGGGGTTGTCCTGACCCAGGTTCAGGACCTTGCACTTGGACTTGTTGAATGAGGTTCCCATTGGCCCACTTTTCAAGCTTGTCCAGTTTCCTCCTGGTGGCATTCTGTTCCTCAGGCCTGTCAGCCACATCACACAGCTTGGTGTCATCTGCAGGTTTGCTGAGGGTGCACTAAAATCCCACTGTCTGTCAGTGAAGATACTAAACAGTGCTGGTCCCAGTATGGATCCCTGAGGGATACCAGCTGCCATTGACATTCATCTGAACATTGAGCCATTGACCTTCTGCATACAACCATCCAATCAATTCCTCATCCACCGAAGAGTCCAGCCATTAAATCCACATCTCTCTGATTTCAGGTGAAGGGTGTTGTGGGGGACCAAGTCAAAGGTCTTACACAAGTCCAGCTAGATAACATGAGTAACCCTTCCCTTGTCCACTGATGCAGTCACTATCATAGAACAGCACTTGTTCGGTCAGGCAAGACTTGCCCTTGGTGAAGCTGTGGTGGCTGTCTCAAATCGCCTCCCTGTCCTCCATATGCCTTCATGTTCAGTCCTTTTGTGACAAAATGTCAAAGCTGTGACCAAAATAATTAAAGACAAAATTTATGTGTAAACTATAGGATAGTTTGAAACTCAAAGGGAATTTGATCTTGATGGGTTGTGCATCATCCAGTAGGATCGCAAGCAGAAAATCATGGAACGTGTATTTGAGGTTTGTAGTTGCTGCATAACTGTCTGGCAACAATTAGTCCATATAGTTTGCTTTTCATTCTGGTATCATGTGAGAACTGTGACAGAACTTCTGTCTTGACTGAGGTAGAGTTCTAGAGGTGAAGCTAGTTCATCTCTACTTCACAGAAAAGACCACCATCTTTGCTTCCTTTGACAGACCCCTTTTAGGACTTGTTAATACTTTCTTGATAGTCATTACACCAAAGAAGTTGATGAAACGAGGAGATTAGGATGACAAACACTCCTCTCCCTTACCTGTAGGAGCTGTGCGCAGAGGAGGCACAAGAGCGATCAGTATTGTGTTGCCAAGCTTGCACAGTGCTGAGAGATGCCAGGCTTGTCCAGGCAGCCAGGCTCTGGCATTACTTGTGTGCTCCTGCTCTGGTATGCTCTGTGGGACCCAGGCTGGAGCAGCTGTTGTTCAGCAGACTTGGGGTGTTAGAGGGTGTGGAGTGGCTCTTAAAGGAACTGAACTTCTGAAGTGGGACGTATGTCAAAATACTTCAAGAAAGGCTATCATAGTTGTAGGTGAATTTTTCTTTTGCATTATGGTTAGTCATGTGTTTGAGCTGACTACTGTAATGCTTAAAGTATTTTTATTTTACAGTGTGGTGTTTTTCATTTTCTTAAAAGGAATCAAAAACTTTTGCAAAACTAGATAATACTGAAGAAGTTTATCACTACCGTAGAATTTCTGTTTCTAGTACAATGTTTCATCCTTCTTATTTGTATAACCATATTCAGATAATGATTGCTTTTTTTTTTTTTATAGTGAAATCTCATGTCCAAAGTCTTGGTGATGAATATTATGATTTACTATGTGTATACACCCTACTTTATTTTTAGAAAGTCCAAGGTATACCAGTGTACACTGTCTGAGTAGCTAAATCCAGGCGTGTTTTAGCTGTTGTAGGAAAATTTACTCGTTGTAGATAATAGAAATACATACTTAAAGAGTCCACACAACCTGCAAATGCCATCAGAATTCCAGGACAAGGGAATTCCTGAGAGAGTGTACCACTTCTGTGAAACACTGGTATTTTTTGGTTGTGAAGGTTGAGCCCTTTACATAGTAAGGTTGTGATAAGTACTCCATTTGCAGGATTCCTCTAACATGAATATCTTATTGAAAGAAGGATGTTTGTGAATACTTGTTTTTTATTTGGCTAACGTGATTTTGGTTAAATTTTATTTTGGTTAACATTAAAACGTCAGTTGTGGAAGAAAATTATTATTAATTGAATTTAAATATTTGAAACTGTATTAGAAAATCTATAATACTGGGTAACATACCTACCATTTTCTTTAGGGTAATGCGCTCAGAATTTTTTCTTCTATTCCTGTTGTGTGACAGTTATTGAAAAAAAAAAACTAGGCAAACACAACAACCCAAATACACAAGTGGAAAATATCATTTAAGCACTGATAGAGGTGATTTTATGATATCTTTTATCGAACCAGATATGAGAGTTGCAAAGCATTTTTTGTAATTTATAATTAATTTCTTAAATATTTTACAATTCTGTATAGTACTGTGTGGTTAATTCAGTAGTTTACAAGTCTGTGTTATTATAATCCAGTGTGCCTTGAAGTTTCTTTTTCTTATTGAAAATGTATGACATAGTTGTAAACAAGCAGCTCTTTTGGCTCTGGTTATGTGACAGATCAAGATTTTTTTTTTTTAATGTTGAGTGGACGCAATAGTGTTGACCAAGAATTTAGTCACACTGACCATTTACATATTTTTAGGCAGATGTGGCTTAGTGCTAATTAAGAAGTATTCTAAAGGTGAATGTGAAAGCATGTCTGACTTCATGAAATCATTTTCATTCCTTTTGGACAAGCATTACAGATCCTTGTTTCATTTTGTTGTTGACCAGGTAATCTTTGAGCAAATGTTTTTAGTAGACTGCTGAACTCTCTGTTCTGCCTTAGTGGTGGCTGGTGGGGTGAGACTGAAGAAGGAGAAGTGGAAGTTCAGGAATTTCAGTTTTGTGTTGCTGGAATTATTTGCTCTTCTGCTAACTGCATGTTGTTATGCAAATCCCCTGTCTACATCTCCTCCTTTGTGGTCTTGTTTGCTCTATCAATGGTACTGTCCTACACTACTCCCTAGCTTCAGTTATGTGGGGAAACATTGTTTCCTCCTATTGCTGAGCAATATTCATAAGATCCCTGGTAGATGTATTTGTGATACTTCTTCATGCTGTACTTGGTGCTCTCCTCCTACTCTGTGCGCGGTGAGAATTGGTGCTTTTGTACCTCAGAAGAGAATGAGAGGATTTTATACAGATGACATTGCTCTGTGTATGTAGAGGAACAAATAGATACCTTGAAGTTTAAGATGGAAGTCGTGCTATGCAAGGTGTGAAAATATTGGTCGCATTTGTTAGAATACTTTTAACTGAACGTCTAATGGAGTAAGTGAAGAATTATTCTTCAGTAGAATATAAAGGGTTCTGGGTTTCTGTTGTTGATATGGAGTGGAAGTGCTACCTCCAAACAGGAAAATCATCAGTTACTCTTTCATATTGTTCAAATAATTTTTTCTTTTTTTCTTCTGACTGGCAGTAAAGTTTTCTTGGTACAGTTGTGTATCATTAATCCTAACTCTACAGAAAGCTACCGTAATTATCAGAATTTTTTGTCAAAATAGCAACCTTGTTTCATGAAACAGGTAGGGTGCCCTATATAACTTTTTTATAAAACAAAAAACTGTGTATAAACTGTTAGTGCTTAGAGCTTTACTGGCAAGACTCTGTTGGTCCAGGATCACCCCGTTTCACTTTCCTGATAAAGGAATGGGCCCTTGGCACTAAATGAGGTTTGACGTATTTAAAGATAAACCTGAATCTACTCTTAAAGTAATTTCCATCATGAGAACTCTGGTCTGTGTTGGAGATCAGCCTAAATAAGCTGTGTTGGATTTTTTTGTTCTTAATAGAGTTTTTAAACCAAGAAATTATGTATCAAATCTTCATGGTACTGAAAATGTATTACTCTGTGCCAAATGACTAACTTTTTGGAAAGTAATTACTAGATTTCATAGAATCAGGGAGTGATTAGGGTTGGAAGGGACCTTAAAGATCACCTAGTTCCAACCCAACCCCCCTGCCATGGACAGGGGCACCTTCCACTAGACCAGGTTACTGGGAGCCCCATTCAGCCTGGTCTTGAAGACTTCCAAGGATGGGAAGTCCTGTAGTATCACTACAGGGGAAAGAATGGGGAACGCTGTTTGTATGAACTTTCTGCTTTTGTAGCTTCCTTAACATAGTAAGTATTTTCTATTGTGTTTTTTTATAGGAAGTATGATTTAGTTTGGTAAGGTATATGGTTTAGTTTTAGGTATCCTGTGAGGAGCAAGGAGTTGGGTGCTATGATCCTTGTTAGGTTCCTTCCAAGCTGACATATTCTACGATTCTGTGTCTCCTTTCTTTGCAGACTTGTGAATGCATTCTTGAATGTATTGTCTTGAAGTTGTATTGAGCTTCAGATCAATATGGAGCATGGTGCAAAAACTGAACTGTAATGTTTTGCATTATAGGTACAAGAACTGTAGAAGTCCATTTTGGAATTTGAAAGAGCAAGATTGTTCAGCTCTTGAAAGATATGGTATGTTTATGTTTTCACTTATATTATTTGTATTCTAGTAATTATAAAAACAAATAGTTACACTTTTGTCTCCTGATTTTAAAAAGAAAAACAAAATTGAAAATAAATTCAGGAAGAAACACACATTCATTTGCCCCTTATTTTTTGATGATGTTAACTATTACTTAGTCATAATTCTCTAGAAAACTGAGTTATTTGGTTTTTCTTGGAGAAAATAAATACTCGTGATATAACTAATGAATTCCCTTTTGATTTAACAAACTCAGCATCATGCTACTACCATTCATTTATTTCTCCGTGGATTAGATAAGAATTGGTGTTTTTCTGAAAGCTGTGTGGGTTGATTTTATTTGCTGCTGAGCATATTTATAGTCAGGCTTGTACACCCTTTAGATATGACTCGAAAAGTAAGTTCAGAACTACTAAAAACTTATGCAATCATCAGTGTAAGTCAAATTTACAGATAGGAATGCTGTGAATTACAGAAATATAATCTTTTCTAGCAGTGTTAACATAAACCCATGGTACATGTATCTCTTTTTGTCTAGGCTCCTAAATGTCCAACCGGTTTAAAAATATGTGTATGTGTTGCAGCAGGGTTGGAACTTGAACTTGTAGTTATTTTGATTTCCATTTCCTGACTTTATTCTGGTGTAGTTCTGTGGAGATACCTGGTATTCCTGTGTACCTGGAGATGCACCACTTTGCAGTGTCTTTTAAGTCCTATGGTTCTGCAATGTGGTACATAAAGAATTTTCGAAACTTTTTGCATCACTGCATTCAAAAAACCAATTATCGTTTAAGTTAATTTTTCTACCATATTAAATAGGTCTATTAATGCATATATAAGATTGTATGTAGTTACTTCAACAACAGCTTCTAAACTATGCGTGTACTTCCTCTTAACCCCTTAAAATGTGGGGAAGAGCTCAGTAATTGCTGACAGGAGTTTTCTGTGCCATGGGTTTATGTCTGGATTTTTCTTTTGAAGGTAATTTGCGTAGGAATGTACTTAAAGTTTTGAAGTCTCAAGTTTGGAGAAAAGTTGTTGGATGTTTTTAAGTTGTTTTGTAGGAAGGTATAGATAGATGATAATAATATGATTTAATTCTAAGCTGGAACTTTAGCTGTAGTGTATACTTATTAAAAATTGTAAATCTGTCAAAAAGCTACAATGTTACATTATCACAATCCAGATGTTCCTGAGAGAATTGTGTAGATTGGTCCTTTACTCTAGCAGGCATCTGGCAGGTAGTGTATATTCATTTTTGCACCCACAGCACCACTGGGACCACCCACCTGCTTCTTGCTCTCCAGTTCAATATCAGTTGTATGTGTGATGGCTCTTCTTCAAACCTAAGCCATTGTTTATTTATTGCCATTATTCCTGCTGGCTGCTTTTTTTCTGAATGTTTAACTGCTTGCCACTGTGTGTATGCGTAGAGTCTTTGTAATGGTATGTGCTTCATAAAGTGATGAAGAATTCCCCTCTAGTCCCCCACAAATGGTGAGTAGTGAATACTACTGGAACATCAGAAAAGCTGAATGTCATGCTATAAAATTGCATGGTTGCTTGGTCTTAATATAAACTGTATTTAAACAAACATGCTGGTGACACTGAAGACTTGGTGAACGGAAAGGTGCTTTACATGGAAGGCAGCATGAAAACTGGGCGGCAAAAGAAATCAAAATAACAGACCATAAGCAAAAGGACAGACAGAATGAAAGTTTAAATATTAAAGCTGAAGCAAAGCTGTAAAACTTACCTGAAAGTAACTGAACTTGATAGTTAGTCAGTAAAAGAAGAGGTACTAAAAGAAATTTAAATAGATGATTGGATTTCACCTACTGATGTAGGAGGGGCTTTCTATTCATAACTGTATATCATTTTGGAGGGAGCCTGGAGTAACAGGTATAACTGAAATAGAAACAAATGGTTCTGCTGCAAAAAAATTAGGAGTGTGTGTAGTGGAAGAAAAATCAGCTGTAGTCTAAGTGAAAAATGCAGAAGCTAAAGATAATTTTGTGTCTCTCCTTCTTTTACAAAGGTGAATAAAATACATCTATGATCTTACTGAAATAGCAAGCCAAAACTAAATGTTGAAGGCAAAATCTAGGGTCCAGAGTTGCAGGGGCAGTTGTAGAAAATGGAAATAACACACAGGCCTTTAACTTTGACTTGAGGGGAGGGAATGAGGGCAAACATTAGATATTTTTCTGTTACTCTGTGCTTTGTGGATATCATCGTTTAACCCCAGCTGGCAGCTGAACACCACACAGCCACTCTCTTGCTCCCCCCAGCAGTGGGATGTGGAAGAGAATGGGAAGAGTAAAAGTGAGAAACCTCCTGGGTTGAGATAAAGACAGTCTATTAGATAAAGCAAAAGCTACACACACAAGCAAAGCAAAACAGAGAGATTGTTCACCACTTCCCCATGGTCAGGCAGGTGTTCTGCCATCTCCAAGAAAGCAGGTAACATGTGACAGGTACCTGTGTTCTGTCACATGAAACAGTGACTTGGGAAGACAAATGCCATGACTCCAAACATTATCCCTGTTCCTCCTTTTTCCCTCAGCTTTATATGCTGAGCATGACACCGTATGATAGGAAAATGTCTCTTTGGTCAACTGGGGTCAGCTGTCCTGGCTGTGTCCCCTTCCAACTCCTTGTGCCTGCTCGTGGGTGGGGTGAAGAGCAGGAAAGGCCTTGACTCTGTGCAAGCACTGCTCAACAGTAGCAAAAACATCCCTGTGTTACCTATACTGTTCCTTGCACAAATCCAAAACACAGCTCCACACTAGCTACTGTGAAGAAAATGGACTCTATTGCAGCCAAAACCAGCACAGTAGAGTATTGACATAAGAGCAAAGTACAGATATTATAGGATGGAGATTTATATAAATCGATGCTTGATCTCTTTGTTTTGAGATGCACAAAATTCTACCTTTATTAAACTCATAACTTGTATTTTTACTGAAGTGTAAATTCCAAAATGGCACTAACTTTAATTTGAAGATAGTAGCAAATTCAGATCCCCACCCCAAATAATTTCTTCAAGTGTTACTTGTCCTCATTATCCTGCATGCTTTAGTTTCTAGTCATAGGGTGTTTGTGTGCTTTCTTTTAGTTGGAAGATATTTGTGTTCTTTCTGTGCTGTGAGAAGACTTAGTTTCTTCCAGTGTCCATAATGATTAACCTGATTAACTTTGAATTCCTTTCATTGTCTAATCACAGTGCATTTTCCTCTATCTTTACGTTGTCTTTATAGCTCTTTTCTACTACACTTTTGAAGAATATTGAATAATTGGAGAACTGGGTTTAAGTTTTGAAAGTGTCTGAAATACTTTGTGCAGATGAATAGACACTTTTCCATGAATCCTTCATGAGTCATATCTGTCATTCTTGTGATATTAGGAGGGTGTGTACGTTTGCTCATTGGTTGTGACTGCCTTAGTCACTTCAGGTTGGCATTTTCCAGGATAGAACCCAATTCTTTTGGTCTTCTAACGAATGTGATTTTGCATTTGTTGTTATTAGTTGAATTGTTTTGTTTACTGGGCAGTGGAAAAAAACCCCATATAGATACCTTATTACCATTTGGTTGGGGTTTTTTGTGGCTCCATTAGGATTTATATGATCAGGTTGTATTAGTGCTGGTTTATTTTACCATAGGATCGTTAATAATTTGACCTTCTAATTAGATGCATGAAGACAACTTCTGGAATCTTATGATTTTTTATGTTTTGTGTGTTGGAAGCAGCATGCAGGCAGCAAAAGTAAATGATATTTCCAACCTTATCAAGAAATTAAGGCTTAAATGTGCCTATTACATTATTTATTTGGTTTTTCTCTGCAGATAACAATTAAGATTGAACATAGGGATTTGGTAAATATTCTTCAAGACACTTGAATCAATCTCAATTTATAAAAGGCCAACTTTCCTATCAGTTGTCAGTTCCTTACTGTATAGAGATGACTGTTCCGTTGTGGTGTTCAAAGTCATTCTGGGAACATATAAAATTCATTCTCGGAGGATTCAGAGGGATTCTTAAGAAAACATTAAAAAACTATCTTTAGTGGTATCTTCTTGAGAGAGATGATTAATTAAGCAACTCAAATTCTGATGCTGGATGGTAAGGTAGATCATGGCACTTCTTTGTACAGATGTGAATCACCCCCATATTCAACATAGATCAAAAAGAGAATAATAAAAAAAAATTGGATCAAAGATTACTTGGATAGCCACTTCTGTAAAGGAAACCTAAATTCTTACAAGTGCCACCTCCCAAGGCACCCATCTTTTAATAAGGTCAGTAAGAAGTTATAGTATACAAAAGTGTTCCTTCTCTAAGGGATCTTCGTAGATGTCAGATACTGTGTGTCAGCTGCCAGATTGCTGTGCTCTGACAGAAAATAAACATCAAATAACCCAGGGAAAGTAGTAGGTTTAGGAAATCCATGTAAGTAACAACTTTTAATTTGGTGATTTGTACCTGGAAGTTATTTGTCTTTATTTTTCATTGCTGACAAGTAAGTACTTAAACTCTTCATGCTGTGGCTTTAGGTTCTGTATGTTGCAGCTGGGGACCTCTTCTTGGCTCATGTTTGTAATGGCAGACTTTCGACAGTAAATGAAATATGCAAAGAGAAGATCTCATCAAGCTATGCAACAAAGTTGCTTTTAGCCCCTTCTGATGCATCTGAACTTGCTTTCTGACATCTTGTTCTTTCACTCATTTATTATTTATTTCCTCCCTCTTCTTGAGCTGATAGGAACATTCTTTTCAGAAAATATTCACCTATGCTACCTTGGAGAAATAGGTGGTGTTCCAAATCACTGTATAAACATTATTTATCCCCTTCCCTCTTGATGAGGGCTAACCCAAAACACACAAGGTTCTTCAGACATGTGGTTTGAAGACGTGAAACTTGTGTATTGTCTTCCTAATTGCAGTAGGGGTTGTTGCAGTCCTAGTTGATTCTACCCCTCATAACTATTCACTAGGCAGATATGACCTGCCCAGTCCCAAAGAGCCTAGCGGCCGTCTTGGGTTTCGTGGACATACTCCACAGGCACAGACTTCGTTTCATACCTTCAGCTGCTCTGTCTGTGAAAGCCTAAACCATAAGCCATGATGATCAGAACAGCAAAGACCAGTGAAATTCATTTGAGTACAAAGAATAAATATCTGCTCTGAGACTGCTGTCCCTACCTTCTAAAAGGTAAGTTAGAAACAGAGGGTTTTTTTGTAAGGGAATTCCTGTGACAAAAAAAGCAGTTGGTTTAGGTCAGTTTCCTATTCTTCATAATACCCTCATATAAGATGTTAGTGTATTCCTCAGTGTGATTTCCCTTTCCTGATCAAGCAGTGTGCTTTTACTCTCTTACCAGTTGATTTTTTCTACCTTGTTTGTGTCAGGTAGTCAAAATGTCCTTTGTTCAAACTAGATTCAAAATAAGTGGTCTTTGATGGTAAGTCTCCTTCACCACCCACCCTATGTTTCAACATACTGGTCTCTTTGCCAGCAGACACTACTCTCCTGATGCATGAATGAAGAAGGTTTAGAAAAATTAGTTCTTTCATCTGTTCTAGGGAATCCTTGCCAATCATATTCTGTCCCACAGGAGTGGCAGCAAGGATAGGTGGGGAAGGTAGGATGAGGAGGAGATAGATGGGAAAAATTATTAATTTAGATTTTTTGCATCTAGATTGTTGAAAAGTAAGTGGCATGAGATTTTTAGATCCCCGTACAGTAAGTCTAGTTTTAAGATATCATGCAACAAATCAGAAATGCTGAAACTACCGTATTCAAAGCTCTGACCCATGATACATTCAATTTGTAGATACAAATTTCACAACAAAACTTAAATGAGTTAACTTTGGCTCAGTGAGATTTGTGACAGTTCAGATACTGCTTCTCTTCATGGAACTGCTGTAGTTACTATGTTCGGTGGTATGGTAAATCTGACTAACAGAGTTGGATCTGTGTCAGGCCTTGGCACAAACTTTTCTTGGCTATGCTTGTAGAGCTGCCACCTTAATGCATGTTTTTAACGTTCCAAAATCTGGTGGTGTTTGAATCCAGCACCAGCACTTAATTTGCTCCTTCGCTGTTGTCAGTCATATTCATGGCTTCTCCCATATGAAACAGTCTCAGAAAGACCTTGTTTTACTAAGGTTGCTGTCAGCCTGCTGTTCTAACAGGCTTCCATTTGAAAGGAAGACTCCTGTAAGGAACCTTTGCGTGTGGTCTGGGTGATATAGGGCCAAGTCTAGGTAGGGAGCAATTGATCACACCCTCTCCAGAAAGGAGCTGATACTTCCAGCAGTCAGACAGAATGCAGGTTTTCCAACCAACAAGGCTTTAGAGATTATACGTCTGTCCTCTGACCAGCACACTGAAAGTTACTTGGGCAAAGTGCTAGAATCAGTGTTGGAATAGGCATCTGTTTCTTTAAAGCTGAGACTTGCCTGAAAGTGGACATTTTCAGGTCTTAAACAATCAGAATGCCTAAGCAGTGTTTTACACCTTATTAGTTTTGCATCACCATCTTAATTTTCTCCTGAACTTAAGGAGTAAGGGAAACATAATTGGAGGGAATAAATAGAGGCCAAATTTTGAGATTGGGTGGTTTGTATGTTATTTTCCAGTTAGAGAACGTTTACATTTTAAGCATGAGTATAAAGGTAGCTGAATAGGAAGTTCAGAATTTTGTCCTTATGTCAGGTAAATTTTAAAAGTTAATGAAATAGAAACAGATAATGTATTGTGTTCTGCATAGTATCATCTGTCACTGCATAGTATCCAGCTAGCCTAGGAATTATAAATTGTCTGCCAGAAATGCTTTCTAGGCACTGGGTCTGTTTGGACAGACATTAATTTGAAAATCTTTACCATGTTTGTCCTTTAATGTTGACAAATGAGGAACCTTTTCAACTGACTTTTAATCGTTGTACTGCATTCCTGGCATTGACTCAGTTAAACTTTGACAATTTACACCTGTAAAACATAGGTACTAAAGAACCTCTGTTTTGTTTTGGAGATTTTTGCTAGCCAACTTCTTTTTCACTTTCCTTATGTCAACTGCACTTGTGTTAAGGTGACAACACTCAAGTATTACTAATATTAAAATCATTAAATGGTACTTTTTCTATCTCAGAGAGTGTTCATGGTAAAACCAATAAGCATCATTCTGAAACCAACACAAATTTCATTCTGTTCAGAGTTTGTATCAGAATAGCAAACTGTAGAATGACAAAACTTGGCAGCTTTCCTGACAAACTTTAGAAAATCATAACCCTTACTTACTGGTCAGTGATTTCATATCTCTGACAAGTTGACAGATACAAAGTAGCATTGAGAATCAAATCTAAGATCTCGCTGAAAGACTTGTAATAGGTTGGACTGAAGCACAAAAGAAGGTGCAGTAAAGAAACAAATGTTTTTTACTGAGACATTTAAAGCTACCTGATGTGCTCTCTTAGTATTTGCACCAGATTGCTTTGACTGCGGGTGTTGCAAAAAGCTGCTGGTGTGCCCTCAATAGCTTTGTGCACCTTGGTGTTCTGTATGAGGCGCTTGCTGCATGGCAACTGGCAAATGTGGGGCTTCATCTGGGTCACCACAGGAATGAACTTCTCAGGGTACAGAGGTCTGTCTTCATAGCTACGGCTGTTTAGAGAAAGTAAGATAACTTTTTATTTACTAAATACACTAATAACTCCAATTTTTATCAAAACTTTATATTAGCAGAAAGTGAATAATGCTGTTTGTCGTCTGACTCTCCATCAGAGGCCTTTTTGCTTTACAGGCTTTGTCCAGTGCACTTAGGAGCTTGGGTGGGAGAGAGAATGGGATGAATTGAGTGTTGAGTATTGTGTTTGGAAATATTTTATCAGTTAACTTTAGTTTAGAGTAGATAATAGCAGTAGGTAAGAGACTAACTGGTTCCTTTTCAGCCATGGAAGTAATCAGCTGGGGTGGTCCCAGGGCGCTCTGGGCACGAGTATTGCTGAGTGATCATTGGCTGCCACCTGCGTGACAAAGTAAAGGACCAACCCTTCAATTTATACCAGTGGAGCCAGATCACGGGAAACAATTGACAGGTAAAATACATTTTTGAAAATTTAGGGGACAGGAGAGAGAACACATGATATAAATGGACCAAAGAATCTAAAGATTTGTCACAGATAGCAAAGGTTGCTCTTCTGAAAGTTTTACATAACTGTAGCTTACTTCATTTTGGGGAGAGGCACACAACAAAGTGCAGGTTACTTTTTACTCCCCTGGGAACAGAGCCTTGCTAAGAAACAATGTTAATTGAGTTGTATCAGGGAAACACATAATGAAATTTTATTCTAGTTGGAAATTATAGTTCATATTTACACATATGCTTCCACATCTTTGAATGCTTGTTGTATTAATGTTGGGTGCTTTCCACTGGTCCCAAAGATGGGTTTGGATTTTGGTTTTTTAGAAAGACTAAAAGTAAGTTACTGAATTTTCAAGTTCACTAGTTGATAGCACTGTACTGAGTTACTCTAGAAGTCATAGAATGCCTTGCAAAAAATGGTTGTAAATCGGTCTTAATCTTGGTGATAAAAGAATGCTTAGTATCAATATTTGTCTTCTATTCGATGTTGGTTTTTTTATTTAGAGAACTGGCTGAAAATAATTTTTAAGGGCTTTTTAACTACATTATTTTTACTTATTTAGAGTTGTTAAGCTTATGCTTAGCCCAGCGTGATACAGGACTGGTGTGACAACTCGGTTTTGATCAGTGACTCAAAATTGTGATCACCCTGATGTCACCGAATGGCCACAGCTTGTAAAAGGTAAGTATAAAGCATAGCAGGTTGTTTCTCAGGAATTTCTTACTTATCATGTTTATTTTAAAGTATTTAATTTGTATGGCTTAAAGTTAATTTTATAAATAGTAGTAAGTTATATTGTTTGTTTAAGATAAGTCAGCTGGCAAAGTTGACTTACACTCTTGCTAACAGTGATTTCAAAGCTCACATTGCTTGTCTTTGCCTGCTTTTTAAAATATGAGCACTGTAGTGCTCCATGAAAACCTTCTTAGGAACAATACTATCTCTTAAAACTCTCTGGTAGTTTTTACTGTCATACTGAATTTCTGTATAAATTGTTTAGCATACTTATCTAGGCAGTTCGTTCATTTTTCTTTTTTTAAAGTATTTGTCCAGGAGGCTTGATGATGTTAAAAATGCATAAGCATGCATACCATTACTTTCCTCTCCTAAAGAGGTACACTGAAGGTAAAAGGATTGGCTTGCAGAATGGGGAAGTTGCTCCCTATGTTGTTGGAAATGAGCCACCATTTTAATTTGCTAGCTCATACTGCAGTATTCAGATTAGTTGATGTCTTGTGATCGGTATCTACAATCTAATTCAAAGCTGAAATTTTTAAGAGCATTTGCTCTGAGATTTTCTCTGAACAGAACTCTTGTTTCAGATTTTAAACATAGTGAAAGGACATCTTGCTGTACTATATACTTGTTTTTCAGTATTATTGCTTGCTCAGAGAAAATAGCAAGGTATCTTGTTTGTAAACAATTGAGTATTGCAGAATAAATAGCTTCTTAGCAAACAGGTACAACTTTTGTAATTAGGTTGATCTTCCACTTCATTTAATGAGTACTGAAAGCTCATTTTATTTGGTGCTTACATTGCCATTTGAAACCTTTTAAAATTGAGATAATATATGCATTAATAGTTCTGCAAATCATAATTTTGGTAGGTCTGCTCATGTTTTAGAAAACAGTAAGCCGAAGGAATTTGATCCCTGTTTTCTGTAGAACCACTTATCTTAGTGGACCAAACCTTTTTCAACTCAGCTACATTGAAGTTTTTCTGAACTTTGCTGAAATGTTTTCATGATTTTATTGTTTTGGGGATTTCGTTGGGTTTTTAGTTGTTTCTCTTATAGAATAAACTTTTTTTTCACAGTAACATGTATTGAGCTGTACTGTCTCTTTACAGCCCAGATAAAATACTCACAAATTATGAGGATAGGAAAGGATTTTGGATACACCGATAGCTGTGTTTACATACCTGTACTGCAAATCACTGCCTTTTTTACCTGCAAAGTGGATACCAAACTGCTCTTTTTCTCTAATTCTTCATACTGCTGTTTATTTTAAAGGCTCAAAGTGATTAGTACTCTTGATGTTTTTCTTTTAATGCCGCTACTTCACTCATGTTTTCATAGCAACTGGAAGCACTACTCTTTCCCAAAGCTTCAATGTGTTGTATTTCCCAATACTGAAATAAAGATAGCAACACCTCAAATGTCCAGAGTTTGTGCTATCATTTTCTGAAGTCCTGGAAACAAATAGGAGCTAGCCAGTATGGATATAAACATGCTTCTCAGATTGTGTGGCTTACATGCTTTGGTGAATAATTGGAAAAAAAAAATTGAGATTGTTTTTGTTAAGTATTTTGTGGCTTGTTTTGGTCACTGGAGTTGAAGGGAAATTAATTTTTTATTTGTTTTACTGCTGAGCATTATTTTTGTCAACAACTATCTTCTCCTGAACTTAAGGAGTAAGGGAAGCATAATTGGAGGGAATAAATAGAGGCCAAATTTTGAGATTGGGTGGGTTTTATGTTATTTTCCAGTTAGAGAACGTTTACATTTTAAGCATGAGTATGAAGGTAGCTGAATAGGAAATTCAGAATTTTGTCCTTATGTCAGGTAAATTTTAAAAGTTAATGAAATAGAAACAGATAGTGTACTGTGTTCTGCGTCATCTGTCACTGCATAGTATCCAGCTAGCCTAGGAGTTATAAGTTGTCTGCCAGAAATGCTTTCTAGGCACTGAGTCTGTTTGGTAAAATGCAGAAAGTTGTTAAGGGATGGAATTTTAATAAAGGAACTAAAATTTTAGTAGAGAATTCGGAGAATAATCCAAGCTTTAGAGACCATCCAGTAATATAGCACAGTTAAACATGGTAAAAAAAGGATGTATCAGGCTACAGATGGAGATTTCCAATAGCATTTAGAATATTATAGATAGTCATATAGTAAATATTAGAAATTCCATTTCTATAAACAAAGTTTTTTTCCTGAAAAAGCTGTGGGAAAACCTGCTTAGCTGTCCTAACTGAAGTCCTCCAGCAGACTCTGGTGAAACCTACAAAGTGAGTTCTATTTTAGCTCACTTCTGTTTTGAGAGCTGTCATGAAAGGGACTTTTGTTCATGTAAGCTACAGAGTTTTACTGTAGTGGCTGTGCTCTGTTTCCACTCCTCAGAATATTTCCAGAGTGGCAGTTCTGGTCAGGTGTACCAAAATCCATATCCAGGTAAGGGTTCGATAAGGTCCTTTAGGGTGTGATTTCAAGGCATTGTAAGGCAATGAAAATCAAAACTGCTGCATTTATACTGCCTTGTCTTCTGGCTTGTCTAGTTACAAACTCACTGACTAAGGGAAAGTCCCAAAGGGAAGAAAAAAATACTGCCTAAAAAAAGTTAACTTTTTGAATCAGTACTTCCTTAAGGAAGAAGATGGGAGTAAGGAGGAACTAAATAGATATAATGTAGCCTACTTAAGTTAGCATGAAGCTATACCTCTTAAATTATTCTGTAAATTAAGTCGAAGAGGTTGCCAAACTAAACACAGGTACTGCTTGTGTATTCCAAAATGCCAGACAATAACACCTAATTCTGAATATTACTGTCTGATCTCTTGGCTGGAATGAAGAAACAAAAAACTGTCTGAGATTACATCTACAAATTCAGGTGGAGAGAGATGTGAAATTTGTTATGAGATTCTGTTGGAACCTGCTTCTGAGCTGCTACTTTTTAGAGTCCAGCTGTGTAGAGAATCTGTTTGTTGCAGTTGATCACTGATAAACTTTGAATAGATATTTTGGTTACAGAAGTGATTATGAGGAACTAGCCCAGAACTGGTGCCCTATGCAGCCTGAATACAGAAGTACTCCCAGCAGATCTCTTCTCTAATGGCTGCTGTTGCATAAGCAGTGGGGGAAAAGCACTGTCCTCCTTAAAGAAATCTGGCTTAATTATACTGTCAGGTTTTATGTTACAAGCTGTATTCTAGAGTTTGGTAAAATAAATTAAATCTGTAAGCGTCAAAAAGTTGATGCTGTTAGTGGCAATAGTACGCTACCATTACTTTCCACCTTTCATAACTTTTCATATTGTAATGACTTAAAAGAACAAAAGGTTAAGGTTTTCTATCTGGTTTTGCAGATCACCAGGAGAACCTCACTCTGAGAACATTGAAACTAGCCGAATGTAAGTAAATGAGTGGATGAGTTTGGTGTGTCTTGTTTAAAAATCTTTTGAACTTATGTAACAGCTATTCTTGCATCTGCTGAGTAGCAAAGACAAAAGCTGAGTAGAACTGTAGAATTACCTTAGAAAGTTTCAAGTTAATATTTTGCTGTGGAAAAATAATTTCAAGCCTCTATATAAACTGTGATGATTTTTTTTTGGAGGGTGAATGAGTTGAAGGGAAAGTTGAGAGGTTTAACTTAACGTGAACCAGTAGATGGTAGCATAATACAGTGTCAGAAATCTGAAGGCCTACATTCAGACTTGACAGTAAGGGTGTAATTTCTACCTGCTGTTCACTAACATCTTGCATGGCTTTGAAGACACCTCAGCACTAAGGTACAACACCTGCTGATATCTGTTGTGGCATGGATTGTTGAACTAAGAAAAGAAAAGTCTGACTTAATTTGGTGAATTTATATACTAGTTAATTCTGGAAACAACAAATTGGCTCTCTTTCGCTAAATGGTGAATCTTGCATAGCATCTTGCTGACAGTTCTGAGTCTTGTTTTTCTCTGCCTTTAGTATAGAAGCCAAGATCAACTAGAAGCAGATTGTGATGGGCTGAAATGTTCATTTGTATTTAAAATTCAAAAGGGTTGCAGGAATGAGAGGACCATTTTAAAAAAAAAAAAGGTTATTTGACACTTTATTCTTCTGTGAGTTAGCATACAAAGATTCTTTCCTAGCTATTCAAACAGTCCTGTCATAGAACTCAAATAGGGAAACCACAAACTCTGCTTTTCTGGCTTACAGCAAAGTTCCAAAATAATAGAGGGAGTGTAAGCGCAATGGTTAGTGTACTGTCTAAAGCTTCAAAGGATCTGGGTTCGTTTTTCTTCTGCCACAAACTTCCTCTCTGACCTTAAACTGTCTCCTCCACGCCTGCCCCCCAAGTGGTTTAGTATTTTACGCACCGTGGGCTGGATGCCAGTTTCTGGATGTTTTGTAGGCTGGGGACATAGTGTGAATTGCTCAAGGACTTCTCTACTGTAGCTGCCCAACTTGGGGAGGAGCAAAACTGAGGTTGAGCCCACACATGCATTTGGAGTGCATACCTAATTTTAAAAGGGATGAGAAGGAAGCAAGAATGCTTTTCTGATGTGTTTTTAGCAATTCACTGCAGTGATGCCTTTTCTTGCACTAGGAGTAACATTTCTCCTGGGATGACAAATTTCTTTTCCCTCTCTCATACCATCTGTTGCAGAAGTGCTGTCTGACTGCTTCCTTAGGAGTACAGGTTAATAGGGATCCAGACCTGAGAGATGACTGGCTGTCACTACGTGGACACGTGTTGCAGGGCTATAGCCCTGCCGTAGTCTCTTATTTCTGCTCCAGTAGTGGCCTGTGCTGCACTGTCTTTTATTGTTCCTGCAGCAAGTTGAGTTGTGTTCTTTTGTTTCCCTGGCCTAGCCAAACAGGGGAAATCAGGCTGCAGGCTGGCTGTAGTCCCCTCTGGATATTGTCAGTTGGACTACTGTTTTTTATACATTGGAAGGAAAGATGTATCAGGAGCAGTCATCTAGAGTGGTGTGAAACAAAGACTCTGTAAGGACTTATGATAAAACAGAAGGAAAAGGCAGTAAAAGTCTTTTTTTCCTTCTAGAATTTTGACAATTCTTTTACGTATGTTGTTTATCCTCCTTAAAACTGAACCTGAAAAAATAATCTACAGTAGTAAGCTTTTCTGCATGATAGCTGAGTGCTTTTTTTTTGTGCAGAACAATAATCAGAGTTGTCCTGACTTTATAGATTTCAGGTATTTGTCTGTAACAGATGTAAGCCAGTGAAGCCATAGGAATTCACATATTTGAGTAGTAGCTACACAGTATGCTTGCAAAACTAAATTGTTTAAAATTGTATGACAATTTGATGTGTAGGGCACCTATTACAGAGAATTTTTGCAATCCTGCTGCGTAGTTGTTCTTGCTACATAAGGTGGAATGGCAGGCTGAACATGTAGCTAAAATATGTTATTTACATACCTATAAGTCATTAGTAAATGCAGGAACTTAGGCAAGTATTTTGTTACAAATTTCCACAATGAGTGGTTAAATTGTTTTTGCTCTGGTTGGCTGATATAATTGCTTTATTTATTTCTGTGGTTTGCATTGCAAAGCTTTATACCAAGAGCATAGTCACATATGTTTAACATGTGTGAATGAATATTAATTAAAAAATAAATACTCTTGGATTCTTACACAGCAAAATCTTCCATGGGTAAGTCTTGCTTATCCCAAAGTTTTCAAATTCTGGCTCTACATGTGATGAACATTGTGGTGCTAGCTCAGAGTTAGGGGTCTCTTTTACCTTAACATTCATTCAAGTCTTTGAATTTTTAAGGTCAGTATCTTCTATCTGCTCCTATCACACTTCTCCATTGATTTTCAGCTTTGATTAGTATAATTTTCTTAAAACCTCTTTGGCACTAAATTACATAATTTAATTGTTTACCAGCAACAACTTCTTGTTCATGTGTTTTCACTCTCCATTGTATGTAGTCACATATCAAGACAAAGTTTTGGGTGTGTTGATATGGCTTTCTGTGCATTCATCTTTCCTCTCTCTGCTTTTGAGGATGGGATGCCTTGCAATTTTGAAACCCCTCTCTGCTTTTCTAATAGGACTGTAGCAAGGTAATTTTTCTGAGAGACAAGTTTACGAGATAGATGCTGACTTTTCTTCATTCCCTCTCTCTAGCAGTCTTCCTGCATTGCTCTATGTAGCCAGGAGAGATCTGTTCTCAGGTTCACACTTCCTGAGGAAGTACCATGCCTGACTTTGTCAGCACATAATGTGTTCCTGGAGGCACAGTGGATCTAGAATATATGGTAGGGAGGGAGGTCCCTTGGGTGAAGCCAGTATGGTCCAAGGGGGTTCACAGTCTGCACCCAGGCTATTGGGGTCCACTACACTGGAAAGAACGAGGTTTGGAAAATGTGAGTTCCACGCGCATGTGGTGTCAGTGGCTGAGGTGGGAGAAAGGTGTTACAAAACTGCTGGAACAGCAGGCTTGGTTCCAACTCTGGGTGGAGGGTTTGGCAGTTTGGTGCACAGGGCACTTCAAAAGGGTCTCTGTGGGCAGTGCTATTCCTGGAAACTTGTCTTCTCTAGCGCTGCTGCTCTTAATCTAACTAAACAGAAGCAGGTTTGAAACTGTTTGAAACAACATGCAAGGTTTGAAACTGAAACTCTTAGAAAGCAGTATTTAACTTCACAAAGATATCCATCCACAATCCACACTTTTTTTAACAGTTTTTGATCCACTGGTCATCTAGTTTCCAAAGGGTAGTAGAACTGTATAAGTCTGTTTCTACCTCTGTCTGTTAATGCATATACTGGAAGTTATTTTGCTATAAGTACTAAAAAGAAACGTTCCCTGTTTTATTTTTCCTATCCAAATGGCAAACATAGATTTTCTTCTAGTTTTCATGGATATTAATAGTTTTGTTGTTTGTTGGTTTTTTTTTCTTTTAAGAAAATAGCTTATGAAAATTTTGACACTTCCGAATTCCTAATTGCCATTGTAAAACAGGCTGTTGTAAATTTCCACTTACTAAAATCAGCTATTTTGGAGCAATCATAGAATCATCAAGGCTGGAAAAGAACTTCAAGATCATCAAGTCCAACCCTTGACAAATCACCACCTTATCAACTAGACCATAGCACCAAGTGCCATGTCCAGTTGTTTCTTGAACACTTCCAGGGATGGTGACTCCACCACCTCTGTGAGCAGCCTGTTCCAAAGCTTGACAACTCTTTCAGCAAAGAAATTTTTCCTGGTGTTCAACCTGAACCTCCCCTGGTGCAGCTTGTCCTCTTGTCCTGTCACTGATTTCCTGGGAGAAGAGGCCAACCCCCACCTGGCTACAGCCTGCTTTCAGGTGATTGTAGAGAGTGATAAGGTCACCCCTGAGCCTCCTTTTCAGAGCTCCTCTGGGCTAAACAAACCCAGATCCCTCAGCCACTCCTTGCATGACTTACTCTCTAGACCCTTTACCAGTTCTGTTGCCCTTCTCTGGACATTCTCCAGCACCTCAATGTCTTTCTTATAGTGAGGGACCCAGAACTGGACACAGCACTTGAGGTGCGACCTCACTGGTGCGGAGTACAGGGGGGTGATCACTGCCTGGTCCTGCTGGCCACACTATTGATACATACTGTGGTACAGACCAGGATGCCATTGGCCTTCTTGGCCACCTGGGCACACTGCTGCTTCATGTTCAGCTGCTGTTGACCAGCACCCCCAGGTTCCTTTTCCACTGGGCCACTTTCCAGCCACCCTGCCCGCAGCCTGTAGCACTGCGTGAGGTCATTGTGACTGAAGTGCAGGACCTGACACTTCACCTTATTGAACCTCATACTACAGGCCTTGGCCTTGGCCTTGGCCTAGGCCTAGTTGATCCAACCTGTCCAGATCTCTCCACAGAGCCTTCCTGCCCTCCAGTAGATCAACACTCCCACCCAGTGTGAGACTTCTGTGTAAAACTAATATAAAAGTTGTTGTGTCGCAAGCAGAAACCATTCAGAAGTATGTAATTTTGTGCTGGTATTTCCAGACAAGTATGAAACAGTCATGCGTATTTCTGAAATTTAGGTAAACTTAAAAGCAAAATGTGATGCATTTATGCAGATATTTTAAACTTCCTTTACATAGTATTGCTCTGAATTTAGTTTAAAATATTTGAGAAATGCAAATTAGATTCTGTTTCATAGGAACTTTTGAGCAAGTACACTCAATATCTTATTTCCTATAGATTTTAGACATTCAAAAATTACTACCCAAATTCTGCCCAGTTCATCTTTGCCAAAGAATCTACAAACACAGAGGATCAGTTGTGTATGTTTCTAGTAATACTCCACAGTTTTGGCGGCATTTAAATTGCAAATGCGAAGTACTTTTTATGTGGCTTTTTACTAGTTAAAAAAAAAAAAAACAAATGAAAAACCTAAAGGCATTCTTTTTTTCTTTAAGTACTGCAAAAGTAAGTCAGTGAATACTAATTTCATGCTAAATGGAATAATGTGCTTACAAAATTATTGGACATTGGGGAAGGAAGTTGATGTCTATTTTAGGTGCCTCTTCTCACTGAAGCAGTGTGTATTGCTTGAGGAGGTTATACCAGGCCCACTGTGTGGGAAGTTACCCTTAAGGCATAAGGAGATGCCTGTGATATATCTGTGAAATGTTCACAACTGCATCTGCACCAGTGCAGTTTCATACTTGGATGTGCAAGAACAATATGAGTATTCCGAAACATATATGCAGGTCAGTCACTGCAGCTTTAGCTACAATAGTAACTATGTGCTAATGTACAGTGAACTAGTCCTTGAGTTTATAAGGGAAGAGTTATAGGAACTTAAAGGGAGCTGTGGTCTTCACGGGTGTAGCATGAGCTAAGAATAGAGTGGTTTTATGTTACCTCACTTGATCAACCAGTTTTAATCCCTCAGGTCAAGACTTTAAGTTTTCTGCATGCTAAATGAGCAACAGAAAGTGATCAGGTTTTCACTTCTGGAGAACACAGAAGTTATGTGGGTTTTTTGCTGAATAATGTGGGAATAGGAAATGTGGACTGTTGTCAACGAGCAGTGATAATAATTCCTGAAGTACCCCGGTGGGAATGTGGTGTGGCATATCTTACTGTTCTGTAAAATCACACACTGACTTATTGGAACTGCATTTTCTGTGTAAGTACTTCCAACAATGGACCTCAGTAAGGGTAGCTCTTATGGAAGGCCCAGTAAATTCTATTCTACCTTCTTAGGTTTGTATCCTCCCTTTGTCTCCACCGTTTTTTATATTCTTTAAAAATTTGTCAAAGCTCATGTCCAAAGTCTGTGGGATAGTTGCCCAGGGCGAGGTGGGGGGGTCCAGCTGGATCGCTATAGGTTTATAGTGCTTGTGGGACTTCTCTGGGAACACTTGAAGAGGTGGCCGATGTCATCACAAGGCCTTTCTCAATGATTTTTGAATGATCTTGGGAATCTGGAGAGTTCCCAGTAAATTGGAAGCTGGCAAACATTGGCCCAATATTCAAGAAGGGCAGGAAGGATGACCCTGGAAAACACAGGCTTGTCAATCTCACTTCTGTGCCTCATAAAATTATTGAGAAGATGATTCAGGGAGTTACTGAAAAACACCTGAAAGACAAAACAGTCATCAGTCACAGCCAGCAGAGCTTCATGAGGGGGAAGTCATGCTCGTCAGACTTAATTTTCTTTTTTGATGACAAGGCAACCCACCTAGCTGATCAAGGAAAGCCAGTTGACATGATCTTTTTGGATTTCAGTAAAGCTTTTGATACTGTCTCTCACAGGATCCTTCTGGACAAACTGTCCATCACACAGCTGGATAAACACATCATGTGGTGGATGAGCAATTGGCTCACAGGTCAAGCACAGGGGGTAATAGTGAATGGGGTAACATAAGACTGGCGACCTGCCACTAGTGGGGTTCCACAGGGCTCCGTCTTGGGCCCTGTGCTCTTCAACATCTTCATAAAAGGACTTGGACACAGGACTCAAAGGGATACTAAGTTTACCAGTGATACTAAACTGGGAGGAGCTGTTGGCTCCCTCAAAGGCACGGAGGCCCTGCAGAGAGACCTCAACAAGTTAGAGGGCTGGGCAATCACCAGCCACATGAAGTTTAACAAGGGCAAGTGCCAGATTCCACACCTGGGATGGGGCAACCTTGGATGTACCTAGAGACTGGGGAATGAGATGCTGGAAAGCAGTGCCATGGAAAGGGACCTCGGTATTCTGGTTGATGACAATTTGAATATGAGTCAGCAGTGCCCTGGCAGCCAGGAGGGCCAACCGTGTCCGGGGGGGGCATCAGGAAAAGCATCACCAGCCGGTTGAGGGAGGGGATTGTCCTGCTTTGCTCTGCACTGGGGTGGCCTCACCTGGAATACTGAGTGCAGTTTTGGGCACTGTAATGTAAGAAAGGTACAAAGCTATTAGAGGGCATCTGAAGGAGGACTATGAAGACGGTGAAGGGCCTTGAGGGGAAGCCGTATGAGGAGCGACTGAGGTCACTTGGTCTGTTCAGCTTGGAGAAGAGGAGACTGAGGGGAGACCTCATTGCAGTCTACAGCTTCCTCGTGAGGGGAAGCAGAAAGGCAGACACTGATCTCTTCTCTCTGGGGGCCAGTGACAGAACTCAAGGAAACAAAATGAAGTCATGTCAGGGGATGTTTACCAAGACAGTGGTTGGGCACTGGAAAAAACTCCAGGGAAGTGGTCACACCACCAAGCCTGGCAGAGTTCAAGAAGCATTTGGACAACACTCTCAGGCACATGATGTGATTCTTGGGGTTGTCCTGTGCAATGCTAGGAATTGGACTTTGATAATCCCTGTGGATCCCTTCCAGTTTGGGACATTCAATGAAATTCTAGTACTGCTGTATTCTGGTACTGTTGTACACCGTATTGTTTGCTTCCATACTTTATTTAAAAAATAAATAAATAAAAAATCTGACCTTCAGTCAGAACTTCTGTCTCTAATGAAGTTTCACAGAACTTGAGCCAGTGAGTCTACAGCCATGAGTCAAAATGAAAGTGTTTGTACAAACAGCATTATTGTAGGCATGGCAAAGTTTGAAAAGTAATTGGTAGCTAAATAGAAATGAAAACATATTGAGTCCCTCAGAAGTTGACTGTTAGAGCCAAATCTAAGCTTATCTTTATCTCCTGGCATCTCAGATATGACCTAATTAAAGGGGAGTGTTGTTTAATATGTTAAAATGTGGTGTTAATATACCAGTGTTTATACATTTAGATAACTTTATTTAAACTAGATATGTGGGCTAAAAAGGTGTGCATGTTGGTGAGATGTGGCCATAGCTTAGGTGTAAAAATTCAGCTTTTTCATGTGATAGACTTACCTGCTTACAAACGACAATATTTCATACTCTAAATCTGAAGGTGTGGAATGATCGAAGGTCAGGAATGATCAAAGCATGAAATCTTGGTATTCACAAACAGATGTCTGTGAAATTATGTACTGGTCTAAGTTGTATTAAAACACTGGTGTTTTTAAGCCTCTATGCTAATGGCTGAAGTACGAAAGACAAGATTAAAAACCACTTATTTTTAGAGATACATAGAGAGAGGCAGATTTTCCTAAGTATACATATAAAAATTTGAGAGAATAGAACTCTTTCATTGGATTAGAATATAGCTATTCCCTGTTTATACAGTAGTGGCTTTGACGATATTGCTCATGCTGCCTAATTTTTTTTTATGATCTTTTACCTCCATCTCGAGGTGGCAGGGAAACATTTCTACTCAATTGTTTTTTTTGTCTTGTAGTGCACTGGAGCATTTGGAAGGTCACGTAGACATCGAGGTCATGGTTTTCTTTCTAAGATATATTTTCTTCTCTAGGGTAATGAGATCTTGAAGGGTGAACAAAAAGGAGCAAAGGTGTTATTGCTGAGTAATACACACCTCAGTAGTCACAGTCAGAACGTTTTCCCTTCTAAAGCAGCTGGATTGAAACTGATACTTAGCCAGCCAGTATTAACAGCTAGGTGCAGCTAGTGCTAAGTAGTACCAGTGGGTCTAGCACTTAAGTTCTGAAGTACTTGTTCTATGCAGAATCTGTGCATGCATCAACATCAGGAAAGGCAACTTTAAGTTAATATCACAATTTCTGATGAAAATCTTGCTTCCTATGTTCTAATCTTTATAGTACTGTATCATTAAAGTTACATAAAAGGCCTGCATGTTACACCTATTCGAAATGTTTGAATTGTTTCATGGTTGATAGTTTTCATTAATAACTTGTTTTCATTAAATGAAGTCAAGGTTTGGGGGCTTCTTTCCAAAATACAGTCAATTATGGTGCTCTTAGTACTGCATGCAGCTGCTTCTGTCCTGATTACCTGCAGCTTTCCAGTAATTTCTTTACTATTTGCAAATTTCTGTAGAAGTCTGTGACCTTATTAATAAAGCAGTTAAATTTTCTTCTGTGTGTATATATAGTACTGAGCACATGGACTTGTATAGCAGTACAGCTGTGATTTTTTTCAGATGTTTGCTTGCCACCTATAATGGCAGGAGAAAGGGAAGGATTTGGCAAATACCTTTTTTTTTAGAGAATTTATTTAAGCTGAGGAGAAATATATTTAGCCTTTAGCTCATCTGTATTTGTGGTTTTGGCATCAGTTTAATTAATCAAGAAATATTTTTCATATGAATTTAAATAGACTAAATATGTGATAATTTAGTCATCTAGAATCTTGCTAAAATGGCTTAGATTTTTAAAGGCTTTATATCTTATTAGTGTACTATTGATAGTATGCTAAATAAATGTCTGAATTGTTTGTATTTCATGCCTCTTCCCTCTGTCAGTGGCAACTATGCCTCAGTACTATATATTAGATTCAAAAACTGTATGAGATCCAGTTCTGTTTCACTTGCAGCCTTGTTTTGCATCCAAATTGCTCTTTTTCAGTGATAGTTGAGATTGTTCAGAACTGTAGATTGTCTCCACTATAGCACAACAATGTAAAGCTGAAAACTGTGCATAAATAGGATTTATCTTACTCTTACATAGAACCCATAAATTAAATTGTGTGTTAAATATATTTACATTTGTCAAGATGAGAATCCTGCATTTAAAAAAAAAAAAAACTCCTGATGTGTCCTCTCTGACAGAAATCTTGTGTTTCAGTGCCTGACTAATCTCTGCCTTGCTGATGCTATTGAATGAGCTCTGTATGTGAAAGCTCTACTAATCCTTGTACTTACTGTTTGAATGTTTGCTACAGGAAGCGAGCAGCTGCAAAGCATCTAATAGAGCGCTACTACCACCAGTTAACCGAGGGCTGTGGAAATGAAGCCTGCACGAATGAATTTTGTGCTTCCTGTCCAACTTTTCTCCGTATGGATAACAATGCAGCAGCCATTAAGGCCCTCGAGCTTTATAAGATTAATGCAAAACTCTGTGATCCTCATCCCTCCAAGAAAGGAACGAGCTCAGCTTACCTAGAAAACAATTCCAAAGGTGCCCATAACAATTCCTGCACTGACAGAAAAATGAACAAGAGGGAAATGCAAGGCCCAAGAGATGACTTTAAAGGTAAGATGTTTAGAATTTTCCTAAAATAAAACACATTTCATATGCAAGAGTACAAGCCAACAGAATTCACTGTGGTGGGGTTCTGCTGACTTCTTAAGTAAAATACAATGTTGGGCGATCAAGTATTTTACTATGGGTTCTGAAAAATGGCTGGATTAATGCTGAATACTGATTCTGAATGTGAATCTTTACCACCTGTCTGTTAAAATCAACATGCATTTGTTGTCTTGTGACAATAGTGATTTTGCAAATATGGAAAGGCTTTTTTAGGTGCTGTTGTATGACTGTTTTAGTTTCAGTAGTTTCATAACTCTTCTGCAATTAATGGGTTATAAAAGTTATGCTTTAACTAATTCCAGATTCTATGTTAAGAAACTTAACAGATGAAAAAAATGATACAGTGGATGATAGGCAATACATTTACTAAACTAAAAAATGTTTAAGCAAAGTTATTTCTAAGCCAGTGTACAAAAATGAAATAATGATCTGTATATCTTTTATGTAGCTTTTCAAACTCTCAAATAGTAAGTACATACTAATAGAATAATGCTAGTTGTTGCCAAAAACCTGTGATGCTACCAGAAATCAGACCAAATGTAATTAAAGGCATTAACCTTTGAGCAGATCTTTTTAAGGATTATGACAATAAGTGGTATAAACACAGAAGTTCAGATTCATTCATTTTAGCTAAAGAAGGTGAAACTGTTTACAGCAAAGAATTAAAGAGGCATGTAGAGTCAGCAGTAAAGCATAGTATGGTGTTATAGGAGACCTAAGATGTTCCAGTCAATAGCTGCATCAGTTTGTTCTTTATCTGATGCAAGAATAAAATTGTCCAAATAAGCAGAGAGGCAAACAGTAGGGAGGAGAAAGGGGGGCAGTGTAGTATTAGGTGGATGAGAGGCACATAAGGTCTGTTTTGTGATTCGTCTCTTGACTGTGTGTATTTTTAATGGAGCTGTGCATATACAGAATTTTCCTCATTCTCTCTAATCATCCCCTCTCCTAAGGGTAGATGCCTCAGAGTCTTCTCAACCTACCTTCAGAGACAGTCTATTGGCTACAGCAGTGACTCAGACTTCCTCTATGGGAACATCACAAATATTGACCTCTCTTTGTGGCAGTATAGACAGAGAACAGTAATGCTCTCTGAGACCTAGTTACTTTTGGAATTGGATGATGTCTAAGGAATCTAATGCTCTGAAAATTTTTAAGGTCTATCTGCTGCAACACTTACTGGGAAAACTGCAGTTGTGTTTAAGAAAGCCAAGGAAAAGGGTGTGTAGCTTGCCTTTATGCTTGACATAGGATTTAAAGTTCTAAATAAATTGAAAGAAATACCCTTCAGAAGTAATTATTTACTTTACTTTTCTGGAGTGGTAAGCCCTAGAACTTTTACCTTTGGGGAAGAAGCTACATGGAGGCCATTGTAAGCATCTCAGTAATATCTTAGATGGCAGTTTAAAAGGAAGGAAATAGAGAAATCACAAATATATAAAAAGCATAGGTTACAATTGTTTTCAGAGAGAGAGGAGGCACCATTTAAAGATCTCTGTAATTACCTGGGAAGCTATTTTCAATTTTGATCACCAATATATTAAATTGGAAAGAGAGAAGGTTAGGCAGCAAGCACACAATTTTAAAAAGGTTCCATAAGAGACAAAATAAAATTAATAAATTTGCTAATTAGGGAGTGTGTTGTTGGCAATATTTAGATCACAGGTAGTCTTTCACATCAAGGATCACTGCTAAAGCTTGACTTCATGTACAGATTTGTTATGGAGTGTTACTGAGAACAAGGTCTGGGAGGAGTTGCATTTACTTCACTGGATTGCTTCTTTGAAATAGAAGATGTGAGAGGAGAAGGCATGTAAAAGCTAACAGATTCAGACATAAGTAAGCCAAAATTGGCTTGTGTTAGAAGGAAGCTTCACTTACATTTGTTTTCCTCCAGCTGTTCTCACTGCTGTAAAGTAAAAATGAGGCAGACTCTTATGGCAGCTCCTTTACCTACTAGTCACAGGATATGACTTTGAAAGCTGCTATGAAACTGATGATGGTAATATTAATTATTTTAACTGGAACTTGCACATGGTTAGTTCCTGAAATACTAAAACCTTTAGAAGAATGACTGAGAATCCTTGCTGTAAGTATGAAAATCTGAAATGTGTTATATTGTTAAATTACCAACTTGTGCTGCTAATTTTTATGTTATGAATGACCTCGGTGGTCCAGAGTCAGTGAACTTGAGACTGTGGTCCTCATTTTGAGGAGCCGTTTCATGGAACAACATCTGTATCAGCAGTTAAATTTCTTTTGGATGAGTTTTGCTTCCTGAACGTGCACTGCATCAGATAAAAATAGGAGCTGTTGCACTAAGCTTTTCATAATGTTGTCAGTACTGCTGTTTTTTTAACAGGACAGATTTTAGTTTTGAGCTTTTTCACTGTCTTCAGATTGGTTGGAAATCAGTCTAAGAAGCATGACATAAGCTTAACTCTTCCTGTGTTATGTGTGCTTTAAGAGTGCCTTGGGGCTCTGTGGAAGTCAATAGATTGTCTATCTTTGGCCATCTAGTTTGAATTTTTAATTTAATGACTGCTTGGAATGAATATTAGTGTAGATAATCACATTTCAAAATACTTTAACATATAGTGTCTTTATTAAAAATGTCTATTACAATGATGCACTTCCTTCTTTCTGCAGAGGTAGTTAGTTATTCTAGCATGGTTGATGAATACAGTTCTGAGATACATGTTTTCTAGATCTCTAGAGATGCTATTAAACAGATTCGGTTTTAGGTCTAAACTGTGTCAGTTCAGAAGAATCTGCATAAACTAGAATATCTTTTCAGGATCTGATTGTGGTAATCCTACTCTAAAACATCACCTCATGTGAAAGCATCTATGGGTTCTGTTTTAAGAAGTAACACAGAAGTTTTCTCTTTTTCTTTTCTAAAGAGAAAGAGATTTCAAATAACAAATGGGCCTCCCAGATGACTTATTTTGTATCAGGAGTTTGGGGAGAGGGAGAACAGATAGGTATTTGGAGCCGATGATGTTTGTAAACCAGCTTGTTCCTCTGAATAGCGTGTTGATGAGTATACCCAAGTTGTTTATCTCAGTGAGGTCTAATGTACAAAGAAATAACCCACATGCCTCACTGTGTGTATAATTTAAAAGGCAACATACATTACTGAGCATATATTGTGGTTTTTGGGAGGAGTTTCAGGCACCAGTTTAGTATAAAAACAGTTGCAGAAAGCACTAAAAATAGAAATAAGAAATCTTATATTCCCATTAACATACAACAAAACAAATTATTGAATCTCTTCTTCAAGATCTGTTTTTAAGGGAGAAAGAATGTGTGAAGTCCATAGACATGCTACATTTGAAAGAAAGAGGTTGATACAATCTGGTTTGTTTAGTTGAATGATTTATACATGACCTATGCAGATTTACCTGAAGACTGTATTGTTGCAGTTTAAACCTCTTACTGATTGCTCTTGTTTAGACAATATAGTACTGTTAACTACCAGATGTAGTTAATTGGCTGAAAAACAGTTTCAGCGTTGTGCGCATTCTGATTGACATCCATGAATAAAGTATTTTACAAAATCTGTGAATGAAATTGTGATTCTTCATGCTAATAAAATTATAAAGTATATAGTAGTTTTGAAACTATCCAGCACTGACACTGTTTTTCCAGTGTTTGTGATGAGATGACACACAGATTTCTTCAGAAGAGCAAATAAGAAATATTTTATCTTTTTAATATTTATCTTAATAAAATTAATAACTTTATCTTTTTATAGATGTGACTTTTCTAACAGAAGACAAGATATATGAAATTCTTGAACTATGTCGAGAAAAAGAGGATTATTCCCCTTTAATCCGGGTGATTGGGAGAGTGTTTTCTAGTGCCGAAGCACTGGTACAGAGTTTCCGAAAAGCCAAGCAGCACACCAAGGAGGAGCTCAAGTCCCTTCAAGGAAAGGATGAAGACAAAGATGAAGATGAAAAGGAAAAAGCTGCCTGTTCGGCTGCAGCTATGGAAGAAGATTCTGGCGCATCGTCGTCTTCGTCATCAAGAATAGGTGATAACACACAGGGAGATAATAACCTCCAAAAACTAGGCCCAGATGAAGTGTCTGTAGATATTGAAGCAGTCAGACGGGTCTATGATAGGTTACTTTCTAATGAAAAAATAGAAACTGCCTTTTTAAATGCACTTGTGTACTTGTCACCTAATGTGGAATGTGACTTGACTTACCATAATGTGTACTCTCGGGATCCTAACTATCTGAATTTGTTTATTATCGTTATGGAGAATGGCAATCTTCATAGCCCAGAATATCTGGAAATGGCTCTACCGTTGTTTTGCAAAGCAATGAGCAAACTACCCCTTGCAGCTCAAGCAAAACTGGTCAGATTGTGGTCTAAGTACAGAGCAGACCAAATTCGGAGAATGATGGAAACATTTCAGCAGCTCATTACCTACAAAGTCATAAGCAACGAGTTCAATAGTCGTAACCTAGTGAATGATGATGATGCTGTTGTTGCTGCTTCAAAGTGCTTGAAAATGGTTTACTATGCAAATGTAGTAGGAGGGGATGTGGATACAGATCATAATGAAGAGGAAGATGAAGAACCCATCCCTGAATCAAGTGAACTAACTCTTCAAGAGCTGTTGGGTGAGGAAAGAAGAAATAAAAAAGGTCCTCGAGTGGACCCACTGGAAACTGAACTTGGTGTTAAAACTATAGATTGCAGAAAACCACTTATCCCTTTTGAAGAATTTATTAATGAACCACTGAATGATGTTCTAGAAATGGACAAGGACTACACTTTCTTCAAAGTAGAAACAGAAAATAAATTCTCATTTATGACCTGTCCCTTCATATTGAATGCTGTTACCAAGAACCTGGGATTGTATTATGACAATAGAATCCGGATGTACAGTGAAAGACGCATAACTGTACTCTACAGCTTAGTTCAAGGACAGCAACTCAACCCATATTTGCGACTTAAAGTGAGACGTGATCACATCATAGATGATGCACTTGTCCGGGTAAGTCATACAGCAGCATGGAACTTAGGTTTGTTGGTTCTGACTGGTGCAACCTACATGGGCCTTGACTAACTGAAAAGGACTTTGTGTGAGTGGATATATACTGATTTCCTCTAGGAGAATCTCAGATACCTTTACCAGATTGTTTGAATTCTAAGTGTGATGCTGAAGATATGTGTGTTCAGCAGAACTACTACTCAGAGTGGTTGCAGACTTAGATGTTTTAAAGTGTCATATAGTTCTTATTCTCCCTTGTCAGACTCTGCATTGTTACAGCTCTTAACAGTGAGAGTGACCACCTTCTGTTTCAATACTTCTTCTTTGTCCTCTGGACTGTCCTGGATCATCTTTTGATAGTAGGGTTTTTCAGATGGAAGTTGGAATTAAAACCTTTCAGTCGTGTACTCTTCTTTTGGACTTCTGAACTTCTAGAAGTAAAGCGTTGTTGCAGGTTGGTGCAAATACTGACACGACTGAGAAAGGAGAAGACAGACAATTGAGAAATGTACTGTTTTAAGATTAAAACCTACTCTCTACCAGGTTTTTAATTTAAGAATACTCTTTGTAATTTTGCTTCCTATCAGACATACAGTTGTATCCAGTTATGTTTTGTCCATTGATGTAATGGGAGTTTTTCCTTTACTGTTCAGCTGAGGGATATGTAAATACAGGAAAAAAGGGTGGGACAGTACTACCTCTTAAGGAGAGGATGGACTAGAAGAACATAAGAGCTAGTTTTAGGGAGATGTTCTTTTTAATGTCAATTACAGCAGATGGAAAGCAGAGCTTCCTCCTGATGATGATAATTGGAAGGAAAATACATAAATATCAGGAAAGGCATTCTTCCATATACAGCTTGTTGGGAAAGAAGTTGAAATCTTTGGGGACAAAAAAAAAATGTTTAATGTTACTTAGACAGCTCGTGGGCAACATCAACATCATAGTTGCTGCAGCAACTATGTTGCAATCAGGCCACAGCAGTCACTGCAGTGCACACTCTTGGTCGTTAGGAGATTTAGGAAATTTAAATCAGATTCAGCTCAAACATACTGATTTGAATTGTGATGCACTTGCAACAGCCCTTGCATAGCCTAGCAGTTTGGAGTTACATGCCTGGGCAGTTGCCATGGATCCTTGTATGACTGTTAATTTAAGCTGGCAGAACATGCTAAATGATGGTGACCTGACTCTGTCAAAGCCCTGAGGAAAGTAAGAATTTTAAGCTGTTTATTCTGGGACAGAAAATTAAGGGAAAACATAAAATTGTTCTGAATTCAAGAAGTCTGAACTGTAGTGGTAGTCATCAAGACCAAGTGCAACCCAGGCATTTCTCAGAAGTAGAAAGTAGATTATATTCTGTAAAGTGGAGATGAGGCAGACTCACCATCCTGGCTGGAGGAAGGGACCGTGTAGTTTCAAACAGATTCTACAAGGTAGCTGTTGTGGGATGTTGTGGACCTGGGGAAAATTGTATCCATAAATGTATGTAGTGGGTACAGAATCCACCTTTTAATTACTGATACGTCTTAACTGATAATATGGAGTATCAGTGCTCAAGGAATAGATTTTAAATATTCCTCAGGAAGTGTTCAGAGTTAAAAAAGAAGTGAATGAAACAATACAATGTTGCTGTTGACCATAGTGTGCCTATGTCTCTTTCATTTGTTTCTTTTAATTTTAATATCAAAAAGTATGCAATAGCAATACATTTCAAGAGCCCAGAGTCTCTTCAAAGAAATTGTAAAGTCCTCTTAAGGGTAAAAAAGATGATGGCAAGTACCTAAAAGATGGAATGTAGAAGTTGAATGGAAAATCTGATTTTCTCAACTTGGTAGCACCTAGCCTTATTATCAGGAAGCAGGCTTAGCATAAGCAAAGAGGCCTATTTTTTTCCACACTGTACCTTAAAATGGTGAATGTCTTTGCCTGGAACTTGTAACTGTTCATGAAAGAAAAATCCATCAAAAGCTAATGGACGTTAAAGGCATTCTGATGTGACCCACACACAAACCTCAGGGAGCCCCTAAGCTGCAAGTGTGTTGGTGGCTGGAAAATATTGCAGGGAAAGTGCTGTTCTACACTGTCCTGCAGTTCCTTCAGCGAGTGCCTGATCTGTTCAAGAATTGCATGCTGTTGTTACGGGCACTTTCTGCAACTGGTTGAGAAGTGATTTTAGTAATTTTCACAATTTGTTTCCACTTCCTAATTGGTATGAAATAGGTGTGGAGGAAGCTCTTAGTCTTACATCTTAAGCTTTAAAGCAGCTGGCTCTATTTCTGGTGATAGTCAAAGATGGGCACTGAGTGCACCAGACCTGTGTCTTTACAGAACAGTCGGTGCAAACTTTTTTGAGATATACTCAACTCAGTTATATCAAATAACTGATAACTTCCTCATAAAAGCATTTTCAGGAATATTGACTAAAATGAGGTTAAGATGGTCTTATTCATATTTTCCTTGTTGATGCTGGGTATTTTTCAAACAAATATAACTATCAACCTTCATAATTTCTTGCAAATGGACTAAGCACTGATCTTTTCACGCTAAATAGTTGAGCTAATTAAGTTATTTCCAAACTGGCTTTCACCTATTGATACTTAATATTTAAGTTTTTATAATTCAGTATATATATTGTCTCACTTTTTGGACTTTATTAAAGCAAATTTCAGTACTGGTAAGTGATTTTTTTTTTTGTTACTATTATTACTGTTGTACTTTTTTCTTTTAGCAAGAATTTGAAGCAATACCTTTTAAATACTTTTGAAGCAATAACTTGTTTCAAGTTGCTTATTAAGAGACTCTTAGTTCACCCTGAAACACATACATCTAAGGAAAAAATGTCTTTACAGATTCATTGTTCAATTTCTTTTCATGTATGAATCTTGCCTTGGAAACTTATTTTTCCTTTTTTTATTGAAAATTATTTAATGAAACAACATGTTTTCTTTCTGTTATATACTTCCTCTATGCTTACTTGTATGTATGTTATTCTGAAAAGTCACTTGGGGACAGGAGTGGAACGTTGGAATATGTGACATCCTAGTCCCCACTTTTTTAAGGAACCCTTACATTTGAGATTTGGTAGCTCAGTTTGCAGTTCTTGAAAGCAGTTAACATGCTTTCTTCTGTCTAACAGGTTTAATAGGTTAGCTGTACTCCTGCTGAGTCACAGTACATGCACGTGGTAGTAATGAAAGGAAATATATCCTTAAATCCCCTCTTCTGCCTTTTCATCCCGCAGCAGCTATTTCTTTCATCCCTTTCTTCTGAGTTTATTCTTCCCCCACCCCCATGGCCCACATTAGATGTGGCTTTATTCTCAGGCAGCAGTAATTTAAAGGGTGTGAGTTATGACACACAAGTTCTGCAAATGAAAATGTGGTGGATTCCTTCAGCTGAGTCTGGCTTGTACTTGCTTGAAAATTAGAGACTAACTTTGACAAATTTCACATGTAATGTAGACAGCTAGCAGGCAGCAAACCTCTCCTGCATGTAAATGACTGTGACAACTGAAACCAATAGGCAGATTCTCTCATATATTAGCAACCAGGTACTTCAGGAGCTTTGATATTCTTTTAGACTGTCAGTGTTTCTGTGTCCAGATGAAAATGTCAGCACTAGTCTGCCTTGGATGCAGAGTATGTGTGACTGCTGATGTGTTCAAGCTCTGAAGTACAGCTGGGGAGGGCACTACTTTGTCACTGTAACTATTGCTTCACATGTCATTTTTTAGAAAAATGTATTGACTGACTTATGTCATGATGTGTCACTGATATTTTCAAACTTTAATAAGCACTGTTCTGTCATTTTTGCCATCTAATGTGGAAAATATTCCTGCCACTGCCCTAAAGAGAGCTTTTATGCTACGTGGCTAGAATTTGAGGTGGTTTATGATCATTTTTAACCATTTTTAATTGAATAGAAATTAGTCGAGCTACTATCAGTTTTAAGCAGGTAGGCAAACTCTGGTGTTACATTAAGCTTCTAAGTGTTTTTTTATTTCTGCCATTCAGTGAAGATTCCCATAATTCAGGAAAGCACAGTGTTATTCTGTAAGCAAAGTAGAATCACACCATCTCTTAAGTTGTGGTACAGTATCATGTTTCAGCAAACAAAATACAGATGTTCTTTATGACATGGTCTCTCAGCTTTCAGCTTTTTGATTCATAGATACTCAATTTTTGATGCTCCTGCTCTAGACCTGCTACACATGTGCTTTTTAGGAATTCCCTGCAAAATGTAATGATGATTTCAATGACTTGGCCAGTCAAACCATCATGATATAAAACTTCAGTAATTCACACGTATAGATTGTGTTTATCCAGCAACATCTGTGTTGACAAGATTGAGGCAGCTCTGATTATTATAAACAACAACAAAACAAGAGGGGAAAAAAAAAACAACGAAGAGCCAAATAACTGTAACTAAAGGTCATAATTCCTTGCTGCAGAAACACCGCTGCAGTTCTGCTAAAATCCAGTGCCTCTGTACTACTGTGTCTAATTGCTGAATTCAGTTTTTCTTGTGAAACATCAGTGTTGACACAGATGTTCGAAGGAGCAGCTAAGCCTACAACTGTCAGTTGAGCAGCTTAGCAACATTGTCCTGCTTATAGAATTTACTTCAAGGAGCATGAGCATCAGGCTTTGCTCAAAATACTAACTTTTGGGTAATCCTGTATCTGACTCCCTTGCACACAAGCAACACGCTGTTCCAATCTGCCTAGCCAACGTTTCTCAACTAAGAGTGTTTCCTTCCCCTTTTTTTTAATGCCGTTTTTCTCAGTAAAAAAAAAAAAAAATCATTGACATTTCTTTAGTTGCTCTATATGTATAAATATGAACTGGGTAGAACCCTTCCCAAATCTTCACACTGTGACAGAGGGTTACTGTCCCAAAAGAAATGCAGCGACAACACTTGCTTTCTCAGAACCCATTCAAATTCATAAACTTGCAGTATACTAAATTACTGGTAGTAAATACTACAAAACCAATTGGGGAGAAAAAACCAAAGCTTTATTAGTACTGGTTTTAAGTGGAAGGAATTCAGACAGGAGAACTTGTGTCTCTCCAGCTTGAACATATAACCTGTATTTACAGTTTTAAAATAACTTGTAGTTCTCTGCTTTTAAAAAGTCACAGTTGTACTTGGAACATGGCTTAAGCTCCATTGTTATCATAGTCATGAAAATAAATCTTTTACACATCTGTAAGATGCATAGTTTTAAGATTAACATAAAAGGCAAGGTGCTAAACTGCACTGTTATGGAAAGCATGGGATGAGAATACCAGTGACAGGGGAATTGCAGCAGAAGTATTGTTGATAAAATACAGTGAATTTCAAAGAATAAATGTTATTTGGTCTCCTTAGGGGCAAAAATATTTTATTGTAAATGATATACAATAGAATACCAAACACATTAGGTAGTACATAACTAAGTTTTTCAGAAAATCTTATCGTTTACCTGATTGAGATGTAGACTGATCTCGCTCTCATTGTTGGGGTATTCATGGCTTGCCTTCATGCTTTTTTAACTGAGTTTTATATCCCATGAAGTCAACACTCCCTCTCTTTCTGAGTCTAGTTTTCAGTACCAGGTAGTGCAATTTTTTCTCCACATGCTCCTTTTACATGAGGTGCTGCAAAGTCTTCAAACCCATTATGATAACCACCCTGGCTCTGTCACCCATCCGGCCCTGCTGTGCTGCTTGGAACATGGGCTGACTTGGCAGTTAGTAGGAGAAAATGTGTCTTGCTGGTGGTGTAATTTTATGACTTGATGGTGTCATTATTGCTGCCTTTACCTTCTCTGTTCTGTTCTGTTTTACTTTACACTTCTGTAGGAAATTTCTGGGTTGTAAAGAGTGTGTCGGCATGTGTGTGTGCATAAGGTAGGGTAGCAAAATAAAAAGAAATGGTTCAGCATGTTAAGGACACTTGGTAAGTACAATTTGCACTGGCCCAAATGAGAGGCAAATCTCACCAGTAATATTGTCTTGGTAGAGGAGTGTACAGGTCCATCTGTGCTGTGGTTTACTGCTTTTGAGTTTTCTTTGCCACATAGGTATGTTTAGTGTAATCGTGCTGCATAACTTTAACCCCTGTGTTTATGCTTTTAAGCAGCATACTTCTAATCAGCTGCAAAATATTCTTGCTTAACTTTTGATTTACTGAAAGAATACATTTTTGTTGTAAGAAAATGAAAGACCTGGCAATGTACACTCACAACCCAGAAGGCCAACTGTGCCCTGGGCTGCATAAAAAGCGTTGTGACCAGCAGGTCGAGGGAGGTGACTGTCCTCTTCTACCCTGCTTTGGTGAGACCCCACCTGGAGTGCTGCTTCCAGCTCTGGGCCCCCAGCATAAGAATGACATGGGCTTGTTGGAGCAAGTCCAGAGGAGGGACACAAAAATTATCAGAGTGCTGGAGCACCTCACCTTACAGACTGAGAGAGTTGTGTTTGTTCAGCCTAGAGAAGAGAAGGCTCCAGGGAGACTTCATAGCACCTTGCAGTACCTAAAGGGGACTGACAAGAGCTGGAGAGGAATTTTTTATGAGGGCACATAGTGACAGGACAAAGGGGAATGGCTTCAAATGACAGGAGGATAGGTTTAGATTAGATGTTCAGAAGAAATTCTTTACTCTGAGAGTGGTGAGGTGCTGAAACAGGTTGCCCAGAGAAGTTGTGGATGCCCCTTCCCTGGAACTGTTCAAGGCCATGCTAGATGGGGCTTTGAGGAAACTGGTTTACTGGAAAGTGTCCCCACCCATGGCAAGGGACTTGGAACTAGATGGTCTTTCAGGTCACTTCCAACCTAAACCATTTTGTGATTCTGTGACCTGTAATGGCCGTTATATAGACTTGAAACCCTTTATTATGAAATGTCAGAACTTCTGTTTGGCCTTAACTGAACTTCCATTTTCATAGAAGCAATGCAGTAGATCTATTTAAAGGCACTGAAGAAATAAGAGCAAGAGATTTTTGAGACTTCCTCATAAGGGTTGAGGACAGGGGATCGCTTTGACTATAATATTAGTGTCTTTTTTATTTCTGGGTCTTTTCTCAGCTCTTTGTTTGAGAGATGCAACTACTCATCAAAGGCTTGTTTTCTGTTTTCCACTCTGAAAACATATCTTTGTAATCCCTTCAGAAAACCATTTATTGTCAAACATGTAGATCAGATTGTAGACTCTTTTCGTTGTCAGATGAATTTAATTATCCCAGTAATATATCTTGTTTTCTTCCTGTTTTCTCTGAATTGTGTGCAACACAATGATAACTTATTTAAAATAAGTGCTTAGAAGAATAGAAATAGAGAAGGCTAACAGACTATGAACCTTAATGGGCTCACAGATCAGATCTGTGGATTCTGAAATGTGTGTAGAGTAGTTTGGCATTACTGTTGGTTTCTGTGCTGTTTTACTGTTGTGATTTATGCTTGCTTTCTTAAGTTTGGAGGGTAGTTTTGACTAAATTCTTCTAGTAAACAGATTTACTAATGAATTATTTCTATCTGTTCACTCAATAGCTAGAGATGATTGCCATGGAAAATCCTGCAGACTTGAAGAAGCAATTGTATGTTGAATTTGAAGGAGAGCAAGGGGTAGATGAAGGAGGTGTTTCCAAAGAATTTTTTCAACTGGTTGTGGAAGAAATCTTCAATCCAGATATTGGTATGTGTTCTAATAATTTACTAATTTAACGGATTGTTCTCACAAAAGGTTTACCTGGATGATCTTTGAAGGTCCCTTCCAGTATGGATTGTTCTGTGTTTATACATTGCCTTTCTATATCCGCTGCTGCTTCTCTCTGAAGCTCTTCAGATTCACTGGTGATCATGAGAGTATTTGACACACATTGAGGTTCATTGTCATCATCAATCATCCTCCTAAGGAGGAATGATGAGAGGAGTAACTGTGTGTAGTTAGTGAGAGCTGTCATTGCTTGTTTATATACAAGTCAGTAGTACAGGGTTTCTTTGGAGGGTTCCTTTGTTGTTCTCTCACCTTTCTCCTCACTTTGCTTTGTGATTAGCTTCTAGAATTAGTAATCAAACCAAAGAGGAAGAGCTTCTGCAATAAAGCAAGAGTAGGACTATGGTGAGTTTTTGAGTTATTTCCTCCCCTTCCTCCAGCTTAATAAATCTGGTAGTCTCAATTCTACAGATCCAAAGTGTGGCCATAATGTCAAATTTGATTGTAGTTAGTTAAGAACCAAGAGTAATCTGATATATTGGGGCCAAAAATTAACGTTTCTATTGTAGCAGTCACATCTCCATCTTACCCTGTTTTCCCTTGCTTCCTGCACCAGTCTTTTATGCTTCTGTCTTTGTACATGCAAGGACATGCTGCTTTTGGTATGCAGCTTTTCTGCTATTCTGAAAAGATTAAAATGTTATAAAATTATATGAATACTTTGTGTTGGAATAGAAATGAGATCTTCCAGGTTCCTATACTAATTTAATATATTCTATGTGATCTATGATGTCACATTGTACTTCATTGTACTTCCTGTAATGGCTTCCGTTAAAGAAGCTCAACAACCATTAGTTGATTTGGTTTCATTGGACAGTTTTAAAAGAGAAAGCTTGGGTTTGTAGCTTAGAAAATTGACAAAAATACACAGAAATGCGTTTTGACCAGGTTAAAGAGGAAGTCCCCAGAGTCAGTAACAGAATATGAACCTTGGCACTTGCCCTTCACCATATACAAGACAGTTCTTATAACAAGTGGTACAGAACCATAGGCAAGTCTTACTCTGAAAACTATTAACTTGGAGAGATTTGGAATCTGAGATAGCAAACTTACTTGAAATAAATTAAAGTATGGCAAAATAAGGAAGTCTTAGTACTTTGACTGATGAAGTTATTTTTCCAATGCTAAATAAATAGATTTTTAACCCAAGTTTATCTTAACAGAACTTGTATGGGTGCCTGTATTGAAATACTCTTTTTTAATAATGCTAAAGTCTGCTTCAGCTAAGATCCAGCCAGTGTATATGTACTTACTGTGTTTATAGACTAGATGTGCATGCACATTTTAAATTTTACTTCCATATTCAAAATACAAAAAAGTATGTACACTTTTTGTATTTGTAGTAACTTGGGGGATGGGGGAAAGGACATTTATTGGCTTTTGGCATAAATATGTAAAAGCAGAAAATGGAGCTTGCATTCACAGTCATCTTTTCTTTGGCACCTATTAATATGCATTGCAGCATAACAGTTTATGTATGCACCATATGTACCAAGTGTGCCTTTTGTTGATTTTTAAACACTTACTTACCTGAGAAAACAAAGGAGATCCTTTGTTTTAATGGAATTTAAAGTTTCTGTCCTCTAATAGGTAGGTATGGAGCGATGTATATTGTTGTAATAGTTTTTTTCAAGTGTTTCCATATTAGACTACCTTAAAGTTTTTCTCAGAGGAGGCAGTACCTCAGAAAAAATATTGGATTTATGAGCAACAGTCACCATGGAAAAAGGGAAGAAGTGATAACTTCATATAATATCCCTAGCAACACTATACACTTGTTTTCCTCTTACTGAAGATTCCAATTTCTTCTGGTGTTTCATTATTATTTTAATGTACTGTAGTATTAATTTTGGTCAGGGAATAAAATATTGTAATTCACATTAAGATGTTTCCAGATGTGGATCTGAGTAAACTGTTAATCCTTCTTGATTAGACATTTGGTGGATTTGTGTGTTTTGTGTTTTAACAGTTTAACTCTTCTGGCATCTTCCAGAAAGTACAAGTCATATTGCTTTTATGTACCAGTAATCCAGAAGTTACTTTAGTCAGTTCAGAAAATGGAACACAGGATTCTATATAATTCTATATAGTGTTTCTCCTATATATGCCTGAGTTGCTTATCTGTTTCTGATTTTCCAGTTGCCTTATCTGATGTGTCAGTCTGTTATTTGTGTGCTTCCTGAATAGCTGACCCTGTCCTAGTACCTTACTGAGATAAATAATCAATTTTGGGGAAAAGCCAGTCCCTGAATGAGCTTGCAGTTCATATCCTGACATTGAATGAGAAATCAGTCTTTATCTCTTGGCTGAAGGTGACATTTTCAGTCCTTAAGAGTGATTTTGTGGCTCTGTTTGTGTGGCTTAGTAATCAGTTTGTACATCTACATAGCTTGTAAATAAGCATATCTTTTAGGAGCTGCAAGATAACTCCCTGTGGCAAATGTAGTCGATATTCTTGACCACCTGGTTCTGACTTGTAGTGTGTTGGGAATAAGGAGCCTGGGGAACTTTTTCTTAGGTTCTACCTGGGCATCATGACACTTACCTGTACAAGCAACAGGTCACTGGGACTATACTTGTCCAGGGCAGTCTCTCTCTCCCCTTAAGTCTATGGGGTTTGCATTTATCTTGTTTCAGTATCTAGTCAGGTAAGCAATGGGTTTTATTGTAGGATTCATTTAAATAATTTATAGCCTGTATACAAACTCTGGTTTCATGAAGAACTATCTTGTGTCTTGATACAACCAAAAGGGTAAGAGACTCTTTGCCTGTCTCTTGTCCGCAGAGTCATATCCTCTCCCTGCAACTTCTTTCATGTGCCCGTTCAGGTGTTTCTTGCAGACTTCAGCACTCAGCTCATGAGTTGGGCAGAAACTGGTCACCTGAAATAGTAAGCTGAATGAAGAGAGGGAGACAAAGCAGAATTACTCCCTTTGAACAGTGACAGGCTGTAAAATTGCAGCTCCTCCTGTGGTCCCATGGTCCATTTTCCCCTCAAGTTCAGATGTATGTAATAGCTGCAGAAACAATGGTCCTTGAAACAAGCAAAGAAATCTGTTGGGCATCTAACTCTAAAATCATGTGTGATGGTCAATCCCTGCTCCATCTTCATAGTTTCTAATGCAGTCACAGGGCTGCATCTAGTCCTGTTCCTTTGCTGGAACTGGCCTGAAAAAGCCTTTGAGGAAAGGCTGTCACTTTTTAGTAACTGGAATCCTTCAGGATTGTTTCATCCACATGGTTTTTGATTGTGTTCTTTTCTTGCTCTGTTATATTTGTCAAAGTTACAATTGATGTTGACAATGTGTTGCTGGTTCCTCAGAAATGGCAGGGGATGAAAGCTTGCATAGGTGCAGCTTCGTGGGTGTTGCAGGTATTGTATCACAAGTCTCTTGCATATTTTTAGTGGTGATGTGATTAACAGTGTTTTGAGCAGCTCCAGTTTACCCTAAGGTAAATAGTTTCTCTTTGCCATTAAATTCAGTATAATGTTAAACATGTTTTCAAGGCTAATGCAAATGGGTTAATAACGATAAGTTTTATGTGCTGTTTTTATTGAATTGTAACAGATATTGTTCAACTTTTTTTTTTTAACAGGGATGTTCACATACGATGAATCTACAAAACTCTTCTGGTTTAATCCGTCCTCTTTTGAAACTGAGGGTCAGTTTACCCTGATTGGCATAGTACTGGGTCTGGCTATTTACAACAACTGTATACTGGATGTACATTTTCCCATGGTTGTCTACCGGAAGCTAATGGGCAAAAAAGGAACTTTCCGTGATCTGGCAGACTCTCATCCTGTAAGTTCCTTATGTTCTTTGAGTTTATTAATATATTTTCCATGCAATAACTTAATGTAGATTTAAATTAAACGCAAGATCACTGTTAGAAGTGGAAGTGAAATAACCAGTGACTCATGTGAAGAGTCTATATTTGTTAAAATAAATTCATAAGCAATAAAGCCTCTGGTTTGGAGGAGGCAGAACTGTAAAGTCAACAAATAGGGCTGAGTATCAGTAAAGCTTCGTTTTATTTTTTTACTGCATGAATTGCTAAATATCATTAAGCACTATTAAACATAAACAAATATTAATGGTATCTTCCCAAAGAGACTTCTAAAATTAGGCTCCTTATAGCTATTTGTAGAAGTAGATTTCTAGGAAAAAAATGTCAAAGTAATAGTAGACATGCAAAGGTGTGATGCTCCTATTTTTTGTCTAAAGCAAAAGATGAATATCCCTACAGTCTGGGAGCAGTGATCAGCATCCATCTTCCCCACCCCTTCCCAGCCAGCAGCTGTACAAAAGCACTGAGCTGTACGTGGTAGGTAGAGCATACAAGTGTCTGTGCAGGATGTCTTGACCGTGCTCCACCTGCAATCAGAGATCACCAGTAGCTTCCCCTCATCTTGGCTGGTGTGAGTTGTTAGTAAGCTTCATTTAATTTCAAATGGTGGGACATTCCCCTTTTATGAGCAGTTATGCAAAATCTTAGGCTATGCAAAGAAGATGAATAATGATACTGTTTAAAAAGAACTAACTTTTCATTTTTGAAAATGAGGCATGTGTGACCAACAGATACATTATCCAGTCTGCTTTGGGTGGCTACATACAACAGTGTACCAGATTCAACCAGGTTTTCTGTATAATATTGAGAAATAAACAGTACCCCGAGTTTCCTTTGATTTTTATTATATACTCAAAAGCTTTTGTGACAGAAAAAGTGGATTTATTTCTACAGAACAAGGCAGTCAGGGCATTTCCTAATCTTTCTCCTGTGCTCTTATGTTTCTCCTCTGACACCTACACTGACTTTTAAAATAATCCTTTTTTAACTCTTTGTATTCTAATATGACTTAAACACTTCAGAGCTTTTCAAACCAAAATGAAATTCTCAGTAGTCAAGCCTCACAGTGTTTTTTCTAATGCTGTACAGCATGAACAATAGGGTTTTCACCAGCCTTCACCACCAACAGTTCCAAGTCCAGTCATTTTCAATACAAGTTATTTTTAAAGGTTCTGTGGAAGAATCAAAAAGACACAGATAGTGAGAGGTTGAGGCTTACTTTCAACAATAAAACCGCTAAGGGGAAATTTATTACTTCTTGCACACAGTTGTTGCTTTTACCTTCCCTTTGCATTCTCTAGCTCTGTAAATCTGTCTCAGCCAAATAATTGTTCCTTTTCTGCATAGCCTTTGGTTTCCAAGAGAGTCTTGGACTTTTCCTAAGGCATAGCAGGGAGGAAAGCTGGTTGCTCCTTTGAATAGAGCAAACTCTTCCAGGTAATTTCAGATTCCACTTGGTAAATTCTGACCTAACTTGTGATTTATTTTTTGTTGTTCGTAAATGTCTTCTTATGTTAAAGACTGCCTCATCTGTGTTGCTTCAGGATTACTTCCTATGTGGTTTGCGTTTTATATCAAGATGTAGGAGATAAAAACCTGCTGCTTGAACTTTATCTGATATAAAATACAGCATTTTCTTTGATTTTAACACATAAATGTTCCACTTAGTAGTATAATGTGTTCTGGATGCCAAAAGTAAATACTGTTTCAAAAGAGTTAAGAAGAGGCAATTAATGGCTTTTAAGCTGCAGGTTTGACCATTGCATTTAGGAATATTGCTGGGTACTGATAGGCTCTTTTAAGAGTTATATTCATTTCCATGTTTCTTTTTTATCTTAATATCTGCTGTTTTTCATTTTTACAAATGCTGAGCTTAATAAACCATTGTTTGGACTGCCATGGGAGATTTCAGGTGACTTGTGTCATAGAATGTAACAACCCTTTTTTAAGGCAGGTGATTTCATGTCCTCTGGTATTACTTGGTGAAATCTATTGAAGCTTATTTTTTGACAGAGATGTATTTCTTATTCTGTTAGGTTCTTTACCAGAGCTTAAGAGACTTGCTAGAGTATGAAGGAAGTGTGGAAGATGATATGATGATAACGTTTCAAATATCTCACACGGATCTCTTTGGCAATCCAATGATGCATGATTTAAAGGAAAACGGTGATAAAATTCCTATTACAAATGAAAACAGAAAGGTACGCTCAACTTTTTAAGCAGAATCTGTCATCCTGGTCATGGGTCATGGCTAGGCTTCACGAACGAAGATTTGGGAAGGGCTTTACCCACGTTTGTTACAAGCACGCTGGTAAGATGTCGCTACAGGGCTTTGCAAATGTGGGTAAGGCCTTCGAGCCTGCACAATGGATTTTTTAGGTGAGACGCAGTGTGCGCGAAACTGAACCCACCCTTTAATCCTAAGGTTCGTCTGCCAGGGCCAAGGGAGCTTGGACGGTGACAGCGAGGTCCTCAGGACGTAGGTTTAATTAGAGTGACCTTCTCTTAGATGGATGGCCTTACAGGGCTAATCAAACTCCATCTGCCCAGGTTTAGAGTTGTCCTTCTCCTCTGTGTGCTCCGAGGCTCCCCCTCTCATCTCCCACAATGGCACAGTCCGTGCTGGCAAAGCTCCCCTTTCTCTCTCTCCTTTTCATACCAGGGGCTGGGCCCGAGCGCCAGGGGCCGGGCCATGCCATGCGCCCACATGCCAGGCCAGGGGCTGCGAAACAGAATCTGTAGTTCTTAGATATAATTACTATATGTAGAATTATGTAGTACTCTATAAAGGTTTGGTCTCACTTATAATGTAAATTTAAAAGCCTTTTAAATTTGGCATACCACAGGGTAATTGTGAATGGAAAAGGCTCCTCTTAAAGAAAGCATTGATACATACATGTGTAGCTTCTGAGTGTGGTGTTCGGCCTGTTTGAGCAACATTGAGACTCGTTCTTTGTTGTTGCTGAATAAAACCTGAGCCCAGATAATCCATGTAGAATTATAAAATTACACATATTTTGGGGTCTTGTATTTTTGGGAGGTACTTCAAGTGGCATGTGTTGAAGCACTAAGGGATTTATTTCCTTGCAGGAATTTGTCAATCTGTATGCTGACTACATACTCAATAAGTCGGTAGAAAAGCAGTTCAAGGCCTTTCGGAGAGGATTCCACATGGTGACCAATGAATCTCCTTTGAAATATTTATTTAGACCAGAGGAAATTGAATTACTTATTTGTGGAAGTAGGGTAAGAATTCTGAATGTACACCAGAGAGTGGAGCTTTTTTTGATCCTAGATATATAATTAGTGGTCATCTTTAAAAATATCATCTTCTTACAGAATTTAGATTTTCAAGCACTAGAAGAAACCACAGAATATGATGGTGGCTATACAAGAGACTCTCTTATTATTAGGTAATTTTTTTCTAATTTCTAAAGATAAAAAAGCACTTTATCTGCCTGTGTCTTAATAATGAATTTAATATTTTAACTTTTGGTATTTTTCTAGTACTGGAGATGCAAATGTCTTATGTATAATTTCACTTTACTCAAGTATTGTTATTAGAAAAGAGGAGATGATATAAGCATTGTTGAATCAGTATTTCGTTAGGAAATAGGAATAATAAAATAAAGTAAGAATATCTGCAGAACACTTCCTAGCCAAGTTAATGTTTTAAAGACAGTTAAACTGCAGTGTTTGGATAATACTTCTGATTTCTACTTCTGAATCTCATTGATTGGTAAATACATTCTGTTAGTTTTGGTTTATGAATACAACTTGTAAACTTGATGTTAAGCCTAATTAGAATTACTACACCTTCGAAGCTCAATTACTTTTGAAAGTCTCATTTATACCAAAGAAAATTTGCAGTTTACTTACTTTTTGATTTCTTCCTTGGTAGGGAATTCTGGGAAATAGTCCATTCATTTACAGATGAACAGAAAAGACTATTCTTGCAGTTTACAACAGGCACAGACAGAGCCCCTGTGGGAGGACTTGGAAAGTTAAAGATGATCATAGCCAAAAATGGCCCAGATACAGAGAGGTAAATAAAAAGCAAACATTTTTTGTGTTTGTTCATAAATGGAAGGGAATTCTGTGCTTTTAAGTTATTAACGTAGTTAAATCTGAAAGTTGAATCCATAAGAAGAGTAAATTTCCTTTAAATGTATTATTTTGTACTTCTGAAATAGCAATGTATTTCTTTTGCATGTACTGCATGTTCCCAGATCTGAATTAGTATCTTGTTTGTTTGTTTTTGTTTTCCCCCCAGGTTACCTACATCTCACACATGCTTTAATGTACTTTTGCTTCCGGAGTACTCAAGCAAAGAAAAGCTTAAAGAAAGATTATTGAAGGCCATCACATATGCCAAAGGATTTGGCATGCTGTAATAAATATAACAAAAGGGATTAAAAAATGATGGTGATGATGTCCCTGTCCAAAAAGGCCATAAGATAGTGAGCTACAGTAGTCACCTGTGTTTGTGCCTCCCTTCTTTACTGGGGACATTGGGCTGGAACAGCAGATTTCAGCTGCTTATATGAACAAAATCTTTATTTTTTCTTTTAGCGTGAAAGTGTTACATATTCTTTCACTTGTATGTACAGAGAGGTTTTCCTGAATATTTATTTTAAGGGTTAAATCACTTTTGCTTGTGTTTATTACTGCTTGAAGTTGAGCCTTTTTGAGTATTTACAAGAAAACAAACTGTACTCTCCCAAGGAAAATATTGCCATCATTTGTAGACCATGTAACCTTCAAGTATGTGCTATATTTTTGTCCCTGTATCTAATCAAATCAAGAACTGTACTTTTTGAGAAGTTTGCTTTTGAAACTTGAAGTCTTGGAAAACAGTGTGATGCAATTACTGCTGTTCTAGCCCCCAAAGAGTTTCTGTGCAAAATCTTAAGAATCAATAAAGATGGAAGGGAGAACTTGGAATGTTAAATTGCAGCCTTGAGAACTTTACTTTAGTCACAGCACAACAATTAAAATTCATTTCACTATATGTTGTCTTCACATGTCTTGTAATAAACTGTGTTTTTAATTAGGAAACATTTCTTAGCATATGAAAGGATAGAAATTTTAGTTACTTTTTTAAAAAAAGAAGTTTACTGGGGAAAGTGCATTTTCAATGAACAGCTTTAGAGTAGGGAGTGAAGTGTCTCGAAAAAAAGATAGGAAGTTTTTGCTTTATTATAAAAAAAGCATGTGGAAGTGCACTTAAAATGAAGTTTTATTCTTAATTGCCTATTATGTTGACATTTTAAATAGACAATCCAAAGTCTTCCCTACATGTTATGTCATCATCATTTATTTAATGAATCATTTTTCCTACCTATCAAGGCACATGATCAGTGTTGCGCCATAATCTAAAGGGATGGCTACTGTATTTTAATCTCATTTAACAATAAGCAAAATTGAAAAATATTAAACATGAGGCCTACTTCATGTTGTACACTTCCAACCATTAAACTGTTAGAAAGTAAGTACTAAGGTTATGTTCATCTACTACATAAAGTATTCAGTAGGTTTTTAATTTAACTCTACAAATCATATCAGAAATAAATCCTTTACCTTTCGTAGTCTGTGTTTAATGTTAATTTCTCCTGTTGCAATATACGATGAAGGGATTATGCATTTTTAAGTGGCGACATAACTGGCATATCTCTTTTGCAATACAAGCTGCAGCGGGTGTGCAGAGCTGAGCTTGTGCCTTGACAATTGCTATAACTGGCTACTACCGATCAAACCCGTGACTGTGTGGAATTGGCATTAAGAGGCATAGTTTTGAAATCATTGGAGAAAGAAAAGATGTCTTTCAGGACTATTTTAATAAATTCTTTCTAGTAATAGAAACAGACAACTGTTATGTAACTATGATGCTGAATAAAACAATGACCTTTTTTCACCACGGTTCAGTGAAAAAGAAAACAAGTGACTTCCTTACTTTGATAAATTGGATATTAAATTATTTGGTTAGAAAATGTTCTAGTACGGCATAATTTGAGGGTTGCAGGTACAGAAACTCCAGAAGCAAACTGTAGTGATGTGGGGTCCAGCCATGTTCCTCTATCAAATCCAAGCCAATGCCAGATGGCCTGGACATGGGGACTGAAACTTGTTGGGGAGGGCAAGGTGCTGTCTGTCTTCTGGCCTTTGATCTCAAGGTGGACCTTAGGACATGCCTTCTTGAATGTCCACCTTGTTGCATGTCCCTGAAGAGGAAAACACAACATATCCTACCTCTCAGTAGTGTGGCTGACAACAGATCTTTGCTGAGCCCTTCAGGTCTGGAGCATCTTTTGCTGTAGGTGGTGAGAAGAAGATTTGCTGAGTGCCTTGAGGTGCTTCGTTACAAGTATGAGAACATCTTGTTACTGCTGTGTGGTATGTACTGCATCAACAGTCCAATACTGTAAGCTGTATCCCTACAACTTGTTTTATTCTGATGTGGGTATGCCCAGCTGATAGGTATACATGATTCATGTTGGGGTTCTTTATGTAGGTCTAAAAGCTATGCAGACAGCATAATTGGATAGCGACACAAAGTCTTCCAACTGAGGTGTTGACATTGTAAATATGCTTTTTCTGTTTTCCTTTAGCATTAAGATTAAAATAGTACATAATCGTATTGGCCTTTAAAAGCGTAAGCTGTTTGTCGAGTCATTTTCAGGTAAGATATAAATACTTCATATTTGACTGATTTCTCATTTAAATATATACTGCCTCCCCCAAAATACCACTAAGGAGATAGTTTCAATATCTCCATAGTGGTGTTATAAATGTCCCGCAGCAGCAGTTGATAAAGTTTAAAATAAGTAAGTCTTGAAGTCTTGTAGCTGCAGGCTGCATTCCTGCCCTGCAGAAGTGCCAGTCAACCTTCTGTTGCTTGAAAGCGAACATACCATTTTAAGTTTTTGGGGGTTTGTTTTTTTTTGGGGGGGGGAGGTGGCAGCTCTAGGCACACACAAAATGTCTTGCATCCTCACTTAGTCCTTCAACAGCATTTAGCATATTTTAGGTCTACAAAGCTTACCTTGGAAACTTAAGTGTACTTATATGTCACTGAAATAACTCTCATGAGTGAGACAGAAGATTCCTCTTCCAAGGTAGGAGTCTGATGCCAGTGTGCTGGTGCTCTCTCCACAGGGTGTCCTTAATACGTTAACAAGAAAACATGTGGGATGTCTCAGCATTGCCTCATTTGTCATGAGAAATGCCTCTTCAAGTATCTCCTTCTGCACCCTAATAGAAAGCTTTTGCTTCTTGCGAAAAAGATTTCCGGAATGGCCGTCAGGAGTGAGCACAGTTCAGTTAACTAAGGAACAGCATTTTGTGAATTTCTGACTTCGCTTGTCTTCCATTTGGCAGGCAGCAGCCTGAGACGGGACTGTGGCAGCCAAGGGGACCCCTCCAACCCTGCAATTTGAGGAAAGCTGATGCTGGAACGGGCTGACAATAGGCCCAGGGCTCCAAGCAACTCTGTGTTTCAGCAGTCAGTCTGTGCCTCTCACCCAACAGTGGGTTTCGCTGCTGAAGCAGGAGCTTCGTACCACATACAATACCACGCAGGTGTGAGGGACCTGGTGGGCTGAGCCTCCAGGTAGCCTGCAGTGTGGGCTACCCAGATGCTTGCCTGGATTTCTGCTCTGTGGAGCAGGGAGTTGGACACAGGTTTCCACACTGCTGATGTTCTGCAAGAGGACAAACCCCCACATCATCAGCTTTAAGGTGTTTCCCTGGCACTGTTGCAGGTAAATTTTTAATCTCACTAGAGGATTAAAAATTTCCTGGTTGCCTCAAGAATTTTCAGGATGAAGATGTTTCAGTTGGATGGAATGTTGAGTTGTGCCTTATTTATTCTGCAGAAAAACTCCAGTGTTTCAGCATGCAAGATGGAGCAGGAATTTCTTCCAAGTTTAGCTATGCAAAATCAAGCCTTTCCTGACAAGAGTCAAGTTTATTATGTTTAATCTCACTCACAAGGGTCTGTGAGGTTACCTACACTTCTTGTTTATACTTAAAAGTTTAATTAAAGTTGTCACCAAATTTGTAAGACCATCAAGGACTTAATTTTATTTTAAAATTTAGTTTTGTAGCATATCATGGAAGGGATGCTGTTTTGGAAATAAGAGTTAATACTGGCATTTGTCTTTAGACAGGTCACTTCTCACCCAGAAAACCCATGAAATAATGTCATTGTATTTTTCTCTAGTGCTGCATCTAAAGGTGTCTTCAGCTGTTGATTTGTTTTATTTTTCATTAACAAAATTAAAATGTGTGTGAAGGTGGTTTTAGTTGCAGATGTGCATCTTTCCAATATCCAAGTATAGTTTTGTTCTATTCTGCAGTAGGATACATCAAGAAAGTGATCCTGATATATAATTGAAGTTTACCTACTGTGCTTGTGTTTATGAATGTCTTGCTCAGTATTATATCCTGCTTTGGGATTTCTGTGTAGAGAAATGTCTAAGAGTCAAGGACATTGGAGGTGCAAGTAGAATGATGCGAATCATCATTCTATTTTAGGACAATAAAGTAGCATTAGGAACTGCTTATGTTATCTTGCTGCATAGGTTTGTGCAGAGTTTTGAGATTAAAAGAGTGAGAGCAGAACTGGCTCTGAAAGTCATACAGCGATTGCTGGAGTTAGGCTTCTGCCTTTGGAAGGACATGCAGCACAGCTCAGCTATAAACAACTGTGTGTGCAGGGATGCCACTGCTCCTATGGCCTTGGCTTGCAGCTTGTACTGAGCAATGTCAGGTGAAGGTAAAAACTGCAGCAGCCTGAAGATTTGTGACTGAACTATTGTCATGTGCAAAGCTGACATGAAGCCTTTTTTAACTTCGCCAAAAGCTCTGGTGTATCTGCTGTGCCAGTGGGTTCATGTACAGAGAAAATCCCTCAAATCTACCTTCCCACGGCATTCTTCTGCTTCCAGACCTGTACAGTACAGCAGTGCAAGCAGCGATGCTCAGGAGAAACTGTCTGTAACATGGCAACTAGTTGAACTTTTCTATTCCAAGTTTTGAGCTGCCGTACATTGTGTGCTGCTACATTTGATTTAGTTATTTCCCCTTGCAAGCACTCAGTGTTTGAGCAGCAAGGATAAAGATCAGGTGAGCCAGTGTTACAAATAAAGGGGGTTTATTTCCTAATGCAATTGATTTTTAACAAAAAATGGGAAATTCAGCACAAGCATGTTTCCTAAATGAAAAGGAATTTTCAAATTTTCAAAAGAATAATCTCTCTGTGCCATGCACACCGATTTTTAATTTTCTTTAACTGCCATCTATCCATGAATCCTGTGAATTTTGTAGCAAGTCACCTGAAACAAAGCAGGTGACATTCTGGCCTCACCAATACCAGTACATTCTTTTTGAAGCACAGCACAGACTTACTTCTTTATGAGCATCTGATAAGGGTTGCTTATCTTTCGCTAGTTCTTTACACCTTGAATCTCTCTGTGGAGGGTCTGTTATTCCCAAACTAAAATCCACAGGAAGATACCCTTTCTAACAAACTTCCTGTGACTGCTTTGGCGCTGAAGCCACCAGGCTCTGCTTTCTGCCCCAGTTGGAACATCCAGCAAACAACCCAGGTGAGAGCATTGCTTCTGTGCCGGAGTTGTTCCAGACAGCATCCTCAGGCCTTTGAGGCAATCCTGCTCCAGACTTGCAGCTTTTTGGACAAGCAGTTTTATCATCCAAACCAGTTTCCTTGCTGACTTTGACTTTGGAAAAGAAAGGCCTTCTCAGTGTCTCAGGCCTAGGAAAGGTTTCCTGGATTTGGGATTCTGTTTCTGGGACCACCCACTGCAGCTGTTACCACCTTAAGAAGATGTGCTTAGTCCCTTCCTTTCTCTTTTGTGCTCTTGGCTTCTCCTGCAGGACGGGGGATGGCCTGGAGCCAACTCTCTTGGCTGCCACGTGCTGCTGCAGACCAGCAGTGGCAATGGGGGCAGCTGGTGGTGCTGAAGTGGCAGCAGTCGTTCGCCTGCTGCCTCCAAGCGTTCCTGCTGCTGAGCTGTGGGTAGTAAAAATGGACTCTTTCAGCAGTTTCTTCGTAGAATCTGTAAGGTGAAAGCCTCCAGCAGCTATACTCTGCTGTTTTTCACCTTTCCTCTGGGAATCTCTCATCCCAAAGATGGTTGTGGCCTCGAGTTTCCTAGGGGCTGATGGCAGTGTCAGTTGATCTCATCGTCTCCTGAGTTTGCTTTGCAATTTTCCCTTCCCCCTACCGAGGTGAGAGTGAAGCTCTGTAGGACTGAAACCTGTATGGAGTAGGCACAGAGTGCTGTGCTGCACTTCTGTCCTTGGCACTGGCAGTAGCTGGAGAGGGGGAGCGTGCTTCAGCAGAGTCGTCCTTGTCACTTGATTGATCTGGCTTGGGCCCCTTCTGGCCACCAAACTTCAAGTGTAAATCAGAAAACTGTTTGATAGAAAGGGGCTTCCCTGTCTGCTTTCTTGGGCTGCAGATTGCGGCATCTCTAACAGCCTGCCTTCCCTGGTGGCAGTAAGCTGAGCTGCTTGGTGCTTCTCCCTTGCCCAGCATGTCTGTCACCCCTGCTCTTGGCTGTGGTTTTGAACTGCTACCAGCTGTCCCGAGGTGCTGCATGGCTCTTTTGCTCCTCTCCTTCCTCATCCCACCCCTCCCCCTTTGGCTGCCACTGCTAACGGCATTTGGGTTATGGCAGGTGAAACAGTCAGCCTTGAATCGCTGAACTGAAAGTGTTCTGGTTGGGGCAGCTCCTCTGTCAATCTGCCTGGTAGCTGTGAGCCTCATCTGTACTGTCAGCACTTGGGACTGAACCAGGCATGGAGGAGCCTGGCTGTGACTGACAGGATAAATCAGCTGTGATGGCAACTGATGTGTTTGGAAGGGTGCTTTCCTAGAAAAGCTCTGCAGCTTTGTGTTGGTAGACATAAGCTTTCTTCCTAGCCTTCATGCAAGTGTGGTCAGAGGCAGCTGTGCTATTGCAAAGAGATGGGGTGTTGGCTTTTCAGTAGTCAGAACTATTACAAATCCCACCTCTGGATCATTTCCTTCACCGAGAGTGCCCAAAGTTGCTGCTGTAAGGGAGGCTTCCCTGTGCCACACATTGGACGAGTACCTGTGAACAAGCAGCCCTGAGGACTTGCTAAACAGCCTAAATTTGCAAGTAATTTGAAAATAGTGGGAATCCCACTGAAGCAAATTGGGTGAATTATCTATGCTATTCTGCAACTGAAATACTTCAGTGAGTAACTGCCAATCTGTTCTCCTAAAAAGAGTAGATCTTCACAGTACAGTTGGTTTGATTCATGAGCCCTGGAGACAGGCTATGCCAAGATAAAACCCTTTTGTGCTTCTCTGTCTCCTTCTCTGGAAAGGCAGGTAGTGCCCATGGGTTCTTGCCATGCTATACACCTGGATGAGCTGCTCAGGTATTGTGACTGCTGTGAGCAGGCTCCACTTCCAGAGCAATGGGGGGAATAACTGTTGGCAATAAGAATGGAGTGGTCTGGGGGTTTTTTTGTCTTGCTAGGAAAATGAAGAAATGACATAGTAAAATAGACAAAAAGCTGAGAAATTTATAGCTAATCATCAAGCTCCCCATCATTTGTGCTTTCTGATTTTCCATGTTCTTCAGTTGCCTACTACAGAAAGGTTGGTACCAGCCACCACAAATGCTAAGGAAAGAAAAATGGAACAGCAGACAGTAGTAATTCCTTTCATGCGTCTCTGTTTCTGGTGTTAGTAACTTACTACCCCTGATTTACCTATATAAATAAGACAGGTCTCTGTTAGAGCTGGACAGTGTCCTCCTTGGTCTGTTGGGAAGACAGCCCATGGAAGTTGAGCCATTGGCATCGCAGCTCGTGCTCTCCCTGCAGGAGCCTAGCAGAATCAGTAGAGCTGATGAAGGAAATCTCTGTGTGAGAATTGCTGGTGTGTCTGCAGTAAAGCTGATGTTTGTGTTCATCCTTAAATAATTGCTTAAATAATACAAGTCTTTCCTCCTTACTCCATTCCTAGGGTCTGGAAGAGGGAGGATTGCAAACACAGAACAGCAGAACTGTATTTTCCACAGTGAAGCTGCAAGGGCAATTGGCAGCAGCAGGCCTCAGCCATTGATCTGTGAGATGGAAATGGTTGCAAAATCTGAATTTCAGAAACAAAAGGCCTGACCATTTTTAGCCCCAGAGCTTGTTCCTCAGGGCTTGTGTGTGTTTTCCTTCCCATCCACCCAAGGCAGAGTGTAAGGGAGCAAGGCTTCCCCATCCTCCTTGTAAGGACTTCCCAGGCACCATTCTCCTGCTCTGGACTGTGAATGGGGCTAGGGGATGAGAGGGGAAGTCTAGGATTGATGGCTTTGCTCAGGAAAGCTGCCACAGCTGAAATCCTGTGCTTTAACTGCCTGTATGGTTGCCAGATCCATTTAGTGCATAATTCATTTTGCTCTCAGGGATACACACAGGGTTTTTACAAATGTTGAATTACATAAACAAGGGTTTGAGTCTTTCTGTTTGTTCCAGGTTGGAAACATTAACAGAAGAGCTGGGACCCGTTGAAGCCAAGTGCAAATGCTGTCATCTTGCAAATCTTCAGGGTGAAGAGCAGCTCCCCTTTAGTCCGCCTGACTGTGTTATCTTACTGAACAACCTGGACTAGTTTGGCCTATGAACCTCTCTCTCATCCTTGGTGTCAGCAGTGATACAGACAGGAATGTGTTTTCCAAGCCAGCAACATACAGACCAGCTCAGAGAAAGCACTGATGCTTTTGCGGGGGAAAGGAAAACGAGCAGTTTATTTCTTAATGTAAAGCAGAGCCCTCTTGTAGATTAATAAATATTTGGCAGGAATAAAACTGTAAAGCAGATGCCTAAGAAAAAAGAATTAAAAGCAGGGTTGTACTTTCTCTGGGCTGTTCCCGAAGACAGAGCTGCACAGTCAAGTTAACCTCAGCCCTCAGCTGTACAAATACAGGAGCTGTTTTGCTGTCACTGCCCGTTCTGTTGTCCAGTACATTGAATTTTCCAGAGTATTTTCTACAGTAAAAACTGTAAAGTAAATAATAGTAGGGGATGAGGGTAAAAGGATTTGAGAGCATTTCCAAGAGCAGCAAGGCTTTAATTGTTTGCTGTCAGGGCACAGGGGCTCTGAGCAGCAGTTGGAGCATGGTGTGCCGCTCCACCACCTTTACTCTCCTTTTGCATGTGGAGCAGATGTTTAAACATCTCCTTTGCCCATCTGATGTTTCACTCAGAACAGGCAGTTTGGAGCAGCACTACCCCCCAGTTGGCCCAGGTACAGTGACTGCTGTGGCCGTTACCCCCCACTTGTAGTTTTGGGGCCTATATTCAAACACTCTGTAAGCGCTATCCCATTCCTTGCTTTCTCTTGTGGTGGGTTGAAGGCCCAGCCCAGCCCCTGCCAGGTAGTTTTTGGTAGGTGATGTGTGTGCAAGTAGCAGAAAGCTGTTAACACTTATTTCTGCTAGACAAAGCACTGTCCCTGCTGTGCCGCCCTGCATGGAGCTGGGGAAGGGGAGGACAGGAGCCAGGTGGCAGCAGCATGAAGAGCCCGTCAGACTCTGTGCCTCACACACCCGGCACCACTCGGGCAGTGGGGTGCTGGTCGGGTTCATGTGCCTGAGTGGTATCTGCAAACACAGTGATGGTGTCAAAACTGGGCACCAGACCAAAGCTGTGTGCCAGCTGCCCTGCAGTGAGGCGAGAACACCATTCCCACTTAGCTTTCTGTCACTTCAGATCTCTCTTCCAGCTAATGATTTTCCAGGCCATGTAATGGTGAAATGATCAAAGTCTGTCATGAAATACTAAAATCTGTAGTGATATGGGTAAGAGAAAACACAGAGTTGAACATTACTCAAAATATTTTAATGTACATGCTGTAGCCACATTAAAGAAGGGGAAAAAACATCTTACAGAGATAAACTGATCAAAGGATGTGATGTCGTCATGCCAGAAGCTGTATGTTTCAAAGTGACTGAAACCAGTAGCATCACAATGCTCTTTTTCTGGCATATGAAAACCAGACCAAGAGGCATGGAAAGGGAATAGCAAATATGTATTTAACTGGTAGATTAGGCTGTTCTGATCCATCAGGTAAAGAAGCAGTCTTGTGTTTGTAAGGTTTTTAAACAGGTATAAACAGTACTTTATACAGCTTTACTTGTATATACCTATTGGCCTGGAACAGCTGTACTATGTTGGGTATAGATATTTACAGAGGACAATGACCGATATAGAACATGTCAATAAGTACAAAACACCTACCAGATGTGGTGTAGGAGTAACACAGCAGTGAACATCAGCCACAGGTGAGTGCAGTACCTGCCTCTCTTACGAGGTGAAAGTTGCAGGTGCAGCAGCCTGTGACTGCCCCGTTTGTGCTTGCCATGGTCCACTGCCACAAACCCACACCCAGCTCCACCTCAGCCCTGCTTTCCTCAGGGGTAGCGAGGGCACTAGACCATGCCAAAAGCAGCCTCTCTGACCTCCCCATTGGTCCCAAACCCTTAAAGAAAATAAGGACAAAATTCAGCTGACAGACCAATACTCCCCAATGCCACTGGCCACATACAGATCTCAGCTACTTTCCAAACCACTTGTTACCGTCAGTGGAAATTTTGATAATAGAAGTTAAGACCAGTCTACAGCAGATACCTAAGTGTAGTTGTCTTCTAGGCCAATGATAACAGGAGTTTAGACATGGGCCGTGTGTGGACATTACTACCCAATGGTCCCTTTGCCAGTGTTGCTGGCAAAGCCCTGTTCCTTAGTCACTGACAGATTTAACTCCATCACTAGGCTCAAAAGTGTCAATAGAAGGGGGACAGCTGCTTGCCCAGAGACAAGTGCTTACTCTGAGCAGTTGTATTCAGTTTAGCAAAACCACCTCTTTTTATTCCACTACCATGCAGTTAAACTACCCTCAGTGGATTTCTCACCAATTCTCCCACAGGCCATCAATCCCACATGCTGTTAGGGCTCCTCAGTCAGGACTGAGGACAATTGAAAAGTCAGAGCAGTGCCCATGGTAATACCTAATGCCATTGGAGAATCCAGCTCCTGTGCCATGGGTGCTGAACAGGCTGTGCTACTCCATACTTTTCAAAAAGCAGTGCGGTAAGGGAGGATAGTAACATAGGGAAGGTTACATGACAGAAAAATACTGTACAGCAAAAAATGAAAGCTAGTATCTTCCCAGCAGGAGAATACTAAAAAAATCCCCTCAACGGGAGGGAGAGAGGCCTAGAAAGAAACTGGGAGCAGGAGGGTGGAGAAAGCTAAGAGGGATGTGCAGGATGCAAATCCTGAGGCTGCAAGAAACCTCAGTGCCAACCTGAATATCACAACAGGCTGAGTGGACCAGAGGTGTATTCAACTCAGAGCCAGACAACTACTCTGCAGCAAGCAGAAAATCAATCAACACAACCTGAGCAAATGTGGCCTGCATTCTCCCTAACTAACAGAAACATGGTAGTGTGACAACTACTTTGGAGAAAGGATGGCAGTAAATAGGAAAGAGAGGTGGAGTAGGCACCTGTTCTTAAAAGAAGAAAAAGGAAGAAAACATAGGCCTAGTGACTGGAATGACTTTGCAACATGGCGCTTGTTCCCTGCCTCACAGAAACCCTGTTGTGGGAGAAAGCTGGCTGGCAGGCAGGGACAGCCTACCCTGCCAGCCCACACAGTTTCTCCATAGCCTCCCTCTGGGACTGCCCGCTTGCTGACAGGGAATTCACTCAACATCCCACATACAGCAACTGCATGCACCAGGGCCCTCTTTTCTCTTCCCAGGTTTGGTGAAGCCATACTGCCCCAGCTGCCTTCCGCCAGTGAGCTTTTGGGGACTCTCTTCCAAGTGAGTGTTTTACCAGTGGGGATGGAACTGTGCTAAGAAAAACAAAAGGGGGGATTTCACACTGTCCCCTAGTGAAGCAGTTGCAGAGCAGCAAAGGCTGTCACAGACCATGCCAGAAAGGACATGAATAAGCACTGCTACTCTCTCAGCACGGTCCTTTTGTGCAGAGCCCAGCTCATTAGAAAGAATTAGACTAACGCATCCAGATGCATGGCTGTTTCATACACGTGCAGGGCTGCACTGCAATGCCCAGGTAAGTGATGCTGCTTTGCTGTCGGACTACTGTTTGCACAGACTCTACACTGCGAAAGAACAAAGATTTTGAGAAACCCGGATTCTGTCCATACATTTAATCAGCTACTAAGGTAGCAAAGTACAGCAGGTACCCTATAAATATTTTTAAGCCCTTAAAAAAGAAAAAAACCAATTCCTTCTACTTCAAGTACAATGCCTTCTTAACACAAGATGTATGGGAAGAGACAGTGTGTCAAGGCCTACAGGTACCAAACAAAACAGACATTCTGAGCATAACTTGTAAGAAACCCACTCCCAGTACAAAAAAGTACCCAAGAGCCAGTCCAAATTTCCCCCTAAGAAGATGGTGACAGTGTTCTATTTGCAAAGAAATACTGCTTCAGTTAAAAGTGCTAAAAACCATTCTCTTGAGTTCATATAAAAATAATCATGTCTATGTATGCACACACGTATTTACATACATTTATGGCTTTCAGTGCTTCAACTTTCTCAAATAAATGAGGAAATATAAATGCTCCATTACTGCTTTTTCTCCTCAGGTTTTTCAGCCTCTGCTTCTGCAACTGATAAGCTGCCACTACCATATTTTTTCACTCGGGTTTCTACTCTGGAAAGTCTCTGCTTCACCTTTTGTTGAGATGCAGTGTATTCTGCCATGAGCCTAGCAAACCTAGTCTGCAGCGTATCCAGAGCTGTTTCAAGTCTTCCTACTTTTTCTTCCAAGTCTTTTGGGTCAGCTCCAGCTTTTGCTGCCTCCTCATCTATTAAATTGTCTTTCATCAGAATTTGACGCCCTTTCTCTTCCAGAGCCTTTTTGGCTTCTGGATACTCTGTGAGGGCTTCCATTAAATCATCTTTAGACAAGCAGAACAAATCAGAATAACCAATACTCCTAATGTTGGCTGTCCTTCTATTGCCAGATTTGCTGCCTTTGATGTTTAAGATGCTGATTTCACCAAAGTAGCTGCCATCGCTTAGGACTACAAATTGGGTTATGCCATCATCTGCCACCACAGCCAACTTTCCCTCTTTAATAATGTACATTTCTCTTCCAATATCTCCTTTTTTACAAATGTAGTCCCCAGGACTGAAGACGGTAGGTTTCAGTTTCAGTACCAGCTCAATGAGAAGCCCAGCTTCACAATCCTGGAATATACGCACTTTCTTTAGCGTGTCCAAATGGACATTGATGGCAATTTCAGCCTTCAACTTGTCAGGCAGATTTTTGAGAACTTCCTTCTCATCCACTGTTTTCTTGTTGGTCCAGAGGTAATCAAACCACTTAATAACCCTGGCTTCCAAATCCTTAGTCACTTTTCGGAATTGCATGTACTGTTTAATAGAATCCACTTTGGCCTGGAATTCAGCCCTGGAAGCATTCATGTTAGAAATCATGGAGCCGACATTACCAACAATGGTAGCAAAGATCAGCACACCCACCAGGAAGTCAATGACTACAAAGAGATACTCTTCGTCTTTCACCGGGGGAGGTGTTTCTCCAATGGTCGTCAGTGTGAGCGTCGACCAGTACAGACTGTAAATGTACTTCCTAGACAGGCGTGCATACTCTGGAATGGAAATGTTGGGATAGACCCAAGTGTCGGTTCCAAATCCAATGACCTTCGAAATCGCAAAGTATATACACGCATTCCAGTGGATGATGATAAGGATGTACAACACAAGATTTCCAATACGAAACATGTTTGGATAATTTGTCCTGGTCTCAGTACGGTCAAAAAACTCAAACAGCCGAGCAATCCTCAGCAAGCGGTTAAATCGTAGTTCAGGGTAGTTCAAACCAAGTTTCAAATAAGCCAGGTCGGTTGGCAGAAGAGACAGCACATCCAGTTTGAACTGCAACGTTTTGGTATAATGTTCTCGTAATTTCTTTTCATCCTTAACTAGCAAGCCTTGTTCAAGGAAGCCTTCAGAGAACAAAAATACAGATTTTACTTCTTAGAATAAAAATACCATCAATAGTACTGAGTGACTTACATTTCAGATAGCTGAGAACGTTAAAATTTTTACTGTTACGGGCACAGACATTCATAATATATTATGAGGTCATTTAACTAAAAATTTAAATATTTCAATCAAGTTTCAAAGCTGATATATAATGATTAATGATAATTACTCTATTATTACCACAGTGCTCCCTGAAGTTTTCTACTCTACTCTGGGACAGCTGTATTTTTTTCCTCTAAGTATCTTTGCAAAAGGAGACAGGAGATTCAAATGTCTCATATTTTATGAATCATTGGCATGAGTCATAAATAAAGTTAAGCAAGTGTTAAGCAATTGTGTATAAAATCAGAGAGAAATATTTTTAAATAAATACCAAGAATAAGTAGGTATAATGGATCATTGGAAACTTTTTTCCAAACAATATAGATACCCAGTGACCCGCTCCCTGAGCCATGCTTTTCCTCTTGTGTCCAATGTAAAACTGACAGGATTTTCCTTGGTTTGCACTTTTTAGTGTTTCCAGTGAGAGAGAATTTTGCACACTGATATTCATTCAAATGATTTTGAAAATATTAGATTTAAAAAGATTACAAGGAGATATAAACTTAGTTAGAGACCTTTACTGCAGACAGTACAGCCACAGTGCTCTTTGGTAACTCTGAAAGCTCAGGGCACTGAAAATTTTCCACAAGGAACAGCCTATGCACTGCAAAATACTTGCTGCAATTGCAAGTGGAGATATCCAACTGTCTGCCCACTGGGCCACTCAGGAGGAAAAGTCCACTGAGAAAAAACCAAAACATTCCCTGTATGTGAGGGATTATCACATTTTACTAATCCCTTAGCAATCTACAAGCAACCTACAGCTTTTTCAGGGAAGCATCTGCTGAGGAAGACCAAGCTTCATTTCTTCGTGCCCTACACAGCACAGCTATATTTCTGGAATGTGTAGTAGATCTGTAGAGATGCCTCATGTGTGTATCTGGCTTTGGATATGTGCAAACTGATGGTGCCTACAAATGGAAGTATTTCCTGTGCCGTTAATGTGTTACATCCCAGGAAACTGCTGAAAAAGCTGGTCAAATATGTCCTTACTAACAGTTATCCAACTAAACAGAAAAGTTGGCCAGGCAGATGAATTTCTAACTCAAAGTTGTGAAAAATAACTTTGAAAATGCCTTCCTCCTGAAGGGAGATAAACCCCCTCAGCTCTCTTTGTCCCCTCATGGAACTGAAGTCTTACAGTAAAAACTTTTGAAAACATCAAAACATAGAGTATGCTAAACACAACCAGCTGCTGAGACATGAATCTTTTTTCTGTTTCACATGCATAGTCACCAAATAGGTGAAACACAGTGAAACTGGCCCTGCAGTTAGACAGAAATGCCCCACGGAGAAGCTGATGTGGATTAGAGTACTCATGGGGCTACCTAAATCCCAGTTCAAAGCCAGGCCCTGCCCTCAGGCAGCAGGAAGTCAGACTCTTCCCCAAAGGCTTCCAGGACCTCTGTCCCCAGGGCAGATGGACCCTGCAGACTTAGAGAAAAAGGCAGCAGGCAAAGGCAGAGCCAGGAGGGGTTGTTATGAGAAAGATTTTGGCACCTAAAAGAAGTGAATTTTTTATTGGAGTGCATGAAACTGCAGCAGACACCTGCACTGAAGTGTTCAGGAGATCACTGCTGTGATTCTGTGGTTCCAATCCACACCCAGCAAATTCAACCTAACCACACTTTAAGACATATAATTATCAGGGCAGCCCATGGAAATTTATAACTTGTATTGCCTGGAGATGCCCAATTTCTACTTGATTCTTTCTCATTACAATAACAGATATAACTGCAGAAGGTAAATTTAGTTGGCACAGTTGGCATTCTAACTACACAAAGAAGATGAAGCCCCCCTTCCCCTACCCAAAATACAGCAGTCTTGTGATTTAGGCTGGTATCTGAAATTTACTTTCCTTTTGAAAAAGGTACTTGCTAAGTTCAAGAATTTGGCTTGCCATGAGTTGTGTGCTTCCCACATGATAGCATTTTTAGCCCCTGTCTTGTAATTATGTTTATAACTTTTCACAAGCCATAATTATTGTCAAGCTGTCAGTACAGCTTTAAATAAATAAATGACTAAAAATAGATAAATAGATAACGTTAAAATGAAAGATTTAAAAGGACTCTCATTTTAATGATCAGTGTGGGTTTGGACCCTTTCAAGGCATTTTGAGGCTTTGTCTATATCGGTCAATAGAACAAGACAGGAAACGCTTTCTGGCCCTGAGATCAGCTGCCATGACAGCCTGTATTCACATGTAACTTCTTTCAGGCAGCTCCAACAACAACACCATGAACAACACCCACCCCCTGAGTGTCTTCCTAGCATGCCCAGGCACTGCCTGAGTGGACCAAAGTGCAAGCATCAAAGTGTATCAAGGAGTACTACAGCAATTTAATGTTATGGATCACTGTATGTCCTTGCTTAGGCCTATACTATGACCTCATTTAGCTAAAAACAGATATCCCTATAAGGTTAAAATCTGTATCAGCTGGGCATGCTCAAACAGGAAATCTTCTCAGCCTGCCAGGATTATAGAACCACGAATGGGAAGCTGAAGAGAACCACTTAGCATGACATGGCACAGTCCTCACAGATCCTTTAAGTTCACACTTCCTCCAGGAAGGAAAGACCTAAACAAAGGGACCTGGGTTAACCCTAACCTAGCACCAGGCAGTGGCAGATCTGGCCAGGACCTCACAGAGGCTGCAGAAAATACAGTGGGAGGCACTGCTGGTTCCAGGCAGAAGACCACAGACTGAAGGCTGACATTGGTGCCAGGCTCTTGCACTTGAGCAATTCAGCTGACTCTTCTGACCAGGGTGCTGCACAACTTGGTTAAGAAAACAGTACTTGTGTGGTACAGTTCATTTCTTGCCCAAAACACCCTATTGCCCCTTCCCCACACAGCCTCTTACAGTGGCTATTCAGTCAGCTTCTGGCATGCCTATTCAGCACTGATAGAACTGAATTTAGAGACAAGTGAAGAACAAGTGCTGGAATGTTCAGCCTTAAAAAAAATCCAAACTGCTCAGCCACTTCATCTTTCCAAAGCTTCCACTGTTGGGGTCTGCCAGAGACAGGATATTACACTGGTCAGACCTCACAAGGAAATTTCTGTTTCCAGCCTTTATATACATGTAGTATTTGAAAACACCCAAAATCCCAGAAAGACTCACCTGTTCTGAATCTGACAAACATGTCAAAAAAATAGATGATATCAGAGCAGTAATCCAAGAACAGCCATAATTTAACATGGTCCATTTGTAGCTCATCAAAGCAGGCTCTAAAGAAACAAAGATTTAAAAAAAAAAAAAATTACACCAACTGCACAGAGTATTTGCAGTATGTGTCCTAGCAGCATGTTAGCGCACATTGTTAGAACTGAAAAATTACAGACATCATATCCATGGCTAGAGCCATGTCTGAACAGACACTAACATCTTTCAGAATTCAAAGGTGTTCAGGCCAGGAATAAAACTCAAACACATACATGCCACGCAAGTGCACTTACGAGAATTAAACATATCCCTAAACATATCCCATTAAAAATGCATCAGGTTTCATGGGCTACACATCTCCATTAAGACAATGCCCAAATACAAGGTTTGTTTCTCAGTTGCAAGCCGTCCTCATCTCTAGAGATGCATTATATTAATTTAAGACGCCCCACCACTGCCCCCACCCCTCCCTTCTGTTCTCTCCTGTGAGATGAGAAGCCCTCATCCCTGGCAGTGGCCAGAACACATCTCAGCCGCCAGCCAGCAGGTGGCACACAAAGGCCACACCAGTGCTCATGAGGACACATTGCAAGTTACAACCACCTGTTTTTAGACTAAAAGATAAAAAAAAGAAACACTGGCCATCTATTCCCAGTGGTAGACATACCGTATATCCCTAAGGGTATATGAATGGTAAATCTTCTAAGTAAGCCACCCAAAAGATACTGCAGGGAGGTAAGGGGGTGATTTACATGGGAAACACAATGACTGAAACATAGAATTATTATTAACTGAAATCCATACCTGCACACTAGCATACACCAGTTATAGAACACGGGTGCAGCAATTATGGTCAGCCAGTTGTAGTACAGATTGCTTGAAGGATCTATCACAAAGATCTCTTTTTTTGGCCTGGAAAGAAAAACATGCAGGTTTACACTGGAAATGTATCAAGCAACCTTGTTTACTGGAGGCTGCTCATCTTGTGAAGAACTCACAGCTGCCTGAGAAGAGAAAGTATCCATGCAGGCAGCCCAGATCGGATACCAAGCATTAGCTGCATCCCATCTGACAAGCTCTATTTCTTTGTTTGACCCGACTTTGGAAAAAGTAAGTAAGAGTGGGAAGAAAAACCCAGACATTCACATCACCCAGGCTGAAACCCATAGCCTTTATGTATAAGCCCCCCACTGAAAAAGGTCTTGAGATCAAGCAGATTCCTTTTGGAAATGATTCCTAACTACATGTCCCCATGACTACATAGCATATGCCACTATATACACACATACATATACATTTACAGTATATTACTGTAACATACTCCTTAACTATGAAGTCCAAACAAATGCATTCTCTTTTTTCATCTGCTTCCATTGTTGCTTTTAATAACTGCTAATACTAAATTGTACTATGTTTGTGTCAGCTTTAGGGTGACAAAGCAAGAGCAAACCCTTCAAATGATCTCATTTTGTTGCAGAAATACGTCATCCCCTAACAAACAGAAGCAAACTTCAGTGATCACTAGCCATCAACTGCACCATATTAAGTAATTAAATATACTAGTCAGTGAAATATCTACACTTACTAGCAAATCTTTAATTTTCTACATGTAAGATTCTTGGTAAGATGAACCAGAGTTTTGGTTCATATGCTCTGAGTCGTTATGGACTCTGAGTCATTTTCGAACAATGAAAAGTCTGTGCAGCTCTGCAAAGCAGGCTGCTGTCCTAAAATGTCTTTATAGTAAAAAAATGATCTTCGAATCAAAGTGACCAAAGGCAGCTCAATTCCCTTTTAATGACATAGGAAGCTGATCGTGACACAGGTCTAAACACAGGTCTTCAAGACGTAACAACTTTGCCAAGCAGTTGAAACCTTTCCAAAGTGGAAAATGTATTAAAGATTTGACAGGCTAAGGTTCTGCAGTCCACAGAACAGTGATAGCGAAAGTGTTATGATGAAATGCCATACCATGTTTTGTAGTGCAGGGAGGTATGTTACAAGCACATATTTGTTCTTTATACTTACTCTTCCTTTTTTTTATCATCTTTTTTGTCATCTTTTTTGTCATCTTTCTTTTCCTCTTTCTTTTCCTCTTTCTTTTCCTCTTTCTTTTCCTCTTTTTTCTCCTCTTTAACCTCTTTCTTTTCTTCCTTTTTGCTGTACAACATAATGCAAAGCTTAGCAATATTACCAATATTGAAGCAGTTTAGGGAGAGGGAGGATGTTGAGGTAGAGGAAACTAGACTACTCTCCAGACAGAGTAGGACGGGGATCCAGCTGAGACCTCACCCTGGCAGCACCACACTCTCACATCAGGTAACCAGCTGGCTGATTCTCTGCATTAGTCACCCACACTTTCTTGACCTTTTCAGACATCAGTGTACCAGGATGATTTTAAGTAAACGCTCTCAATTTGTTTCATTCTTTAGAACCCAGGCATTTTAAAAAAAAATCTATCAAATGATGACAAAACTTGAAATGGCTTAACAAACTGTCAACATTCTTTGCATAGCTAAAACCTCACTGTGATTGTCTGAAGCTTTAATAGTAATTAAACAAAATGATGCTCAATTTTCTCTCATGGTTCTTTGAAATCAGCAAAGCTATAATTACTTAATTACCTCTGGTTTTAACAATTGCCTTGAAGAATTCCAGACAATATTTGAACAAAATCAGCAAATGTAGAGAAAAGAAGTGTGTCTCACTTAACTATACAGTAGTCATTTTATAAATGCTTTATAGTCACTATGATTAACCCATCCTATTTTAGTTGCATGTAAGAGATAGAGATCTACTATATCTATGAGATATTCCATGTGGCATAGTCCATGAGTCCGCAAGATGACTTGTGCTCCAAAAGGATTTCTTTGCTTTCCATCAACTGTAATAGAAGAACAGGTTGCCCAGCTCAGATGCAAGTGTCTGTGCTTGGTCAGAGGAGCTATGCTCAAATTGCTCTGCCCATTTTCCATTGCCACAGTATTCAAAGGCTGAGCATTAAGCATGAAGTTCCAGTCTTTCCTAAAATCAATGGGAATTTTGCCTAGACTTGATGGAATCATGGTAGTCTCCAAGTTAATTAATCATTTTCCATTCAATAAAGTAAAATAGGGACCATTTAACACGATATATTCTAACATTCCAAAGTATCCAGCACTGACTCAGGCTTCAATATTTAACTCCAAACATGGATTTTCATACTGTTCAAGCTCATTAGAATGTGATAAGCCAGATATAAAGATAGTTCAAGACTCTTCTGTTCAGACAAACCTAAGAATGGGGCAAGTCAGATCTATGTTAACTTAGAGTAGATAGATCCACAAATCCTTTTCAAAACTGCAGAAAGTTAACATCTCTCTTAAGATTCTGCCAATACAATCTTAAAGCTAAATTTTTTACATGCCTTGGTCAAGAATCATGTAATGCATTGCCTGAGATCTCCTTTTTTTTATTTGAAATTTGTCTAGTCCTCGAAGAAGAAAGTGTCCCCATTAGACAGAAAAGCCTAAAACTGTTCCTGACACTACAGTATATGTGGATAATGCCTATTTAAACATAACTCCCCACAGATAATGTCTGGTTTGGATGAAAGCCAGGGACTCTAGCTCCCACGGGAGCTTCATGTTCTCTGAACTGCCGAGACTGGGTCTGAGCCTCCCTTTTCACCGGTGTCAAGAAAGGATACATTAGTTCAATGGCAGCCACATCTCACAGCAAAGGCAGAGTATGGAATAACAGGTGAAAAACAGGACTTGTGCTTTTCACGCATACCTGCTCATACCACTCAGATCAGAAAGGTCTAGGCTGTGAATGGCAGCCATGTCTAGGAATGTGCTTGTTACAGGGAGAAAGAAGCACTCCAAAGGAGAAGACAACAGTCACCAATTTTAAGATAGCAGCAGCTTTCACCTGTTAGCAATGAGCACCTGTTCTAATTCTTACCCTTAGACATTTCCATAGTGACGGAGCAACACAGTGTGATTTGGAAAGCCCAGGCTCATTTGGTAAAAAATGCTGAGATCCTACACTTCGCCACATCCAGGGAAATATCTACCAAGCTGACCAACACCACCGAAACTTTCAAAATTATACACTGCAAGGGAGTACGACTGGAGGAAAAAAGAACCTTTAGCTTGACTGATCTTCTATTTATGAATGCATCTCAAATCAAAGAAACAGCTTTTCATTTACCAAGGCTGCTTCTTACACAGCAGTGGGAACTGCTGCTCAAGTATCTATTTCTCTGCTTACTGACTGCCCTGGACTTTATGGCTTCATTTTCAAATCTGGCCCCAAAACTCCTTCCTGTTTAAAAAACATGTCAGGATTTCACTGCAGATTACCATAAATGGTGTCTGATCTTAAAGGCAATTCACAGTTGCTGTTATCAACATCAATGTAGCTCTTCAAGATTTAAAATGTCTGTCATTCTCACCAACAGTTATAAGTAAATGGAATTTGCAAAGGGTAGGGCTATACATTTGTGGATCTTGTTATGCAGGGAAAAGTAGGTTGAGGTAGAGAACCAATCAAAAAGTCCTGGTGGTGGTGAACTTTGGAGGGAATATTTTGACCATTCCAGCTCCCTCCTATGTTCATGGTTTCTTTTTAAAAAGTGAAAAAACATTATTTTATACAGCATCTCATGCCAATAATTATTTTTCTCTGGCCTGAGATCTTCTACAAACTCATCTGTCAACTACAGGTATCTTTCATAATTGAGTTTCTTCCATTTATGTGGCCTCTGTGCATCTTTCCATTATCATACCTCCCACCTTACCACACTCCCACCTATTTGCATGGAAGTCACTCGGAAGAAAAGACTGGTTATAATCAAAGACTTGAAAGCATCGCCAACAGTTCCCCAAGACCTGGCACACTTAGGTCTTTAACATAATAAAAAACCTAAAGCTTAAAAAAGACATTCATTTGTTTTTCTTTATCAGTGCCACTCAGGAAACTGGAATGCAGTAACTAATAAAACAGTTGTTTGTGTCTGCCATTTTTTACCCCAACAGAGCAGCATCCATTCTGTGTTTCCGCAGTTTTAGACTTGGAAAACATCTTCATCAGCCTCATAAAAACACTGTCATAGTCTTTGAATTAGTCAAATATTTGCATTTCTCATCTGTCAAGTACTTTGAAAATCAAGTGTGTTTCAGACTGTCGGGCAGGTAGACAGACAGGTATTGTATTTATTTTAAAATGACAAAAAATTGGAAGGATGAAAGTCTTGCCCAAGGTACGTGAGTCATTGTCAGAAACAGAGAAAGACAGAAGTATTTCTATCCTAATCAATCCTTTGGGCCCCATCTCGGAGGCTAAGCTGCAGGCTTATAGCACTTCTTTTATACCAGTCTGAATAAAAATCTACACATTTCTCTCACTGTTCACTGCACACAAATTTTCCTTTTTAATAAAAGTTATGCAAACAAAACCAAAAAGTTGATTTAGGAGGCGGAAAATTTCTTGTCCACATATGTGCACAAAGGTTTTGCAGTATCATTTAAAATGTACAGTTTGAACTTGCCCATGACAAAATTATTTCGAGAAAATAAACCCCAAGAGTGTTCTAAAAGTATTTCTGACACAATCAGAAGCTGTCTTGATTATTTTTTTTGCTTTCATTTGGAAAACAATGAAAAAAATTTACTATCATCATGCGTGAGAACAGATCTGCTGCTGGACACTCAAGAGCAGATATGTCCTCCAACAGCTGAGCAAGAAACAAACATTGGTGTTGGGTAATTTTAAATTACAAGAGCTCGTCACACTGTTCAATAAATTTCTCTTTGGTGTAACACTGTGAAATAGCTTGTCAGTTATATAAAACAGACAAAACAAAAGCTTCTGTTAGAGCTTCTGTTACAATACCAGCCTTAATATGGTGCCTTTCACTCTCTCTAAAACAACAATATCTGCTGAACTGAAACACACTTTAAAAGGATGCACACAGAAGTGTTTTCTTGGTACCCTGACCAGTATCCACTTCTCATTTGACAATCTGAAATTTTTGAGGCACTTGATTTGAAAAAAGGGACCAGTATGTTAAAAGAGGAAAATCACTATTAGGAAATTGATACATGAATCTCATTTAAAAACTGAAGAATTAATAAATCAATTGGTGATGCAGTAAAATCAGCCAGCTGAACTACAGGAGGTAGCAACTGAATTCTTGATCAAATTCAGTCCTTGAGAGGAAATGGTAACTTCAGACAAAAGAAGTTCACAGGGAGCACGAAGAATGTTTTTCATACTAAGAAAACTAGACCTTTCTCTATAATAAAACTATATTCCTAGGAAAGGCTTAGTGAGAGCTAAGGAGTAACTACAGTAACTACAAATGTTACTAGGCTGGAAAGGGAAAAAGACAAGGTGCCAGTAGTATAGAAAGATGTTTGGAAGTTATCAGTACTTACTCTTCATTGGTGTTGTTGCTATAGTTGACATTAAACCTGGCCAAAGGCCAGTGACTGAAAGCAAGTTAAATAAAACACATTAAAGAGTGTAAAGACTGTTGGTATTTCATGCACGTGTTCACAGACATGACAGACTAATTTACTAGCACCTCACATATGCACTGATAAGATTAGGAAGGTCAACTTTGACTGCTGTGATAAGCCTCTTTGCATAACTGCTTCAAGGCACCAGATTCTCTTTACCGTGTGCTTCGCATACCCATTTGTGACCACATTTGCTGCCTGAAGCTTGTTCTTAGGTGTATCAGTGCATGGCAATATGCACCTCACTATTTTTAGCCTTTTACTCATGGGGCTGCTATTTTAAGCTTTCTTCAGTCCTTTCAACTCATCTTCATGAATGCAGCATCAAGGCTTGTGGATAAGTAATGAGCATACCTACCATTGCTGCAGAATTAAGCCTTCAGGATACAACAACTGGGATTTACTGTCAAGCAGCAACAGTGTAAAACTGAGAAGGCAAGGATGGATACTCTCAAATTCACTTTGAATAGCCTCATGTAGAGGTCTGTTGGCCCAGGATCAATGTTGTCCTCTCTAATCACTTCAAATCTGAAGTTGCTACTGATCAATTGCTACCGATCCAGACCTCTGAAAAATGAGACAATAGTCTGGCTAATTCAATATGTGCTTTTGAGCTGAATTTCCAAGGAGTAGATCAAGTGAAGATAATAAGGCTGTGCTGGACCACAATAAATCAAGGTAACCTGTACCATGCACAGCCTCTCAAAGATTTTTGCTTTAATCTGAATGACTAGCTGAGATTTTGAAACAAATTGTCTTATTACTTGCTCACCTACCAATCTTTAACTATGCAGAAAAAAAACAAATTTAAAAAATGGGAGTCTCTGCTTCAAAGCATAATAAACAGAAAGTCAGCTTTTGTTTTGGGACTTCATTTTTGCCTCTTCTAGCTGGAGTTAAACTTAAAACACTGTATCATATGTCTGTAAAGCAATAACAATCCAGCAAGTCAAAAAACATAAAGTTTTCTCTTGCAAGCCTCTGTTGCTCTATTGGAAAAAAAAAATAAGATAACACTGAACCTGTCTTTCATACCAAAGACTGAGTATGTAGTAATAAGTGAAGTCAGCAGCCAAAAGACTTTGTCATTTCCGCATCAGAAGCCTTCTGTAACGTTTGCAGATGAATTCCTGAGTAGGTATAACAACACAGCTGCTTGTTTGAAGTTTCCTAATACTTGCAGATAATGTGCATTAATATTAATGTCCTGAAAAGCCATAGCTAGCAATATTCTGGATTCTTGAAATAAAAATCACATTCATCCTCAGTAGAGATGAGTTTAGCAACATCAAGTTGCACAGCTTGCCTATGATAAAATTCCAGTTCTGAGAAATCATTCTGCCTGAAGCAGTATGACCAGAATCCTTTACTTCACGATCTTTGCCACAGTGCATTTGAGGGGGAAAGAGAAAGTCTGCTGAAAGCTGTAATACTTCAGTTATATGAAGATTCCCAGGCAGCATTTCCCATGCTGAGCTCCTTACCCTCTTCTTAAAATAAAACTTAGATCCTAATTACCAAGAAAATACCATAACCTCAGTCATCTTCATTTAAAGTATAAACACATCTTACCTGTTTACTGCCCCAGGCCGCTCACGGCTACCCAGAAAGGAGCGGATGTTACTTTGCCTACTGGACACCTCTACGAGCTCCGGCCCTCTGATACGTTCCAGGAAAGAATCGGGCCTTTGGTCTTCATGATGCAAATGTCTTGTGGCCCATGACCTTACGGATAAGACAAATCGTGACAGCCTGCATGGAACAGACACACAAAATTGACTGAACCAGACAAGAACATAAGGTGCCTTAAAACATTCTCACAAACAGCAGCCCAGGAGGATTTTTCTCCACTTCTCCACCTGCCATGAAATTAAACTTGATGGATCAACTGTAAACCCAGTCACTTCCCTCAATTTCATAGATTACCTTTTGCAGTGGATCAGGAAAATATCTCACACATTAGTTCCTAGTCCACAGTATCAGCATTGCAGGAGCAATACAATATTCTTGTCAATGAGGGCCTTTCCATCTCAATGTGAGATACTCAGTGAAGTCCATCAGATGCACTTGTTTTAGGTCCTTGAGAATTTGCAGTCAAGAGTCATGTTATGATACCATAACATTTAAATTGCTTAGCATTTATGTTTTCATCAGAAACTACCTTGTATATTCAGGTAGCCAGACACACACGTAAATCAAACTATTCTGAAAAAGGGTAAACAATATAAAGATTAAAAAGGAAGTTCTCAGTATGAATTTATATATTCATGTGCTTTATGTTTACACAAAATGCACACCTATAAACATTTTTCATCTGAACTCAACTTTTTGCACACTTTTTAATCTACACGTGGTGGCGTCACTTATCTGACAACCAGAGAAGTTTATTTTCCCCCATACAAAAGGCTTAAGTGTAAACAACACTCTTTAAATGACCTTAGTTTTGTAAAAATTTTTTTCTTTGCTCTTTGGAATACACTGTGCTTAAACTGAGCATGGTCTGTATTGTGTGTAATAATGGTATCCAAAGGCAGAGCTTTGCAGTCTCAGACAGAAATATTTAAAGCAGACACAATAAGTTTTCGAAGCTCCACTTCAGGTTTATGTTTAAGTCCTGGTAATGTGAACAGTTTAAGCCAATGGTTGACTTTAATTTTGCTGACTAAGGTTCCAAATCCATTATAAACATAATTGGATTCTAAAAACTGAGAGAAACTGTTGCTTTCTCAACACAAGATCCCCTGTCTCCTCCCTTGCCAGAGCCATCTACCAAAAGGGAACCATCGTTATGTTTTATTTGATAGTATAGTAACATTGCATCTGCTATCAGCCAGAATCAAACACTTACCCATTTACTTTACAGTTTGGCCTCACTTCATGCATTTCCACAGCATTAAACATATTTTCAGATCTGATTATGTAAAAATAATTTATTTTTTTATATTTGACAACTTTGTGTGGGTTTATTCAGCATCTCTCAGACTGTAAGGTTTTTACTAGCAATAAGTGAAGAGTTGAGAATCAAAGTCAAAGGCAACCTCTGTTACTTCTTAACAGACTTTCTTCATCCATTTTCTTTGGAAAGTGATGGCTCTTCTTTCTTTGACTCCAAATTTCGAGTGGTCTCTTTCAACAAATTAAATTTAATGCTGGAAGTTCTACTAGTCAGCATATTACCTTGCCATTGCTCCCCTGCCTGTGAATGAGCTCGTCTGGGATTCAGATACATGTCTTCCCTCCACAGAAATGACTCCCTGCAGTTCTGAAGACGCATCTTCACACAGTGAATGGGTTCTGCAAAGGCAATTTTTTTTTTAAGAATTCCATATAGCATTCACCAGACTTACCCCTAACCAGTTCTTTCCACCTACTACATCAGGAAACAGGGCAGCAAATTGTCTTCTTAGTAACATAGCATATGTTTGATAACCCTATGTTCCAACTTTTCTGGAGCCATCCAATGTGAATTAAAGTCAGGGGAGGCTCTGCCATGTGTTCCAGCAAGCTCAGAAGCTAGAGACTATTCATGAGCACTTGAAAAAATAGCTTTTGAGAAAAAGAGATGAAAATTTAGCCTCATCTTTCAGTAATGGAGTTTTGAAATTTACTTCACTGGAACCTGGACTTTATAAGGGTTCACTCTGAATTTTTTTTTAGTACTCCTAGGATTTTCTCTGTGTTTTCCAGTCTTTTGTATTCACTTTTACAAGACTTTATCATGACCACTAAGGATCTTTTTTTCCCCCCTTTGTAATGCAAACATGAACTCACATATGAGTCTGTTCATCTGTATTGTCAGGAAAATATTGACTATAATGAGAGTTGCAGTATCTTCATAAGAATTGGCAACAGCACTTTCAATGCCCACAAAAAGATAATTAGCAGTTCAGTTTTGTGGGGTGCACTCACAGTTGAGAAACTGACAAACACAGAATTAAAATTTTATTATTTCTACACAAAGAACAATACTAAAATAGATCCTGAAAGTCCCAGGATTCTCAACTTGTTAACTGTTTTCTAATTCTCTTCTAATTACAAAACACCAGTAGACACTGCCTAGTACTGAAATACTTTTATAATCTAGTTTATGTTGTCAGTGCTGAGGATATTGTGGCTGCCAAAGTTAACATGGCTTCTAGGGGAAAATCAATGAACTCATGGAATAGAAATTCATTATGGATTACCAGATACACAGAGCCTGCATTCATCTCAAGAAAGTCTCCTGAGCTGGATGTAATAGAGTTTACCCACCTTTTTTACTATTTCCTAGAGCACTGGCCTACAGACCTGCTGGCAAAAGGATGCTGGACTAGTCCATCTTTTAGACTGCACTACCATGGCTATTTTTAAGTACTTCCATTCCTGTTTACAGACAAATATACATTTTGTGTGATCTTAGCAATAAATTCTAATACTGCTGCTGGGCAGTGCCTAATAAGTATCTAAGTTCTCATTATAGTCAGTGGCTATCTTCAGCTTGATTCAGCTGCCTCAATATAGGAGTCTAGTACCATTTGGAATACTTCAAAATACTTTATCAGACCTCTCCAGAGCACACAGGTCTCTCCTCACATCCACTAGTACCACCTAAATGCTTCAAATACCCTGTGGTATCTCAAATAGCATTAGATGCCTGTTTTAGTCAACTAAATACCTCTCTCATAATCAACAGAGCCAAATGAGCCTGAAGAGCTATGCAGCTCCAGGGTAAGCTGAACAGTTTCCCGGGTGCTGCTGACTGTGAGTACTGAGTACATCTCCACTCATGACAGCAGGAACGTAGACACCTTCTCACACAAAGGCACTGAAATCCAGATGTCTACAGGGCACAGCTGAACTTTTAGACAGGCAACCTGTGTCTATAGTCTATTGTGCTGCCTCTCCTATTTGAGCTGTTTCTCTGCAGAGGCTGGATTTTTAAAATAGAGATTCATTTGGTTTTTTTTGTTTTGTCAATTTTTTATTTTAACAAAATGAACCAACTTCATAACACGCTACAGAAGTAAAAATATGGGCACAAGAATCACCTACTCCTGCATATATGAGAATGACAGCTTAAAGATCAGGAGCAGCTCTCTGTTAACTATTGCAGTGAATTCTTTTTCTTGATAATGCCTCATATCACAGCAGAAAAGGGCTTAAGCACATCCTTAGCATTAGGTATAAATTTAACACCCACTAACTTTAGTGAGAACTAAGTAATGTGTTTAATTGCTTTGCTGAACTATAGCCAACAGGAGCTGAAGGAAGACAATGGTTACTATACAAAACCCGGTGGTTTTTTCCCCAATGTCTATAGTTGTATATTTTGCTACAAAATAGAGAAGGGCTAAAATTCTGGATGGGACCTATCTTTTGGTACAGACATATTCTAAAACAAAATTGAACTTAAAAAACCTGTACCAAAATTCTTTGAGTGGTATAACAAAGGTATTGTATATACTTACTAGCAATCACTTGAGCAATCCAAACCCTCTAAATATGAGATCTTTTTTAAAGAGTAATATTGTATCTTTTTATCTCTTATATTTTTATCTTTTCGTGGTTTATCTTTCTATATCTTTATCTTTTTTATATCTTTATCTTTTTCAAATCTTTTCATCTTTGAACTCCTGTAACTAATGCTGACAGCAGCAAATTTCTTTGAAATAAATGTTTCTTTAAGACCATCATCATGATATAAGTGCAGTTCATATTTCAGTCCCTCTATCTGTCAAAAGCAAGATATTGCCTCTGAAACTGCAGATGACCAAAGAAATTCAATCCTACAGTTAAACCTTTATGACCCCACTCTCACATCCCCATCAGTAATTCCATTTGTGAGCTGCCAATCACTGATATCTCTGCAACTAGGACATAAAAAAAAGGAAAGGAGGATCTTATTTCTGTGTTTTCCCTGTTTCTGAGATATCACTGTAAACAGAGACAAAGGGACATGGCTCTTCCAAATCTAAATAAGTCAAGCAAGACATACTGTGCAGAATAGAAGCAGCTCCATTTTCCCTAGTATAGGTACACTCACATGACAAAAGGTATCATGTAAGCAAAGCAAAAAGGAAAAAAGGACCAATTCAAACAGGGCAGGAATCACATCCATAGCAGACACTAGGGGCATGCAATTCAAAAATCCTCATAAAGCAGGCAGTCCTATCAGCCCAGCAGGAGTTTGAGTGCTCCAGTCTGGGTATACGTTTGAACAGCAAGAAACACTCTGACAAGGTCCACATAGATGAGGTGGTTGACTGTAACAAGACAAAAGCAGAACATTTTTTCCAGCCTGTACAAATGCTGTGGATCATGAGACACCTGCCTGCAGGCCCAGCAGGGTTTGCCCAGTTTAGAGAAATTACTGATACTGTGCAAAATTTAAGTGCAAGCTCACTGGCACAGTTTAAACAGCCACTTTAAAACTATTAAAACAGGAAGGCAAATGTAAAGGAACTATTACATTTCCTTTGTACAGTGATGGACTCTGAAAATCCAGTACAAAAATGTTGATATTCTTTATACATCACATATGTTCCCTATCACATGAACTAGGCAATTTGCAGAGGCTACATTTAAAAAAACTTCCCAAGGCTTTTCACTGGTGTTGAAAGGATCTTTTTTTTTTCACCAAATTCCAAATACTCTGTCGGCAGCACACACCCTGCTATCTGTGTGGTGACTTCCGAAAGATGTTTCTCCTCAATGAGTTAGTATAATTTCAAGTGAGGTGAAAATGGGCTTTATTCCTGAGGTAGTACAGCTTCTAGTTCCAAAATTGCAAGCCATGGCAACCTCCCTGCATCTGTCTCTTCAGTACTTTGGATATATGTTGCTAAGTCAGTTAAGTGCACAGGGTCAACAAGATGACACAACGTTCCCATAACTCTAGCTCCTATTCCTGGTGCTAGAGGAGTTCCACAAATTATGCAGCAATCTGTCCTCTTGACTCTGATGAAAGGAATGTATTACCTGATATAGCCATTTTCAATCCTTTCAATATCTTCATCAGTAGTTCTGACAGACAGTCTGTGCATACCAGGGTAGGAGTGCTGGGTGTTGATTTTTGCCATTTTGCTTTACATATCAACATCTAAACGACAGCTGAAATGGGAAAAAAAATATGAAGACTGCAAAAGAAATGTGGTCAGTACTAAAAAGAGTGCTTTATTAAAACAGTAGAACAGTAAAAAGCAATTTCAACCATTTGAATAACAGCCGGTGATATTTACACATACATATGACATGTTTCTTGATTTACTTGTAGTAGATAGAAAAAAAAGTGCTAGTAAAAGTGTAACAAAGAAGATTCATCATGCCCTAAAAAACGGGTTACATGACACCGTATTCTTTTTAGTCTCTGGGCTTTATGAATACCTACACTGTCATACTTATTATCCATTGAAATTGCATATAAAATCTCATTAAAAAAAGATTACAGTTAGAAAGTCAACCAAAAACAGCTAGATAATACATGTGCTAGGACAACTCATTCCATTTTACATTGATTCCCTTGTGCTAATTTTATCTATTTTGTGACTAAACTGTTTATTCCAAAAATACATATTAACCAAGCAGATAACTAATGAAACTTACCCCTCAGCTTATTATACACCATGCAGTAATTCTATATTATTAAAACTCTGCACTAAACATATACTCAGATTTTTTGATATACTGCTTCAAGACAATCTCTGCTCATCTCCTACAAGTTTTAGGATATTGATCTGAATCCCTTTCCAGATTTGACCTTCAATGCCTTTCCAAATTCAAATCACATCTATCCTCACAAAACAAGTTTTAAGGCTCAAGACAAGTGTCTTACAAATAAGGAACTGAAACACTTCCGTGAAAGGTTTGAATTTTTAAAACAGAAAAATCTAAGTTTTGAAACTCCCTTCAGGAAACTTTTTTGTTTGAGATATGACTAGAATGAAATTCTCTTTGGATCAGTTAACTCCCTCAGACTACCTACTGTCTCTTTTTCACCTGAAATCCTGTCTCACTGACTACACAATATTCACCGTAAGAGGAAATGAAACACAGATCTTTCAGAAACTAACTTTCTGTCCTGAATTATTCCTGAAGCAAAGCTCATAATCCATGATTAGACCTATGTTATGTATCCACTTTCTTAAAAAACAGACATCCAACTTACCCTGCACTCAACTTCCAGACAACTAAAGAAAATCACATACAACTTTTAAAATTATTTAATATATTTCAAGATATAAAATAGGTTATTTTTTTATCCAGAAATAATAAAATTAGTCTAGAAATACCACTTGCGTATCATTTAACACCTGAAATTTTGATTAGTATTTCCCATTACTAATTTTGCCTCATTGTAAGTCAGTTAATGTCTGTGTCTCACCTTAAGCTGAGCCCTGTTCATGCTGGTTAACTGAAGTTTTACTGGGGAAAAATGGGCATTTTTATTACACATCGATATAAAAAATTGAGTTCTTCCAACCCAGCCTCAGATTGGAATGTTCACTCAGAAGAATTAATTTCTAAAGTGCAGATAATTTATGCTAAAAACATAACTCAAGGTTTTAAAAGCTTGGTGGTGGGAAAAGAAAAATGGTTCATAAGTAACAAAGCATTAACCTTTTTTCTAAAGATGTATTTTCAGCACAAAGTTAGTATTGAGTTAAGATCTTGATGACCTAACACAACAGTAACACTCATCAGTTCTGATGATTCACAATCAAATTGATGTCTACCTCTGGCAGTTCTTAAGCAAGGGTCACCTGGTTTATAATATCCAACAAGTAAATAACTCTGCTAAAACACTAAAAGTGTTGAAACAATAAAATCATGAGCTAATAAAACCCTTCTGAAGTCTTGGGATGATGTCAATAATTTGTTACCAACCACATGTATTCTCTCACTGAGAAGACGCATTGCCCCTGACTCTGGAGATTAGTGAACAATGCCTTTCTGTATTTCAAATGCTGTAGGTGTGAGTATGGATTTCCAGACACTTGTGCATCAGCTCCCAAAAGTCTGGTTAAAAAAACATTAAGTATAGTATTTCTTAAAACTGAAATGGCTTCTCTAGATGTTACTAATCTCCTGAAATTAGATATTACTAGTCTGGACTTAAACACTATTAATAGATACTGGAATTAGATATTCCAAATCTCCTCGAAAGGCTTGAGTATGCCAGTGGAAGCGCTGAATACGGGAAACACTCGTAAACCTTATTTAGACTTCCAAAAACTATGTCACTAAAGAAACAAAACAAGTCATAGGATATGAAGCCAAATACTATTTTGGATTAAAAAGGAGAAGACAGAAAGCAAGAACAGGATTAAACAGCCTCCCTCATCACTGCAGAAGTTTAAGAACAGTATTCCTCAGAGCTCCATAGGAAAATCTGTCATTAATGATGCTGACGAAAAGGAGTGGTGATACAAGAAGATCTCAGTATGGCAAAAAATACTATAGGCAGGAGTAACAAAAGGAGTGCAAGGAACTTCAGGGTGACCCTCAACAACTATATCAATTTCCCAATTTGATGACAAGTGATGTGCAACATAGGCAAATGGAAATCAATGAACGCAGGTGAAAAGCATGTAAGCTACTGCCTTACATGCTTCCAAATGGGCCATATGCTCTCAGAAAGGGAACCTGAGAGTAGTTTTAGATTAAGTATTAGAAAGAAATTCTTCACGATGATGGTGGTGAAACACTGGAACAGGTTGCCCAGAGCAGCTGTGGATGCCACATCCCTGGAAGTGTTCAAGGCCAGGTTAGATGGGGCTGGGACCAATTTGGTCTAGTGGAAGGTGTCCCTGCGCACAGCAGGGGAGTTGGAACTACATGGTCCTTAAGGTCCCTTTCAACTCCTATGAACTTATGATACATGTACAGCTCACTGCAGGCTTGCTGATGCAATAACTGACAATATATACATGGAAAATGTTAATGACACAAAGAACACTAAAACTGTTCCACAAAACAACAGGGCAGACTTATTTAGAACACTATTAGTCCTTCTCTTGAACAGAAAGATAAAGCAGCATAAAAGCATGGCAAGAATGATTAAGGACATAGAGAAGGGAGAGAAATAAAAATGATATTGCTCACTATAGAAAGATGAAGAATAAAATAAAATTATGTAGGTAAAATTGGAGCTCATTTCAGATCCGTTACAATAATTTTAGCTGTAAAGTTCACACTCAATATACAGTGTGTTCTGAACTCTTATTCTACACTGTACTGGAGGAAAGGAGGGGGGAACATTTCACGGTAATACAACTCTACTATTAAGCAATAAAATACAATCATGCATTTTTGGAAGGAGGTAGGGACAGTGGATGAAGGTGTGTTTTGTGTGCCCAGCTGTGGTGGAGGGAAACTGAACACAGGACTGATAGAAATAAATAATGCAGCATTTGAGTACAGAGCGGGTGGTGAGACCTCCTGAAGTAACATGGTTTGGCACTGCATAAAGCCCATAAAATTCTGACAAATTACAGGCTATCCGATAAAGGAGAAATATTTGTTCTTTCTAGGCCTCCAAGAATCCTAATGATAAATGTGTTCAATGGTCTAGGGAGGAGATCAGCTTTTCAACATTGGATCCAAAATCTGGCAAGTGACTGACTAGGGAGCAGCTTATCATGAGCTATCAGGAGGAACCAGCAGGAAAGTCCTGAAGAGCCGTGAGGCTCCGCCAACACCTTTTGCAGGGCCACAGAGAGACAGCTCCAATTGTCTGGGATCTGCAGTTCCAAAATTGCTGCTAAATACTGGTTCTTATCAGGGAGTTTTAAGAAGTGAGTAGAGCTCAGCTTTGTATTTAAAAACATAGTTGTTACAGTAGTGTGGTGGGTTGGCCTTGGCTGGCTGCCAGATGCCGACCCAGCTGCTCTCTCACTGCCCCTCCTCAGCAGTCCAGCAGGAAAAAGTAAGATGCGAAAGCTCATGGGTAGAGGAGAAGGACAGGAATATCACTTAGCAATTATCACTGCAGGCAAAACAGGCTCAAATTGGAGAAAATTCAATTAACTTATTGCAAATTAAAAGAGTTGGATGGTGAGAAACAAAAACAACTCTATCCTTCATTTTTTCCACAAATTCAACTTCACCCTTACATTACCAACTCCTCAACCTCCTCCACCCTACCCAGCAGCACAGTGGGTGGGGAATGGGGGGTTGCAGTCAGTCCATAATGCTTCCTCACTCCTGCTTCTTCCTCCTCACACTGCCGCTGCTCCAGTGTGGGTTCCTGCTGCAGGCTGCAGTCCTTCACAAACTGCCCCAGTGTGGGTCCTCCATGGGCCACAGTTCCTGGCAGGAGAACCTGTTCACACATGGGCTCCTCTTCACTGGCTGCAGTTTTCTTCAGGAAATAGCTACTGGTTCCACTGTAGGGTCCTCCACAGTGGATGTCTGCTCCAGTATGGTCCCCTACATGGGCTGCAGGGGAATCTCTGCTCCAGTGCCTAGAACAACACCTCTGCTCCTTCTTCTCTGACCTTGGTGCCTGTAGAACTGTTTTTCACCCTTTTTTCCTCCCCTCATTCCCAACACGCTGTTTTCGTAGCATTATACTCGTTTTTAAGTGCTTTTCCCCAGAGTGCCACCATCTCGGCTGCAGAGGATCAGCTGGAGACATCAGTGTCCAGCATAGGCAGCCCCGGTTGCTCCTCAGAGAGGGCCCCACAGCACCCTGCCAGCCCCTGGGGGCCTGCACCCACCACACATTGCTATTTGCCTTCTATAAAATCTCTATTATCTCGGAACTACACTCTCTACTCTAAATATTTAAAGGTAGTAATTACATTGAGAGTAAAATTTGATTACCTAAAGGCTGACAAGCCTGATAAATCCACGTTAGGTCCTTAGAACAGGTATTTAGCCTACAAGCGACTGAACAAGAGAAACAGACAGACAAACAGAAGGATAGTTCTCTGACCCTCAATCTAGTCACCCAGCAAAACAAAACTTACCTGAAACCCTCCTAGCTCTTGAAAGATTGACATCTTTACCAATGCCTTAAGCAGAATTTTAACATGCTTTCTCACTTAGTCTTTCTGTCCTTGCTACCAATTGTACTAACCTGAAAAAGATGAATAATAAATAACTCCACACTCAAGAATATTGCTTTTCAGTGCTTAAATCACTGAGACTGAAACCAGAGCTAAATGACAAAGATGTATTATCCTACTAAAAATGCAACAAATTATACATTACTGATAGCACTGCCTACTCCAAATGCAAATAGTTCATGTACTCTTTTATCCTCTTGGATTCAATAGAAACTGATGTATTGTGTCAAATTATTTTATATGCACTGTCTGATATAAAAGACCTGTTTTATCAAGACAGCAAGTTGTTTGACAACAAATACGAGTTCAAATAACATATGAAAACTTCAGATTCACATAAGCCTTTACTAATTTTGAAAATCAGGTTCTACTTATCTCTTTAGAACCATATCTGTATAGACTTAGAACAAGAGGTATGAAGGCTGCAGTATCTAAATTTAAGGAGCTGTGCCGTCCAGTGGATATCCTAAAGCAGGCATGCAGAAATTCAGGTACCCAGGAACAAGGCTCTAAGAGGGGATCTACATATGCTAGCCAATATGAAAAGACTGAAGCTAAAATGGGAGACTGGGCATCTAACTCCAGGCCAAAAAGAGGTGGCACCCAACTGACAGCCATTAACTCCCCTCTTTCTCAAGTCTGTTCGCTTATGTGCAGCAAATTGTATTGTGCTGAGCAGCTGCACCTCAAAAATGAGAAGCTTTTTGAGTCTGCTTCAAGTTAAGCAAGCCAAAACATTTTTACTCCTTTCTCCAGAGCCTCCTACCAATAGATTATGGGATATATTCACACATAACTCTCTCATGGGTTTTCAGTGCTCTGAGGACATATACTGGAGCAGCAGCAGGAATGTCTTTTTTCAGCACGGCTATTTGGACACTGTCAAGGCCTCTGAGCAGCTTTTTGTCCTATGTTTCAGACAATTTTGCACATAATCAGTACGACAAAAACCCAGGTACACACTTTAATATTATAAATTATATAAAATTTAGGAAGTTGATGGCCATCAGCTAAGCCACCAAAATGAATTGTACAGCTTGTCAAACACCTGTGAAAGAACTTTGAATTACTATAGTGTCCTTCTGAAGAGCATTGAGAGTTCACATTTGGGCTACTCTAGTAGTTCCCCTTTGGGACAGAATATGTTAATTCACCCTAACTTAATTCAAAATCATTAACCAACCAAGAATTAATACACCTGATACAAAATAAATGTAGTTGTTTATCAAGCAGTGATGGCAGATCAAGCTATTTATATCACCACTTAATATTCTCAAAGCTTATTTATTTAGACTAAAAGGACTACGGAGGGAAAATATGACAGAATTCAAAAACCAGCTTTTCAAGGTGAAATATGTTTCACCATCACAAAGTAAAGGATGACCTTACATACAGTTTTGTAATGGATCTTATGTGTTTGTCTAGTTGGCAAAATACTGTAGTTCTTGAGGCTTTCAACATTTCATTTATTGCTATGGAAGCAGTAATAAGCTGCATAGGATCACTTACATCATTTCAGTTAAGACACGTTCTAAATCCTCACACAGCCGCTCAGGTTCAACCCTGCTAAGACTTTGGGATTTATTTTGGGATTTGACCTCCACCTACATGATCCTTGTTATATCACTTGGTAATAGTTGTAGCTCAGCTGTATATTCTGTATCTTGTGTATGTTACGTGTGACAGCCTGCAGCTCCAATGACATGACCAGAACAGGCAACAAATGGACATCAACGACTGAACACTGGATCTTTAAGTAACTACACGATGTGAAGACAAGGCACAACCACTTGGAGGTTTGTAAATTAACCCACAGATAGGACTCTGGTATGTTGTCATGGACATCAACTTTCTATAAAGGCTACTAGATCAAACCCAAGGGGCTGAAAAAAAAAATCAGCAAGCTGCACCACCTTACCCTCATGAATCATTATGCATAACAGTTTGAATCAACAATTCTTAAATCCTAGGACCTCTTTTAAAAGCACACTTTTCAAATTTTATTACTCTCTGCTACAACATATTGCATTTACCACAGTCTATGGGCACTGACATCTCCTGAAAATGAACACAGTTTACATGCATAGCCTAGTAGCCTCAGTACCAAAGACCTGTCAAATACCTTTTATAGGTACTCTAGGATGTGCATATACTCCACACAACACTGCATATGCTTGTATGTAAAATTTAGAGTTTTAGAATGAAAAGCACGTGATTAGCCTTGATCAATTTGATGGTTGAGTCCCTGGCACCTTGTAGTACCAAAATAACCTTTAGAATAAATGGTTATTTGAACTGAGTTTCCCTTCTATATCTATGAATTATTAGTAATGCAGTTCAATCTTCTAAGATCTGCCAAACTTTTTTGCAGACCATTTTCTGTGAATTTATTATTTTTTTAGACTGGAAACTATTTAAGAGAAGCTAGCCATGAATATTGAACATAATGTTGTAAATTAAAACGCAGTAAATTACAAATTACAGCTGACTAGACAACCAAGCTACATCGAGTTGTTTCTGCTGCTGGTATGGGCTAACAAGATGCAGGTACCCAGTACCCATGTTTCTATACAGCAAATAAGCTCTGTGCAAGGCTTCTGTAGCCACTGCCTGAAAATCACCAGTTCTGCCAATGTCTCTGTCAGTGCATTCATTTACCAAGATAACTCTTAAAAGGGAACATAACAGGGGCATGAATACAGCTAAAACACAGCAGGTTTATACTTCTGGATGCGTGTCTATAAAACATATATGTAAGTTTCCATGCGTGCACGTGCGTACATGTGAATGTTACCCCTTCAAATTCACTCCCTGCCCACATTACGTAAACCATTGGAGCTATTCCACTTGGCCAGGGAAGGAAAGCTTGAGAGGTAAATTCTGTCACGTTTCACAAGCAGTAACAAGACATTCGACAGAAGAGGATTTAAGAGATGCTAATGAAAAGAGATGGCAACATCAGAGAAGGCTGCAGGACAACATGCTGAACCAAAACGACTGAGCTTGGGTGCAAATTAGATGACAACGGCTGGGATACACAGAAGGCAAAGCTGAGAGATGCTAATATGGAAGGATGCTGTATACTTTTTTAACACTGATGTGCTCTTCCCTCAAGTTGTTCACTGCATGTTTACTATGACTACCCTTGCTAATTAGACATCCTTACAGTCCCATTATCATCTGCACCTGTATTTTTCTAATCAGATGGTTTTATCATGCATAACTTAAAGAAAATTACATAAACAATACCAGAGGGAAAAAAACCTGGTAACTGAAGGCAAAGTTATGCTATTTCAAAACCTGTAACATCTGAAACTACACTTTACTTATTTGTAACAATGAAAATTACAGATTTTAAATACAATGTTCCTCTAATACTTGGTTTGAATGCAACGATTATAAATCTGGAAAACAAAATACAGTTAAAAGTGTCCACGCTTAACAGGTACCAACATTTACATTAACATCGATTCTTCAGAGAACTGTAACGTTCAGGTCATTTTTTCTTGTCTTCTTTTTACTTTTTTCTCTCAGCAAGTGAGTGGACCTCTCATTAGAGAAAGACTCTGATTATAGTTATTATTGTATCTTGCATATTCTTAGGCACACCATGGCCTGGATTACACTACAGGAGTTTTGCAAAAGATGTCATATGGCTGGAACCAAGGTCAATTTATTGGGAGCACCGGGAATCACTGGAAAATTATTCCCTTTCACTACTTGCATTATTTGCTAGCATTTCCTTTATATAGGAAACGACATATAAAAACAACCTCCTGCTTACACCACACCAACCAGAGAGAAGAGAAGTTAAGAGACACATCGATCAAACTGGCAAAATTAAGTATCAGTCAACAGGAATGGTGTAAGTGCCCCTTGGCCTCCCTTTTGTATGGATTCGTGTCCTGAATCCAATTTGATTGAGTATGCAGAACTCTGTGTCAATTAACCAAATGAACACGTTCATTTAAAACTAACTAACTAAATAAATAAATAAAGTTACGTTTTCATTTCAAGCTTCTGAGTTAAGGTTTGGAACTGGAGTCCGATGCAGGACACGATCCCGCTCTCACGGGCGTGACAGAAAGGGAGGCTTACTGCCTCCTCTTCCAAACTCACCTGCCCACGCTTTCCTCCGCAGCACCCGAACTCTGGAGCTCCGTCCGACCGTCCGCCTGCCTGTGGGACGCGGATGCCCCGGGGCCGCGATCCCCGAGTGACGCTGGCGGTCAGCGCTGCCCTTCCCGGCGCGGTTCCAGCGCGGAACCTTTCCCGGCCGCGGAGCCGGGCAGCCCCGGCAGCCCCGGCAGCTCAGCCCGGCCCGGCGCGGCCCGGCGGGGGCGGCGGGGCAGGGCAGGGCCCGCCGGGCCGCCCCTCCGAGCGGCGCGGGCGGATTACGGCCAGAGCCCGAGCGCCTAAACCCGGCTCACCGGGAAAAGCCGCTCGAAGGGCTTTGCGATCCTGTTAAGTTCTCGGAGAGGATCAAGACGTCAAAGCGGCTCGGCGGCGCCCCGGCACATTTCGTGCCACGCCGAGGAAAGTTGGGAGCCCGGCGCGGGTAAGGCAGGGCAGGGCCGGCCCGGGGCCGCCGGCGGAGCGAGGACCCGCAGCCCCGGGCGGCGACACGAGAAGGGACGGGACCGGGCGAGGCGCCTCCCGGCAGCGACACACGCTCCAGCGGCCGCGGCACTCTCTCCCTGCGGGGCGGAGCTCATCCCGCCTCACCGGGGCGGGGGCCGGAGCATCGGTGCCTGTGGGCCAGGCAGAGTCCCGCCGCCGCCCCCCTCCGCCTCCCGGCCGCGCTCACCGCGCCAGCTGCTGCCTCGGCCGCCGCCCCGCGGGCCGTGCCGAGGGGAGAACCTGGGAAGAGCAGGGATGCTCGGCGGCGTCCCCAGAGGGGCCGGCGGCTCTCAGGAGGAGATCTCCGGGCCGGCTCCTCGCCGCCCTCCCCTCGCACACGCTGCCCCTGCGCTTTCATCTCGGCCGGCGGCGGGCGCGGAGGGGCCAGAGCGGGGCGGCGGCGGGACTGTCGGGAGCGGGGATCGGCAGGAAGGCGGGTGGGGACGTGCCTTTGCCGGCTGAAAGCGCGTCCCCCTCGGCAGCCGGCGCGGCGCGGATTTCCTGGGACTCTGCTCCACCGTCCCTGCCTGAGGCGGACCTGAGGGGATGGTACCCCACAGCCGGTCTCCCCGCTGGGGCCGACACCTTCTCCCTCATGAGAGGCGTTTCTCCTCGATGTACCGCTGAACAGGTTTCTTCTTCAGTGCTCTGGCCCTCACTCCCTGACCTCCTGGAGGGAGCTGACGCTCATTTTCATATGCTGAGGCTCCCTCAAGACTTTTGCATTCCCTCGAACTTCACTTGTTCACCTCTGATTCTGCTTTTCACAGGGTTCAGAAAAGCTGAAAACAAAGAGTGTGTATTATATATGAAGTGATTCTTCAGCTGGAAAACGTCAGCAGAAGCCATGTCATTCCTAAAGAAAAACCTGCTGCATTTTGCTGCATGTCATTGAACGCAATGTGACATTAGAAATTCATTTGAAGTGCTCAGGTTTGTGGAGTTACTCACTGCTCTCCCCTCACTGAGAATCATTTTACGTGGGAAAGATGAACCACATGACACAACAAGGCCTGAGGAGAAGAAAAGACCATGTCTAAAACTCTTAGAACCCCATCAGAAACTCAAGCTGTCTGTCTCATATAGCTATCACATCAGTCTTCAGAATAAGAGAGTTTTTGAGGATCAGAACAGAAAACCTGGGAAGGCAGAAAGCATTTGAAGAGCACCTTTTTCCATTCCTTTCCTGCTGGACTGACCCCTAAGGAGTACTCCAGGCAGTGCTGTGGAAGCACTGGTAGGGGAACTAGCTGAACAGGTGTGCACCAAGTGCCAGACTGCTCTGCTATTGTTCCTCAGAACACTCAAGCACTGGTTGCATTTCCCAGGTGTTTCATCTAGATACACATCCTTTGCAGGTCCTGGCTTCCTACTACAACAAGGCACAGAGAATGGGGGGTTATGGTCAGTTTATCACATGTTTTCTCTGCCACTCCTTCTTCCTTGCTGTCCCCCCCTGCTCCAGCCTGAGGTCCCTCTCACAGGAGACAGTCCTCCCCAAACTTCTCCAACATGAGTCCTTCCCACAGGCTGCAATTGTTCATTAACTGCTCCACCATCCGTCCCTTCCACCTGGTCCAGTCCTTCAGGAACAGGGCACTCCAGCATGAGTCCCCCATGAGGTTTTAAGTCCTGCCAGCAAGCCTGCTCCAGCATGGGCTCCTCTCTCCATGGGGCCACAGGTCCTGCCGGGATCCTTATCCAGTGTGGGCTTCCCAGGGGGCCACAGCCTCCTTCAGGCATCCACCTGATCCAGTGTGGGGCCCTCCACAAGCTGCAGGTGGATGTCTGTCCCACCATGGACTTCCATGGGCTGCAGGGAGACAGCTGCCTCACCATAGTCTACACCATGGGCTGCAGGGAAAATTAACTCCATCTCAGCCAGACCCAATACACGACTTCTGGTCAAAAGACCCTTTTGACCAATTGAAATGTTTTTATCCTCTTATTTATCAACAAAGAACATTCTGCAACAGCTTGAGGGATATGAAGGGTCTACATTCCTTTGTCTTCCCCTGGAAAGTTTTACTTCTTCGTACTTTGTGTGTTATGCTCTGAAGGAAGAAAGTGGTACTGCAAAAATAGAATGGGAAAGCTCTATCTTTCTAACAGGAATTCAGGGTGAATATCTGTGTTTTAGAAATCTTACAGCTACTAGAAAATTACTCGCGAGGTGATATGCCTTAAAATACTTTTTATCAATCTTTTTTTCAAACAATACACTTAGAAAACCTTTGTCTTCAGTAAGTTAATTTTAGTGCATGGCTTAAACTATTTTCAGGAGACAAAATGGGCAAAGAGCCTTCCCTTTCTCCTTTTTCTGTTTTGTGACACTGCCTGTCTTGTTATTTGCCTTTATTTGGATATAATGAAATAGCCTCTCATATCATGCTGGGGTCTATAAATATGTCCATTTTACTGTATTCATTAGATTCCTGTGAGTTGGAGAAATACTGACAATAATACAATGGCTAAATGACCATAAAATTTATACATAATCTTGAGCTATATCCTTTAAAATTGGAAAAGGAAACAAAATTGGGAAAAATTTGCAATCATTGAGTCCATATTTTGCACTTTTTTGTAATATGTACTTTGACAGTCTTCTGAGAAAGAAATAATTATGCACAGGTATCTTTCTCCAGTTGCTTTCCCTTTCACCAGAGTTTGTCTCACACACTGAGCCTCCCTTTAACTCCAGAACCAGCTGGCTTGTGAGTTTCCAGTAGCCTCTGAGAAACAAAGGGGGGGAAAAAAGGGTAGGTAACACATCAGTAACTTCTCCAAAATGCACTGGGAAAACAGAAGTTAATCGCAATAGGAGCCTTGACTTAGTCCATCGTAGAATGAAATCCTGAGCCCGTAATAGACTGGAAACATTCAAACTCAGCGCTTGCTGGAAGATACACTGCAGTGTCCTCCTGCATCCAGCATCAGGACAGCTTTTTGAAGAATGTCTAATCTGTGAGGCAAAAAGTAGATCTGAGAAGAGGATAAAGCCAGCTAGTCTGTGACCTGTGTTCTGTAAACCCACCCTTCTCTCCACTGGCTTGGGCTCAGAGCACTGGTGCAGTGTTCAGTTTCACTGATTTCACTGAGGCCCTGAGCTGGAAGCAGACATTATGTTGGAGCTGTCCTTCCACATCTTCAGGCCAATTCCTGTCATTAGTCATCTGAGCATAAACCCCAGTAGTTCAGTCAGTATGGAGGCAGTACACCTCACAGACCAAAATACAGAGTCGGGCCCTGTGGGGAAGATAGTCAATCACCAGAGTAGAAGTTCTATACATAATCAACCTTTGTTGTCAAAAAGAAGTAAGTGTTTAGTGTCACTGCAAGAAGTCTCCTTCTGAACCTTTTAATGATAACATATGCTATCATTAAGCATATGTTTCAACCTGAAGAAGAGAAAATGAAGGGGAGATCACAGCAATCTACAACTTCCTCATGAGGGGAAGAGGAGGGGCAAGCATCGATCTTTTCTCTCTGCTGACCAGTGACATGACCTAAGGGAATGGCCTGAAGCTGTGTTAGGGGACATTCAGATTAGATATTGGGAAAAGGTTCTGTATCCAGAGGGTGGTTGGGCACTGATGTAGGCTCCCCATCGGAAAGTGGTCACAGCACCAAGCCTGACAGAGTTCAAGAAGCGTTTGGACAATGCTCTCAGGCACATGGTGTAATTCTTGGGATTATCCTGTGCATGGTCAGGAGTTGGACTTTAGTGATCCACATTGGTTCCTTCCAGCTCAGGATACTCTATATTTCTATGTAATTATGGTATCCAAGGAGTGAAACCTCATTCTTTCCCTCCTGTGAACTGCAATTTTTTAGCTACTCTAAACTGGTCCCAGGCAATCAATAGAGTTGAGCTTATTTACAGTACCTGTGGCTTTAGCTACACAGTTCTGTTGTGAGGGGCACTGACATTATTCTAATAGTTCTCCCAAGACTGCTGTGCTCTGCAATAAATACCAGGATGTATGACAAAAGAATAAGGCTTCATAAATAGAAAAAAAATTAAGTAATGTGTTCTAAAATCTCATTTTCCTCAGATTGAGGAATTGTAATTTCCTGTTTGCATTGTAGCTCTGACCTGTTTCTTCTGATTGTTCCACTTCAAATGAATTAAATGAACAAAGATCAGTGAAATAATTGGACTGAATTGCCAACCTAAGAAAAGCTCATTTGGTTTCCTTCCCAAGAGAAGCACTAATTTGTTCTGCTTTAAAAAGCAATTCTCATATGAACAATCTGAGTTATGATTTGGACCTGTGGGATGGGAGCTTCACTGAACAAAACCATGCAGTTCACACATGCAAATGCAAGACAAAAGCATCCAAAAGACAGAATAAACAGAAACGAGGAATAGAAATGTCCAAATGGGGTATGTAAAATCCACATCACAGATATTTTCACAGTTCTGAATCAGCCTGATCCTGCAAGGAACTGACTACTGTAGAAAACTGAACCTGGCCAAGCCATTTTCATAAACTAGCCCCATTAGAGCCAGAGATGTTCTGACAAGTAAAAGCAAAAGAGCATACCTGTTTTGTGTTGTCCTAATTATAAGTGAGTGAGGTCTATTTATTTTACCTTAATCTGCACCACTGTGGGGGACGTATAGTAAGGGGA